TATTTCACATTTTTGTTTTCGTACTATGTTAATTTTGTAAAAGACAAGCTCTATCGAACTGACGCCTAGCCCAGCCCAAACGCTTCAGGCTGCGTATGAAAATAGTGTTGGGCCGTGAGGGTTTAGAGTTTGAATTTGAGCTTGTATTGGGCTTTTATGAGGCCCATATTTATTCTGCAATTTTAGGTAACTTGTGAAACCCAACGCATCTAAGAGAGAGAGAGAGAGAGAGTTTCTGTTTCTTTTTTTCATGTACAAGCGGAATTAGCCAACCTAAAACACTAAAACTGACATTGGAAAAGAGGCCACAAATTGATACAACTGAAACTAGTTTCGACTGCTAACTTTTTGCGGGGAGATCTGTATTGTCTCTGTTTTTTTGTCAATGGGAGCTTTTAGAACAAAGTCGGTATAAAGACTCTGCAGCAGATGAAGGTGAGAAAATAACAACCGCCCTATAAATGTGATAGGTACAAACGAGACGTCACTTATGCATTCAACGCATAATAAAGGTTCCTATCTATACTAAAACAAAAAATTACATAAAATGTGTATCAGCCAAAAAGCTAAGACCCACACAAAAAGTCCCAAAGGTGAACTCAACAGAAAAACCTAAAAAGCCTAAAGGGAGATTCACCCGCCACCTCCTCTACCGCATAATTGTTGGAGACGACCTATGAACATAAAATCCAAAAAAGAGTCTGCAGAAAGCTAAACTCGAGCCTATCTTCGTCTCAACGTCGGTAAAATGGAGCCAAACATGCAGATCAATAGTCATCTAAATGCCCTGATCCAAGTACGAAAAAAGCCAAGTGGTGTAAGCACTGAAGAAAGTTGAGGTTCGACCATAAGGTAATGCTATGCTATGGAGACTAAATTTGAAGACAATTTGCAAATTAAATGATGTGTCACCAATAAGAATGAGCACGTGTATCAACGATTAAATAATAAACTAATCATCAACTTCTATATCCTTTTGTGTCTAAAATTTTGTCTACAAATTTAGTCTTCCTAGTATTACTCTTGACCATATAACCAATTGACAATATGGGGAGTAGTCAAACCTCTTATAAGCCCTTGCAAGGTTTCTCCTTTCACCGATGTGAGACTATTTTACCTTCACATCCTCACACCTAAGACCCCAGACCTTTGTAAGGGTAACAACATATAGTTGTCTTCGATAGTAAAGAAGCACGATAAAGCAGCGAACTAGTGTTGAGATGAGATCCGCTAAATCTGGAAGGGATGGTAATGACGGCCGGATGTGAGTGGTTGGAGGCTTGACTCAAAACTATGGGAGAGTTTGAGTGAAAAGTCTCAAATCATGGCACAAAATCCCCAAATTAAAAGGTATAATACCTTTAACAATGGGCAAAATGCCCGGAGACAGAGCTCATTCACACCACTTGTAAAAGCTGGGTTGCTCCACGTTCTCTGACAGGAATCGGGGCAGGGAAGGAAGAGAGGAAGGAGAGGATAAAGAAGGGTTAAAAGGGAGGCTGCCACCGGCCCCAAGCAGGAGCTGGAGGCCGGCGGCTGGAGGGATTTAAAGTTTGGGGTTTCCTAGGTTTAGGGATACCTGAAGGCCCGGATCGTCAGATGTTTAGTATTTTTGTATTCTATAAGTTAATGAACGATCCCTCCTATAACGTAATTAATGTTCCCTTCTTGTTGGATTATGATTTTTGCATGTCAATAAGAAAACAACAAAGACGATATAGGAAAAGAGGCTGCAATAACAAATTAACAATCATACATATCTCTATATATCCACATACGATACATGCAAATTTATATTGACAAATCAAGACAAAGAGCACAGACAGACCCGTCACTACAGGAACTCATATATATGCTAATATTAGTATAGATATAAATAACACCTACGGCCACCGCTCACTGTCAGGTCATTAACAGTTGCTCTTTCCTTAGCAGTAGCTTAGCGATACTCCAATTGGATTCTCTGTCACTACCTACTGAGAGACGACAAAGATTCTGATGAGCTAGCAGATAGATTTCTACAATGCATCTCCTTCATCTGATGGAATTAAGGAAAAAGGCCAACGCAAGCATCAAAGATTTAAAGTTGGTTTTATCGCCATTTTTAATTGTCAGAATCTAAAATCCAACTTGTAAATTGTAATTAGGCAGTGAGTGTTGGCTTAGTAAGATGAAGAGTAATCCAAGCCACCTACGGTGGTTCTTGTTTGTATACATAATTAAATCAACCAATTGATGATGTAATTAAAGGCGTATTTTGCCAAGATATATCATGCATGCAATTATATGATTTAGTATATATTAACCCTAGTTTGTATAATAACATTCAAATGGAAGCTCCCTCTCTTAACGCATGCAAGGCGATGATGTTGTGGATAAAGCACGTACACACAAATACAGAAATACTAAACTTTGACGTTACCTAAGCTTTCATTGTGTTCATGAACAACATTAATCCTCTAGGCCTCTCCGTCTAAAATTTTCTTTAAAAAACCCTCCCACAAAAACAAAGTCAATACATTTCTCTCAATCTTCGACATGTTTTCAGTTCATCCGCGACGAACTTACGGTGAGTTAACTCTCGTTCGTTTGTTCGCCCGTACGTTGATTAGTCGTACTTTCTAATTAGTTAAGAAGCTAAGAGGGTCAGAAATGGGAGCTAATCAAAGCAATTGCAAGCCCTCATCGTTATCATATGGTGGCCATGGTGGTGGGAATTCGAGTCCTGTGCCGTCGATCATGGAGCTGCTGAAACCGGACTGCTTAAAATCGGAGAATAAGAAAAGGAAGAGACAATTGGCACCAGAGAAGAAGAAGAATATTTACAATAATTACACAAAAAATACTGGAATTGTTGGAGCAGCTGGGAGTAGGACTAGGATGACAACCCTAGAAGAATGGCTCTTGGCCTCCCCCGGCCACGTCAAGGCAGATCATAACTACAACATCAACGGAGGTGAATTGTATGTGTTTAGACCCAGCTCGAAAAGAATACATCCAGCTGCATCTTCTTCGTCAAAATTGCCAACTCTCTCTAAAGCCAAAGACAGCTTCTGCCTCGAGAGACTCGTAAAAAATGAGGATAAGAAATCTGATGAAGCAAACTTGATCGTCAATGATATTTCGGCGTCAATGAGCTGCAGAAGTATTAATACACAATTAAGTGAGAATAAAACTCATAAGTTGAAGAAGAAGGTGAGCTTTCGATTGCCAGAAGAAGCTGATATTTTCATATTTTAACCCTCAGAGGAGGCCATCACGACGGACGACAGCGAGAATGATGAAGACTTTGATTAATACATGATCTACCCTATTAAGATTTCATATCTTTTTTTATTAAACACACCAAATTTTTCTTTATCATATTTGGTTTTGGGTTTTGATGTCCCTTATTAAGATGGCGATATTCTCGTATTATACAATAAACAGTGATGATGCATGTCGCAGTTAGAAATAACTGATAAGATGCGAGCTATGTAATCTATATATTGCTCCAAAATCAAGTATGTACGTATCAAAATTCTATAGATTTTCTATCTCGGCAGCATTTTTCTATTAGTTTGCATCAATCAAATTTTTATTTATTTAATTAGAGCATGGACCGCGTTAATCCAAGTCGGCAATCCTCTGTAGACTGTTCTAAACTAAGGCACAAGTCCTCATTGATAAAACGCACAAGTCCCACGAAAGTAACAAAGTACTCTTATTTATTGATCCAAATTAATGGAGGAGATTCTTACTCTTTGACTGTATATTTTCGTTATGTGACTATAAAAATGAGAGGTAGATAAAGATGATACGTAGGAGCGCGTAGTCGATTTTCATTTAAGACCGCAAGTTCGAGTTGGTGTATGAAATGCAGCGATCACTACATGAGATCTCCTCCTGATCCCGCTCTGCTGTAAAATTTAATTACTATGCATGGACCATGGTAGAGGGTACGTACAATTTTCCTTGCTCCTTGGTGTTGTTAGTTAGGGTTGCGTTGGGAGAGTAGAAAAAGAAATAAAGCCTACATACCCTTCGGCATATTTTTTAGTGTGATCGAAATACGAGAGAATATATCATATGTCATTATACAATTAGAGAGACATCTGAAGAAAAAAAAAAAAAAAAACTTCTCTCCCCAATTGTTCATGACATGTGATGTATTTCGGTCATACTTAAAAATCTCTCATAACTTCAATTTTCAACGCTTCTACACTCCTTTTATATGCGATTCATGATTAAATAATTAATTGTGGAATTCTTAGCTTTATAATTAAATCAACAAAAGAACTTACAACTTCGGAGAAAATACAAGAATAGGACAACCTGCTTGATGCTTAAGATCATAATAGGGCATATGTTTTATATTCGCATGAGATTGTTGGTGATAAGAGTAATGAAGAACGACTTATATGAAATGAATGCACAACATGAAAATGATTACATATTTTTTTCGTGGCATTTCGAGCTATTAATACAAGACTGCATTACTCTTTTTATATAACTTTATATTAGTGATTTAGGACACCAACGACAGCACTGAAATCTTTCATGCAAGTGTTTCTGTCTAGGCCATGAACGAAGTCAAGGTTTAGTGCCTGCTATGCTACATGGAACCCTAGGGCCTAACGGCCTTTCTACGGCTTTGAAGGCATTTAACCACCCCAAGAAGGAGAAAGACTTACATAGAACGAATTCACCATTATGTAACATTAGATTGTTCAATAATGCATTGTCATGCGTAAGTTTTTCTCCACGTGACAATGTTTTACTAGAACGGAATATCACATGACGATAAATCTGTTTGATGTAAATTGCTCTTCTTTGAGTGACGATCGTACATTGGCCTCCAAAACAACAGAGAGGGGCATTCTCGTAAAAAAAGAGTAGGGCAGTGGATCAGTGGTAGTCGTACACATAGAGGGAGCCAACAGACACACGTAGCAGCATCAACCACCAGTATTCCCTTGTTTTGGTTAAAACAAGTGGGAAATTGCTTGGAAAGTATATCATTGCTAAAAACCGAAAGAGGGGAGCGCCTTTACTTCTCCCTCACATTATCACTCTCTTTCGAGGTTACGTAGCATTTATATTTTGTTCAAGAATAAGAGCGATAAAAGGAAGCACTTTGGGTGGTGCTGACTGCTGAGATACTCTAGCTTGTGAGGTAATGGCTCGAGATGGGATATTGAAGGTGGCGATCGCTGTTTTGTTCGTCGGTGTCGCTGCTGTGAGCCTCGGAGGGAGCTTGGTTGGAGCACAAGTGTACCACGTTGTCGGAGCAGACCGCGGCTGGGATCCATCCTCGGACCTTGCTTCTTGGTCCTCGGACAAAACATTTAGGGCCGGAGATAAGATGTGTGAGTCTTCTCTCTCCTCCTCTCTGTAAAGCTTAATTAGGGTTTGTTTAGTTTTACTCATGTAATTGCTTCTAAAATGGTTAAAACGCTTAGGATGTCTTCATTAAAACTGATTACGCATTATAAAAATAATCGCGTTTTACAAATCATGTTTTGACATCATTTGATAAAAACACTTAAAAGTACTTACTAAAAATAGTTACGTTAAAAGGTCTTGAGTTTCTGTGAGTTAGAAAACACTTTCAATATAAAAGCAATCGCAAACCAACCCTAAACTTATCTCAAATTTTGGTTTTGTTTTCTTGGCACCACTAGCCAAGCCATTTGTTTGGTTTCCGAATAAAGGAGAATAAAGTGGAAAGAAAGTAAAGATACTTTCATGTGTCTGGTTCGTTATTCGAATTCTTTAAATTACAAGACTCTTTTGTGTGTGCACTTTTAGGGCTAGCCTACTCCACGGCGCATGGGTACATAGCTGAAGTGAAGAGCAAGGAGGAATTCGAGTCGTGCGATGTAACAAACCCAATCAGGATGTTCACGGACGGCCTGGATACCATCTCAATGGACAAGGAAGGACTCCGCTACTTCGCAAGTAGTAACGTCGAGAGCTGCAAGAATGGCCTTAAACTACACGTGGAAGTTATGCCTCAGTCATATCAAGCTCCTGAAATGCACAACACCAACGTGGCGGAATCAGAGGGCCCTGCGTTGGTTGCAGCTAATGGGCCCACAACCCCTTCTGGTTCGGCCCATCTCACTGCAAGCTTCATGGTGTTGTCCGTTGGGTTGCTTTGTTATGTATTGGGTTTTAGAGTAAGTAGTAATTAATTGATGTGTGTTAATTATAATTTAGTAAGAGAGTGAGGATTGGTATGAAGAATTGGATTTTGGTTTTATTATTTGTAGAATAATACTCAGCTACTCTGGATGAGTAATAATTCCTATCAAAATTGTTCGTTTTTTATTTATAAAAATTTGTGTTTATAATTCGAACTGTTCATATTATAAATCACTCTATAAAGATCGTCTCTTTAAAGAGTCTATTAAAACTAAAGTCATTTAGTCATCGAATTGTATAAAACAAATGGACAAAATTAGAAAAGTATTATTAACTGTCAATTTATTTACTATAATAGATTGACTAAACAACCTTATATTTAATTCATTTTTTGCAGAAATTATTTTTACACAGTCCTGATCATAAACACAAAACTCTTATCCGAATATGAAGAATTTTGAAGAGAAGTTGCTCTTGATCTTAAATAGCCAAGCATTGTTCTTATTTACAACCTCATAAGAAAATGAAAGTTTAAAATATGCAATCAATTCATTTCAAGTTGAAGCGCCGGTACGAAACTTTCATTACGAAAGTTGCACTCCTCCATCTAGATTATGTTACGGGAAATGAATGAATGAGATTTAAACAAATCATATACCTTCATCAACCGCAATAATAACCTGTGCACTCAACTGGGGATTGCATTACGCCCCAAAGTTTACGTACTTCCTTTCTGATATTGCAACCAAGTTCCAAATTATGACGATTTCGTATAACTAGGAGCACAATAAGACTATAAACACACAGAGTTGTGCTAGCCATTGATCCCTGGAGAGCCCACAAGGATCAATGGCTACCATTCAAGTCATGTACCGACGAGTGACTGATGCAAGCATCGTCCAACCGCAATTATACACGAAGTATGCAATACACTAAACAGAAGAATCATAAATTCTCAGTTTGGGCACCTCGGATACATTGGGAGATCCAAATTAGATCATCCAATCATCGCTCTTTCAGTACTATATAGCTGCTAGTTCCGTTCCCCTTCTTTATCTTTGAAATTCTCCTTAGAATATTCGAAAAAGCGGTCTTTTCCTGCACCATAAGACACACCATAAGACAGAGTGAAGAAAATAGGAACAAACTATCACAATTCAAATTATTCAGCCTACGTTCCTTCAAGTTCAAACAGATGAGAGCAAAGTCAGAGTCAAGACAATGGTAGAAAACATGATAATGTACCTCTGAAGATTTGAGTCTTCCCTTAAATTTAGATACAAGATCATTTGTGGTGAGTGGTGTTCTCTGCATCAATACAGCCCTGATTTCTTCCTCGGTGACGCGTCCACCAGATGACGATGGCTCCGTTTTCACGGGTGGAGTAACTTTTGGAGGCGCACTACTTTTAGAAGCAGACACAGACACAGGCTCCTCTTTGATGGATTTTTGTTCCTAATATAGATACAATGTAAATGAATACCATATAACTAGCGAGCATGGGGAGTTTCAAAGCTTCTAAAAATAAAGCTGATAAAAACAAAGTAGCAAAACATACATTTTCAGTCTTGACCTTCTTGGGAGGTGCACTGTTCGTTGCCTTAGAATCATCGCCACTTGATTTTCTCTTTCCCTTTGAGGGTTTGGAGGTTGGTGTAGTTCCTCGACTGGACGCAGAAGGTGTTGGTTTTGAGGGACTGTTGTCAGATGGTTCCTCTTTGGGTGCATCCTTCTGCTTTGGAGCCAGCGCTGGAGGAAAGCCAATATCATCATCCAGCTGGACACATCAGAAAGAACAGGCCGATTAGCGGGAAAAGAGCTGTGATCCACTTTTACAGGACAAATCAAATTTTCAAAAATCCCGTGTCTATTAATAAAATGGTATCTTCAACAAAAATGTCCATTGCTATTCAAAATGCACGTGGTACAGGGACAAAAAATAAAATCATCTAACAGATGCAGTTCTGACAAAAGTGCCAAATAAAGCATTTGAGATGTTTATTATGGGAAATGGGAAATCTAGTCAGATTAAGTGTGCCAAAAAAATAAAATAAAAAACCTACATCATCATCGTCATCGTCGTCATCCTCTACATCTGAATCATTCAGTCCACCACTTCGCCCAAGTAGCTTCTTCAACTCTTTTCCTGATTTGCTCAGTCCACCCTCTTTGTCATCTTCATCCTCGTCCTCATCATCCTATGAGGAAGAAGCATACAAAAAGGCCATCTTTAAATTGTACAAAGAGCTATAACTAACACAGCAATTGCACCATGGATAAAACTGATATACAAGTGCATGAACTTCCAAGGTAGCACCAGATACAGTGGTGCAAAGAGAAAAACCCGAGACCCCCCAAACTGAACATGCAAGATAACGGAAGGTCTCAAGTGCTGTACTTAATATATTCCCTAACATAATTTTCAAAGGTAAAAAAGAAGTTCAAATCAATTTGTTTACAAATATCAAAATAAAGTCTACCTATTCTCTTGATCAGTATTAGCTTCTAACTGAATGCTTAAAGAATAGTGGTTGCGGGACATTTGTGCAACAAACCTGCTTAATTTCTGGAGGAGCTGGAATCTCTGGTTCCAAATCTTCCCTTTCCTCAGGATTGTTTCCAACAGCTTCATCATCATCAGTGAAAATTTCTTCGTGCTCCCAGTCATCACCTACAATAAATGGAGACTTGATTATAAAAAGAAGACACGGAACTAACATAATCCAGACATGGTTATCATGGACATCATCAGGCACCCCTGTTATGTTCACAAAAAGAAGACATCTGGACAAGACTTAATTGATATGGCTTCCCAAATGGATGACAAGACATGGAACTAACATGAAAGCCTTACTAATGAAGTAATCAAATACTTTACAGAAAAAGATGGATTAAAACCACCTTTACTTTTCACGAGACAAAAAAAAAAAAAAGTAAAAAAGAGGCTGATACGATGTCTGTATATGTAGCATCTCTCCACGGCAAGCAGAACCAAGCTGAACTTCACTCTTCTAAGAATTCGTGATGATTAATAATGGTATTGGGTAGCAATTATTTAGGATAGCAAGGAGAAAAGATAGTGCTCATGATATTTTGTTTATAAGGCAAAATAGAAAAAGGATAGATGCTTACCCTTCTCGATATCATCATCATCCATGTCCACATCACCTCCCCCTACACCTTCATTATCATCATCACCATCACCACCATCACCACCTCTTTTATTCAATCTTTTTTTCCTTTCCAACTCTTCATCATCATCCTCATCCCCTCTATCTGAGCCATTTCCTTCTTCATCATCATCACCACCAGCTGTCTTTCTTCGTCCCTTCCCACCAGCCCCACCATTATCCTTGTCAAGCCTCTCTACTTCACCAAATAAAGCAGCTCCATTATTTGCAGCTTTCATCATCCATCTTTCATACCCATCTGCAGTCTTTTTCCTATTACTAATCTTCTCTTCAGCTTCCTCCAATGTAAGTTGCTTGTATTGCGCAACCTTGTTGAAATTGAACCTAGTAAACATTCTCCAAACAACCTTGTTTTGATAAGTAAATATACTGATTGTAGCCATAATTGGTACTCATGAAAAGCTTTTCCCCATATTCATGCCAAGACTAAAAGTGATGAACCGTAAAATAAAAACATCAGTAGCAAAAATAGGTAAGGCATGCATACCAAGAACCAGCAGGAATAGCAGAAAACTCCTTTCCAGAGGGATGTTTTATTAGTAAGTAGTAAGTTGCAGTCTGTGCACCTTCAAGATGACCCTGGTACTGAGACCGGCCACTTTCGTCCTCCAAAACCCATGGTTTGTTCTTGTACTTCTCCTATATAATGAAACTTAATGTAAATACGAAGGAGTGCAAACCATCTCGATGTCAGTTCATGAAACATCTCACAACTTACTAAGTCCGAGCGGAACATAACAAAAGAAAATTACAATAACCAAAAACATTTGAAACGCAACTCACACTTTAAAACACTGCTACAATCGGGTCACAGAATACTCACAAATTTATAATGGTTATTAGCTATAGCAACACGATCTCCAAATGATACTCGCGAAACAGTAAAAACCAAGCAAGTAATAGCCAATGGGCAAAATCAAATCGAAATTACCCGCATGGCATCACTAAGTTGGCGTCCTTGTAGTCCATCCTTGTGGAGAGACCATTTATTTTCAAAATTCTTGTTCTTCGAAAAACACGGCAACCCCGTCACAAATCTCCCAATGAAGTAGTTCTTATCGTTGGCAGTACTCGCTCGAACATTATACTCCTATATCAGAAACAAATACATCAATCAATCCTTACATACATATACACATACACCATACATATATATAGAGAGAGAGGGCGAACTCGAATTAAGCGAGTGACGACGGCGCCGCACTCGTTGCACTTGGCGCGGTTGAGAGCCATTTTTTTGCCACAGTCGTCGCACAGAGTCAAGTGCTTGCAATTGCTTCCGTATAAATCCTTGGTCGTTTTACATCCGCCACACTCAGGTCTCAGTATTAAATCGGTCGTCGACATTTTCCCACCTGCAGAACCACGCAATTTTTCCGAGAAACAAACACCGATTCAGAGAGAAAATCCTATTCCCAAACGAAAGCTAGGGTTTTGATTCTGAAACCTAACAATTCAACAATTTACCAATTCATTCAACAATTCGATGATTACCTTTTGATTTATAACAGAGATCGCGTATCGGTTGTGAATTTGGGTTTTCTTGTTCTTTTGCCGGGACAGAATTTTCTTTATTTTTCGTTTTGGGGTCGATTGAAATTTCCTAGTCCGGAAGAGAATAAAAACGCATATATTGTCATCAGATCTGCGGCAATTCCACGTGCTTGGTGCGCCAAGAGTAACGTTCATATTATGTTTTTTTAACCATATTTTCATACCATCTTAAATGATATTTGACGTGGATAACATATCATTTGAATTAATCAGATTTTTAAATTTAGTTCATTATTTAATAAACTAAAAATTAAAAAAAATTAGTTAATTAAATGATGATTATGGTATACGAGGAATCTTTTTTCTTCCTTTCTTTGGATTTTAAAATTTTTTCAAATAATATGACTGTTCACATCAGATATCCCCAAAAGTAATGAATAACATTCCTCGTGCCAGTGTCTAAAATGGAAAATGAAACCCAATTTGCATGTCCAAGCCCAGCCCATAGTGGTGGAAGAATTAGTTCGGCCCAACTAGCGGGCCACGTCACATCTGGCCATATTATTAAAAAAAACCACTATCTCACGTCTCCTAGGCAATGGAAAAGGTTAACAGGTTTGTCGTCACTCGGTGTTTTGGTTTGATAACGTAGTTTAAGCGTGAGTTTTTCTTCACATGGAAAATGACACTAAAGTGGGCAGTGAACTTGTTTAGCGGATGACGTGCTTCCTACATGACCTCTTTCATTTTATGCCACATAGTGCCACACAAACGCTCGCGAGATTGGAAAACTAAAGCCTAATTTACATATAAAGATTAAGAGAGATTCTTTGTATATATATCTTTGTTTTATTACGTGACAATTATTTATTAAACTATTAAAGCATGTGTTAAACACGTAACGACTAATTATCATACCATAACGCCCCGTAAACCAAATATTGGTTTGGCAAGTTAAAATCGGACGGTTAGATGAAGAGCATTCATTGAAAGATTGGTAAGCCATCTACCACATGATTCGCGATTAGGAGGACCGATGAAACCCAAGTCCCCCAACCAACTCCGTTACAGCACAAAATTCGACATCACCAAATATAATATTACCTTTTTATCCATTAAAATATCCCAAAAATCATATTAAAATAATAAACGGAAAGAAAAGCCAAATCTACTTCTTCGGGCTGCTCCTATGTAAAGTCAGCAACCTCACTCTCCATCTTCCTCACTGCAAAGCTAAGCTCGCCCTTCCGCTCAACGACGCCGTCTTACAGCATGGCTCTTCTGACGTCCTTCATCGAAGTCCACCCGTGCTCTCACTTCCCCATCCAGAACCTCCCGTACGGCGTCTTCAAGCCCCAACCGGGTTCGTCAGCTCGACCGGGCGTGGCCATCGGCGACTACGTCTTGGACCTCTCCGAAATCGCCGCCGCCAGGTTATTCAACGGGCCGATCCTCGTCAACTCCGATTGCTTTCATCAGGTCCGTTGATCATTAATCGCAGATTACTTTTAGTTGACTAAGATGATGATAAATGCAGTGATTAATTATTAAATGCTCTGTTTGGTTGATTAGCCTGATTTAAACAAGTTCTTGGCGCTTGGACGACCTGCGTGGAAGGAAGCGCGCGCCACCATTCAGAAGCTGTTGTCATGTATGTATGCAGTATGCTTATTAATTAATGTGTTTATTGAAGTAATTAGGCTTAGTTTACACTTAATGAAGTTGGTAATTAAGATTCATTTGGTTATTACTGGTGCAGCTACTGAGCCGACCTTGCGTGACAATGAAAGTTTAAGGCAGAAATCACTTCTTCCATTGGTACCTGAAATTTTATAATCCTGCTTAGATTTTCAATATATTTTATTCAAATCATTCATGTTTTATGTGGATTGATGTGTAGAGCAAGGTAGAAATGGTTCTTCCGATTACAATAGGGGACTATACGGATTTCTTTTCGTCAATGCATCACGCGAAGAATTGCGGGACCATATTTCGCGGGCCACAGAACCCGATTCCACCAAACTGGTGTGTGGATTTTGAATAACTCATTGAACATAATTTCTTATTTTAGTTTTAGTATTGTTTTTTCCAAGTTAGCGGAGTCTTATTTGATGTTCAGGTTCCACCTTCCAATTGCATATCATGGTCGAGCTTCTTCGATTGTTATCTCGGGAACGGACATTATTCGACCAAGGTGAGAACTTATCATTTATTTTTGTTGCTTTTAGATTCATTGAATATGCAGGATGACTAAAAATTGTTGAACTTGTCTATTAGTAGTAATAGTACTTCAATTTCCAAGAATTGATTTCAAGGCCAAACTTTTCCGTTGATGTTTTGTCGATTGCCTGCTTATATATTTGATTTATGAGTAAGGTGATTTTGGTCTTAAGTCACGTTCTTTATTGAATTGGTGAAAGTTGTCCATCCAATTCTGATTTCTGATGGTATATTATACTTATTGGATTTCAATCTTAAAGTTTACATTTTTTATTCGTCTTATCACAGAGGTCAAGCCGCTCCTACTGGAAACTCTCCACCACCTTTTGGTCCTTCGTTGAAACTAGACTTTGAGCTCGAAATGGTAGTCACTTATGCTATAGTATAGCATTTTAGTGTAGAAGTAGAACTCATAATTACAGTTATGCTTATCCCATTTTTATTTACTATGTCATGTGGGTTCTCATTTTGATTGTAGGCTGCTATAGTTGGCCCTGGAAATGAGTTAGGAAAGCCGGTCGATGTTAATGAAGCAGCAGATCACATCTTTGGACTTGTGTTGATGAATGACTGGAGTGGTATGCTTGCCTCTTGCCTTAATAGGTTTTAATCCTTCATGTTTAATGTTTGGAGCTGCTTGATAATAAGTTTGGGTTTTGACAGCTAGAGATATTCAGGCATGGGAATATGTTCCCCTTGGGCCTTTCCTTGGGAAAAGCTTTGGTAAGAAGCGGAAACTATGATGCTGAATTCTTCATTTAGTGTTTTATAAGTGTGTAAAACGTGTAATGACTGCGAAACTGACATTAACTTTGTGTAAAATGTGAATATCAGGGACTACAATATCCCCTTGGATAGTGACGCTGGAAGCTCTAGAACCTTTTCTTTGTGATGCTCCCAAGCAGGTGGTTACTCATATTTGCATAATGCATACCCACATAATTCAATCTTTCTTTGCAATTATAAGTCATAGAATATTTATATTATGTTCACTCTGACTTGTAGGACCCCCATCCGTTGCCCTATCTGGCTGAAAAAATCTCCCAAAATTATGATATTTCATTGGAGGTATTTACCAGCTCATTGCAATTTGTTTCTTTTAGTTAATTAACAAAGTTTATGGTTTCTTTTACCCTTAAGGCCTTACGGAATTTTCTTTTAGTGATTATATTGTAAATAGTCATGTGCTCTTGTGTTCTTGGGATGACAATGGAACTGCCATTTTATTGCTAGGTTCAAATCAAACCTGCTGGACAAGATGAGTCGCATGTGGTCACAAAGAGCAACTTCAATAATTTGTAAGGATTTCTCCCCAATTACTTTCTCAAGAGTCTTTAATCTTTAGCTGAGATAAGTCTTACCCTGTTGACAACTATTGGAAAAGTAACCTAGAAGATGGTCATAATCATACTGCCTAGCGTTGAGATAACTTTTCCGTAGTAGTTTCCTTTTGGTTAGGATAACAGACTTTATATTCGTTACCAAGCTTTCTGTAGTTCTACGCTTCTTGGGGGCATCATAATAAGTGCCTTTTAGCTTTTGTTGAGCTAATCAGGATGCCTAAGTAATCAGATGAAGGAAAATCCATGGTTTTGTACTTTTTATTTTGTTCTTGCGTGCTTCATTTATAAGGTGTCTTAACTTGTGCACCTCATTTACAGATACTGGACATTGACTCAACAGGTAGCCCACCACACTATCAACGGCTGCAACTTAAGGCCAGGCGATCTCCTTGGAACAGGGACTATCAGTGGGCCTGTACGGTTTCAGTTTCTTTTTACTAATTCGTACATTCATATTAAGTTATGCTTGACTATAAATTCGTGGAGTTTTCTTTTATTGCTAGAGTGAATTTCATTTACTTATGTATCACAACAGGAGCCCGATTCTCTTGGATGCTTGTTAGAGTTGACATGGAATGGACAAAAGCAGCTGTCATTAAATGGGACACCCCGCAAATTCTTAGAAGATGGTGATGAAGTCATCATTTCTGGGTTTAGCAAGGTTACTGTTGATACAAGTCTTTTTACATGTTTAATTACATTTACAATCTCTTGTACATATTGCTTGCGGTCTCGTCATGCTGTTTATTGTTGTTCTTTCCTCCTATTGTTGTTCTGATTCAATACCTCGATATGAAGTTTGCCAGAATTTTGGAATGAAACAATATCCACGCTACCGTGCATAACATGTACTTCATACTGCCATCGGTCCTGTGAACTTGTTATGCAGCAGGATTATCAGTCTGATTTTTACGTTTGATGTTTTGATTGCAGGGAAATGGTTACAACGTTGGCTTTGGGACTTGCTCCGGAAAGATTGTTCCCTCACCTCTTTGAAGGCTTTCTTCTTGGCCTTCAAGTAATCAGTCAGAGTTCTTGTATTCCATTAGCAAACCTCAATTTCATATGTTGTTGGAGCTGTGTACCATTTACTCTGTAATTCACTTGGCCTTTGTTGTTTTGTAATTCTAAACCATGCGCAATTCACCTGGCCACCCTTAGTGGAATAAGACGGCGTTGTTCTGCTTTATGATAATCCCCTACTATTTACTGTTTACGGTTTAGTGTTCTCTCTTTCTATACATTCAAATGTGGATGTCACCGGGGGCTTGGTCTCTAGGACCACTCGACGTTCAAGAAATATACGTGTATAGGTCTTTCTAGGACCATTTGAATATTTGATACGGGTCCTTTTGTGCTTACAAAGTGTTTCATATAATGTTTGTTAGGCATATCTCCACAGGTTATGTTGACAACACTCGACAAATTCTTTCCATATCATTCTGATGACTTTGGCATATGTTGATATATGTTGACATATGCATGATCTGATTTGGTTGACAACAATAAGCTTATTAATTGTTCGACGAAATCTTTGTGAATAAACTAAAATTTTGGCAGTGGTGTGTTTTTATCTAAATCTTGTATTTAATACTAGAATTCTCTAAGATTCGAATCTTGAGTCTGCCATTTGATGTCACCAATTGCATTGATCAATAGCTTGATTGAAAAATGAGCTATATTATTAGCTCGACACCGTAGCATATGTAGCTGCGCATATAACTTCTTCCCTTAACTGTGAGATTAAAGGTGCTTTCGTAGGAAATGGATCATCTCCGTATCGCTTCTATCAAATCATTCTCATCAAACAATTTAAACTCTTGAAATTTAATCTATCGATTAAATTTATTATAACTTTTAAAGTATGTTCCTATTTATAATCGTTTGATCAAATTTTAAAAATTCAGATTAATTAATGAGAAGAATTTAGTAACAATGATCCGGCGATGATCATTTTCGCTTTCGTGTGCCAAAAAGCTTTCTATCCAAAAATGAGGGGGCGTGTGGGTCCCGTAAATTAACGGACGGGAGCGATAGTGCTGAACTGCTGATGCTGTTACGCGCCAAGAGTATTCAAGAACCTTCTACTGTTTCAAAAATACCTTTTTTTTTTCTTTTCAAAAAAGTCGTTTTAAATTCAAGAATGATTTTCATTTTTCACTCAAATTCACCAGGGCTTAGCCAAAGATGATGAAACCCTCTCGCAGCCGCAGACTCAGCTTCTCCTCCTCCGCCTCCACCACCGTCACCTACACCCTCCACGATGACCAACCTGCCCTTCCCGCCACCACCGAAATTCCCATCCAGACCTCGGACACCCCAATTCCCATCACCTTTCACTTACCGCAATCCACCGCAGCCATCAAAATTCAATCGGCCTACCGGGCCCACCTCATCCGCACCCACTTCAAAACAATCGCAGCCGTCCACTCCGAGGCCAACCAGTACCAGCGCCGGATCCAACGGCAGGAAACTGTCGACGCCATCAGGACAAGCGAGCGCGAGAAGCTGAGGATGAACGAGTCCCTGATGCGGCTGCTGCTGAAGCTGGACTCGGTGCCCGGGGTGGACCCCGCGGTGAGGGAAGCGAGGAGAAAGGTGAGCCGTCGGATCGTGGGGCTGCAGGAGATCGTGGACGCGATCGTATCGGAAGACGTGGATGGCTTCTGGGGTGGCAGAGACGGTGGATTTGGGAGGAACTGGGACGACATCCTTGCGGAGATGGAGGAGGTGTGCAGGGATAAAGGAGGGGAGGAGATGGAGAGGTTTTGCGCTCAGTATCTGGGGTTTCGGTGCTTGCAGCGATTTTTGCAGGAGCCGTGATCTGGTTTATCGCCGGCACTGCTTTGCTTGCCTACTCTGTTATCTGTGGAGTGACACAGTCTACAAACTACAGACCGCAAATTGTAATTTTGTACTTAGTTTGGACCCTTTTTTTATTTTTATAGTTTTATTCTCCATGCACTTAAATTCAACGGTTTTAATTATGAAATATCGTAAAGACCCGTTATTTGCAAGTAGAAAAATGAGTTCATCGGTTAGATGGGAAAAATATAAAAGATAATATTTCACGTTACAAAAACTAAAAGGTGTAGCTTAAGTAGATGTGTATTAAACCTAGCGGGTTAGAGTAGTGCGCTCATTCTCTTGCGCCCATAACTCAGATTTTGATAAATTAAATTAGAGCAATTTAGAATATCCATACGTTAACAATGAAATGAACATGAGAAAGACAGATTTCAGAATTCATAAATCATAAACTTCATACGTCAAACAGAAACATACAGGCTTTGTTGTTCTTCTTGAGAACGCTCATCTACCACAACACGCAGCTGCACTTGCAGCGTGACATGCACCTCTTGCAGTCGGAGAGCTTCGGGGTGCCACAATCACAGTTCTTGATGCAGTTGGCCCTCGAGCTGCCGCCCCACAAGCATCGAGCCATACAGCGCAGAACCGGCGTGCATTCTGGGCAGCCGAACTTCATCTGATTTACTATGCAACTTCTGCATTGACTGCCATCCGGTGGGCAACTTCTGCATCGGCTGCCGCCTGATGGGCAAGCCTTAGCTGCCGGAAACGCAATCAACCACAGCAACAGCAGCAGCGTCAGCTTCAGCGGCCTAAGAGCTAGTGCAGGCGGCCTCTTCTCCATTATCTGCTTCTGAAATGTTTGATCTTTGCTTGCTCGACTATATATTAAAGAATGATTTTCGCACGCTCTTTTTCTAGGAGAAAATGAAATCACGACCTTATATTATTGTTTGTTATGTGAATCATTCACTGGATCAAATAAATATAAAACAAATCTGCCGCATTGCTTGCTGCCCCGCAGTTCAACTTGATCATTTAGTGCCATTAATTGCTATGTATTGGTTTGCACAATGTTATAATATCTTCGCGTACATCTATGTCTTCACATCAGAGACGGTAAGTCCATGCTGTAGGATATAGATGAGAGATTTTTCAATTTGCTTGTAAGACGTGTGGTACACCACATGTCATATGATGCAACTCAAATCACTTTGTAGAATGACATGTGGTGTACCATTTCGTATTTCAGGCATACTGAAAAAATTTCTCGATATAGATAAAATTGGCATAAATGGTTGATCTGTATCGTATTGTCACATGACGTTACTATTTCATGTGTTACTGTTTAAAAATCAATTTACATATGTATCGTATTGTCACATGCTATTACTATTTCACGATATAGTTTGAAAATCTATGTATTATAGTATAACAGTGTACTACGAACGACATTATAATACGCGAATAACAAAATGAGACGAACCGGAAAAACAGAAAGAACCCAATTCTTTTCTTACACGACCCTCAGGCAATCCGAGTTTCATGCACATAGAACATGGCAAGGGATCGAAATTTTATTTCACATCAATAAAACAGAGGTACATACAAACCGAAATTGCCAAAAAAAGACTGGTCTATCACCCTGTTTACGGAGGATGAAGCAAACAAATATATCGGTACAATAAACCTACGTAGCAAACTAACTCTCTTCGAAAATTATACAACCAAATCCCGAATGGAAAGTCTGAAACAATAATGCGTGACCCAGTTCTGCACGAACAAATTCTTCCATACACACTTCACTCTCCTTCAGTGAGGATCGGAACAATGAGTGGTTTCATCTGTGCAAGGTACACGATTGCCCACCTACCAAGTACGAAAGGAGCATGCTAAGTCAATATCCAGGTGGGAAAGTTTGTAAAGGAGTAACATTAAAAGTTCACCGAAAAAAAGTTAACCGAAAAAAAATCAAGGGTAAGAGTCGATGACATACATCATCCAACAGCACACTACCGCTGTGATAACAAGTGTAAGGTGAAGCCTGCACATGAAAAAAACAATAAGTTTAGCTTTAAGAGGATTTGAAAGATGCCCCCAACACCGGAAAGGTCCAAAAGTGTTTGAATCTTAATCATGCAAACAACATTGTGCAGTAAGTCTAGATGTAGACATGGAGTAAACATCAAAATCAACGCCGCCTCATCTCATTTGATGCAGACAGAAATGTTGAGGATAAATCTATATATATTTCAAGAATGTAACCAATAAATCTAACTCATCCAACATAAATTCAACGGGATCTCCTTGATGTGTCTAACTAAAACCCTCACATATCTCCTAGGATTTAAGATGGTGAAGAACAACATTATCACAGTCTTCCTTTCCCACACATTCCACAGATTCCTTCCTTAGGAAACGATAGACAAAAGTTTCACAATAACTCATTGACAATATTCATTATATAAATACCAAGAAACATTTAGAAAATCATGCAATATAAATCAAATTATCGAACCCGATTAGCATATTTCAGGCTTCCCATATCAAAGCATCTTCTGACCAAAACTCTCCTCTTCTTTCCCGACAATCTATGTGGTAGATTTTCCCTACAATGTCATCCAACAAGAATGGAGCTACGATTCGCTAAAATGCAATGCAAATGTTTCTAAACCCTTAAAAGATTCGAATACCATCACCGAAAATCGGTTCCAATAGCATAATCAGCATACTATAAGGGTTTCAATCTGACCAGCCCTAAACTCTAAACATCACTAAAATCCAATTTAACATCCTACCAACTTCAAAATATTGGATCAACAATTGGAAAACAAGTTAGAAAGCTAAAATCTTTGGATTCAGAAATTAAAAGAGAAAACTAGTAGAGCAAATAAGACATACAAATTGGCCGATGCGCCTCTGCCACAGCAGATTCTGACCATGAGGGAAGCAATTACGCCCACCATTGCAAAGATCAGAGTTGTAACTACAAAACCCATTTCGATCTTCTCCAATTCCGACCCCTTCTTCGAACAGTCAAATCCACAAACAGTTGATCTGCAAAAAGCACAATCCTTTATCTATAAATCTGGTCACAGATCAGAACCCAGTTCGATTTATCGTACTTAAATCCAATTCGACCTTCAAATTAAATAAATGAGAGGCAGAAATGCAATTATGCAAGAGGGAGAGCTTAAAGCTTAGTGGTTACCGCGAATGAATGATATGATTGTCTTCAAAAACAATTTGTACGTTGCCTGAGGCTCCAAGCCTCCAACCTCTGATTTTGGGCTGTGATGGGAAGGGGATGACGAAGATTGGGATTTTTTTTGCTTAGAAAGATCAAATAAATTAAAAGGTCGTTTTGGTACTTTAACCGAAATGTCTTCCATCTACTATAGCAAGTTCTTAGGGGCCCAACAGCATCCTCTCCGGATCTTTTGGTGAGGATTATAGAAATTCGTAAATTGTATCTGATCGTATATCGTGTGATCAGTTTTTATTAGGTACTGTTTTTATTTAATTTTAAATAAAAATATTTAAAATAATTTCTGACCGTACGATATACAATGAACGAGCATGATTCATGGATCATTGGGATCCTCACAAAGAGAATCCGAATTCACTAGGGGCCTAGGGCCGTGTTCTAAAGCATCTGATCGGAAACAACGTTCCCAATTTCCGTCATAAATTTTAGAATTGGACCACAATTTTCAAATTCGGAATTTTTTACAAGTTTGAAAATTTCAGAATTGGAGTAATCTCAAAAATTTCGAAAGATAAATCGAAAATTCATATACTTTTTAAGTTTTCAAATATTCTCAACTTTTTCGTACGCGCAATTTATTGTTTTTTCTTATATTTGGTATATGGTTATGCTTAATTTCCTAGTTGAAGTTACATTCTCAAAAGGTTACTGGGCAGAATTACTAAATGTTGGAAGTTAATTACATTATTATAAAGTGTTAAAAAAGCATGTATTTTGTTACACCAGCAAGAAAAGTGGCAGGTTTACTAAATGTTGAATCGCTCTAGCCTGTCATTCACGTTATTGTCTGTGTAATTGTATTGCTTCTGATCCGCTCGATTGTTTTTATGAGACAGGGTTTCAGGGTTCGGAAGTGGAAGCTGATCGTTAGAAATCTTCCTTTTGAGGTTCTTTGCTTACTGTATTGTCGTATGAAATTTTGTTCTTACCATCATCCAGTATCGTTTCTTGCTCAAAGAAATAAACTCTTCTCCTTCCCTTCGTTCTTACTTTTATTCCTATTTGCAGGTTATCGAACGGTTTTGCATTTGTACAATTCACACGCAAACAGGATGCAGAAAATGTACATTTTTTAATCGCGCTTTACTTTGGAGTAGTACTAATGGAGTCGTAGGTTCTGCATTGCCCAAAAGGAAGAAGAAGCCGCCTGTTGATAAATTGGTTCATGAGCTTAAGAAGACATTACTGCAAAAGAATCCAATGCTACTGATGAGATAGAAGAAGGAGATGATCTGGATAGAACAATCTTCATAAGCAATCTTCCGTCTGACTTCAATAAAGAAGATGTCAAACAAAGGTTTTCGACCTTTGGGATAGTGCAATCTTTTACCCCAGTCCTTCAGGTCACCGAGGATGTCTTATATTTAGTTTGATACGATTCTTGCATCGTTTGTTGCGTTTGAAAGTACATGTGATATTATGTTGTGGCAGGAAACGAAAAGGAAGGGGTTTTTCATGTTTGAAACAAAAGATGCAGCCAGTTATGCTGTTTCAGCCGGGAATGCGGCGTCTGGCTTGGGAATTTCTCTGAAGACGATACGCTAGTGAGATGCGCAGGTGTATGAGCTCTGAGATGTGTAGGTAGAAAGAGAAGAAGCCGTTCCAACTGGTCCTATAATCCTAGGGTAGTAGTCAATCCGATGTAGCTAATCCGACCGGCATTAGTAGGCGAGTACAAATGAATATAGTAGCCCTATACAATAGACGGCAGTTCCATTAGAAATTATATGTCAAAAGTAGCTACAGCCGGAATATGGGCCCACTTTGTCCCGAGGGCACCGGTGGAGATTTCCCGGACGGGTTCGTATACGGTAGGGTGTAGAATTCTGCTCACCATGATGTTCCACCTGCTTCCCCAGAAGTCCTGGAGTGAGGTGGCGAGGTAGGGTTCGTCAAACTGCGGCTCGAAATCGACGCCGAGGAAGACTCGGGCCAGTGATGCGACCAAGGCGAGGGTAAGCTCTGTTGGAGTTTAAAACACTGCATGCATAGAACCACATATACACGATGACATGCATACGTAAATATAATGAATGACTTACCTGGAGAAGTGCTCGACATCAACGCAAGGGATATCGGGAGTCTTCTACACTCAGCAGCTATATCCAGCTAGAATAGGGTTTGCTCAGGAAAAGGATGATGCTGTGAGTGCAGGGACGTCCCAATATATAGCCAACTATCCTAGGTATCAGGCCTATCAACTGATACCTGGATTGCTACACGGATAGGGTTCAATACAGTCCTATTCCATTATGAACTCCTGTCAAAGCATGATAAGGTTATCTGATTAATTTGCATGTTTGTTAGGACTCTCAATCCCAGCCAATTAAGTCCGAAATCTTCTCAACTTGATAACTTAAACTAAGGTACAAGTTTAACGAGAACTAGAAGTCATTCTCCTTGACACTCACATCTTACATTCTCCCACTTGAGTGTCCAAGAAGAATGATATTACATGGCCAAGATTGAGGTGATCACAAGTCCCCGAAAGCTGCAATTACACCTTTAACAACCTGTCACTTATGGCTTCGAGTATAGAATTATAAACGCAGTACGTAATTTCTTCTACATGTGCGCGTTATAATTACCAACACTTAAACCATAAGCACTGTGTTGTTGACAGAATTCGAAATTTTCAGGTTGATAACCAAAATTCAACTCCTGAACTGAGCCTCATACAAAAGTATGGCTCATATCATTATTATAACATATTATGAAAACATTATGGAAGCATCCAGTTTTAAACAGAAGGGAAAACATGCATAATACAGTGGGTTTACTACTCCCACTCATTAACAGAATCAAAATCCTCTCGCATTCCCATGTTGTGAACATGCTTCTTGAACACTCCCACTGGTAAGCCCTTAGTCATTGGATCAGCTACCATAAGATCCGTTCCAATATGTACTATGTTGATCAGCCCTTTTCTGACTTCATCCCTTACTCGCAAGTACTTGATATCCATTAACCTGCATGCAATTGACCTCTTGTTGTTTTTAGAGAAGAAAACTGCAGCCTTGTTATCACAATAAATGGTTATCGGTTTTTCAACTGAGTCTACCACCTTCAGTCCAATAATGAGGTTTTTCAACCAGATTGCTTGTTTGGTGGCAGTGTAGCAACCAATAAACTCAGCCTCCATAGTTGAAGAGGCAATAACCTTTTGCTTGGAGCTTTTCCACGAAATTGCACCATCAGCAAGGAGAAAAACGTATCCACTCGTAGACTTTCTGTCATCAATGCAGCCTGCCAGGTCTGAGTCGGAGTAAGCCACCATTTCCAGCTTCTCAACCTCTTGATACACCAGTGCAAGGTTCCTTGTTCTTTTTAAGTACCTTAGTACTTTCTTTGCTGCAGTCCAGTGAGGAGTACCAGGATTAGACTGGTAACGACCTAGAACACTAACTGCAAACCCTAGATCAGGCCTTGTGCATACTTGAGCATACATGATGCTGCCAACAAGTGATGCGTAAGGCTTGTCGTTCATTCCATTTTTCTCGAGATCATTTTTAGGGCATTGATCCATACTAAGTTTATCACCCTTTGCTATGGGAAGCTCACCACCTGCGCACTTTTCCATGTTAAACCTCTTCATGATTCTGTCAATATAAGATTTTTGAGACAGCCTCAGCATCCTTTTGGATCTGTCTCTCTCAATTTCAATACCAAGAACGAAATGCGCCTCACCAAGATCTTTCATTTCAAAGCTCTTGGTTAACATGGTCTTGGTGGTGTGCAAAAGACTTAAATCTGAGCTTGCTAAGAGAATATCATCTACATACAAGACCAAGAATATGAATTTCGTGCCACTGACCTTGAGATATATGCAGTCATCAATCTTGTTTTCTTCAAAACCAAAAGCAGAAACCACTTGATCGAATTTGATGTACCATTGCCTGGATGATTGCTTTAAACCATAGATGGATTTGTTGAGTTTACAAACCATAGTCTCTTTCCCTTTCTCCTCAAAACCTGGTGGTTGAGCCATCAGGATTTCTTCATCTAAGACACCATTAAGAAAAGCCGACTTTACATCCATTTGATGTAATTCCAAGTTGAAATGTGCTGTTAATGCCATGATCACCCTCAAGGAGTCTTTGGATGATACAGGTGAGAAGGTTTCATTATAATCGATTCCTTCCCTTTGTGTGAAACCCTTAGCTACGAGTCTAGCTTTATGTCTTTCAACCTCTCCCCTTGCATTTCTTTTGGTTTTGAACACCCATTTACAACCAATGGGCTTAGCATTGCCTGAAAACGGCAACAAGGTCCAAACCTGGTTTTTCTCCATAGCTGCAAGTTCTTCAACCATAGCTGCATGCCATAGATCTGCTTGTGAGCTATTGATAGCTTGATTGAATGTTAAAGGATCATCATCATCTCCTATGTCATATTCAGTCTCTTGTAAATACACAAAATCAGGTCGAATCACCGGTTTTCTTTGCCTGTTTGAATGCCTAAGAGGCAATTGCACTTGTTGCAATGGTGGAGCTTCTGGCTCAGAAATTTGGCTTTCGGTGACTTGAGGTTCAGGACCATAAGCATGCACAGGTTCAGAAAAGGACATAGTGTTAACTGATGAAGGAGTTGGTAAAACAATTGGGAAGGAGATCAAGTTTAATTTTGTGCCAAGTAATGTTGCATCAGATGTTGTAGGGAGCTGACCATCTTCATTTCCCATTTCTTCGAATTCAGAAGTACTGTGATGTACTGTCTCTTCTTCCAAGTCTTCAATGAACTTGGCATTGTTTGTCTCCTGAATTCTAGTTTGGGAATCGGGACAGTAGAACTTAAAACCCTTGGACTTGTCTGCATACCCAATGAACCTGCAAGTAACAGTTCTCGGGTCCAACTTTCTTTCGTGTGGATTATAAAACCGTGCTTCAGCTCTACAACCCCATACATGGAAATGGTTAAAGCTTGGCTTCCTTCCTGTCCAAGCTTCAAAAGGTATAGATTTGACAGACTTACTTGGAACCCTATTGAGGGTGTAATTGGCTGTTCTAAGTGCTTCTCCCCACAGGAAAATGGGAAGTGAAGACCTTGAAAACATGGATCGAATCATGTCTTTTAGAGTTCTATTCTTTCTTTCTGCCACTCCATTTTGATGTGGAGTCCCTGGAGTGGTGTACTGAGCAATGATCCCCGAGCTTTCAAGATAATATGCAAAAGCTCCCTTGTGTTGTCCAGTCTCTGTGAACCTGCCAAAATACTCACCACCCCTATCCGATCTCACTATTTTAATATTTTTCTCTAGTTGATTTTCTACCTCAGTTTTATATGTTTTAAAACAATCAAGAACTGAAGATTTTTCAGATATTAGATAGACATAGCAATATCTGGAGAAGTCGTCAATGAATGTAACAAAATAGGAGTTCCCACAGATTGTTTTATTTGGAAAAGGGCCACACACATCTGTATGAATTATTTCTAAGAGCTGGTTGCTTCTTGTTGATCCTAATTTTCTGGTGTTGGTCATTTTACCCTTAAAACAATCAATACAGTTTGGCAGACTTAAAAAATCGAGATTTGGAATGAGATTTTGTTTAGTTAAAACCATAAGTCTTTCTTTGGATATATGTCCAAGCCTTTTGTGCCATAGTATAGGAGAATTTTCAGTTGAAGACAATCTTTTGGAACCAATGTGACAAACTGTGAAACATTCATGTAAATAGTCACACTGCAGTTGCCACATATCACTGTGAATTAAAGCATAACCAAGCAAGGTGTCTAATTTATTCGAATGAAAAAGTTTTACACTCTCATTGTCTCCAATAAAAGTATAACCAGATTTAACTAACTTAGAAGCTGAAATCAAATTCCTTCTCATAGAAGGTACATAGAGTACTGGACTAAGAAACAAAATAAAACCAGAAGAAAGCTTTAAAGAGACACTGCCAACAGACTCGACTGCAACCTTGCTCCCATTCCCAACAAAAACATTGTAAACTTCATTTTTTCTCTCCCTTAGGTTTGTGAATCCCTGCAAGGTATTTGTAATATGAATTGAGCAACCAGTATCAAACCACCAACTAAAAGGAGGAACATAAATCAAATTTGACTCGAAACAAACATAAACATTGAATTCATTACCTTTCTTAACAAGCCAATTTTTAAAACCAGTGCAATCTTTCCTTAGATGACCAACTTCTTTGCAGAAATAACAAGGCTTTGGTTCTTCAGAATTAGCTTTAAACTTTTGAGATCGATTAAGGGGGTTAGTATTTTTAAAAGAAGAAAAATGTAACATTTTCTTCTGCTTACCAGCAGGCATAGATGACTGATCAGCAACACGTTTGCCCTTTGCAGCAGTGTGAACAAGATTCACAGTCTCCACCTTGTCAGTTGATAATCTCAACTCCTCTTGAGCGCACATAGAAATCAGATCATCAATGTCCCAGGTTGCTTTCTGAGTATTATATGACACTTTCAGCTGACCATACTGCGCAGGTAATGAGTTCAATGCCATATGCACTAGAAACTGATCTGTAATTGGATGCTCAAGCTCCTTCAGCTTTTGTGCGATGTCTGACATCTTCAGTATATGTTCTCTCACGTTACCAACACCATCAAACTTCATGGATGTCAGTTTTGTGAGGAAATTCCCCGTTTCAGCTTTCTCGGACTCCTTAAATTTGTTGCCCACTGCTTCAAAAAATTGTTTTGCATTATCACTCTTTGGTATGCCACCTTTCACACTGCTTGTCATAGCCCTCCTCATGATCATAAGGGCCATTCTGTTTGCCTTCTCCCATTGTGCAAACTTCAGTTTTTCATCTGCTGTACTTGTAGCTGTTATTGCTGCAGGTTTGTCTTCCCTTAAGGCCAAATCGAAATCCATCATACCAAGGGCTATCTCCATATCATCCTTCCATCTTTTGTAGTTGGATCCAGTTAGCGTTTCAATATTGGAGAAGTTAAGAGAAGTCATAGCTGGAGAAGTAACATAGGCTTTAGTATTTGTTCTTATAAGTTCTTCATTAAGAGTTCACGATATGAACAATTAATGGCATCCACAACATATAATACCAGTCGCATCTTTGGATCGCAAAACTGATTATATTAGATTTTGCATAACCAAAATACAAAAAAAAAAAAAAATCTCTTCAGCGATGCAATTCTAACACTTTTGAGCAGATAAAATTGCATCAATTTTAATTTTGTATCTCACTTATACACCAATTAAACATGACTGAATATTAGAATTCTTTGGAATTATCTTAAAACATATTCATCATCAGTTTAATCGATCTGTTCAATCTTGAATTGATAATTTGAATCATGATGCAAACACTTTTGAGTTGAAATTGGTCATGATCCAAAATGCGACTGTCATATCATGTATTGACAGTAGTTTGATTCTTCGAAATCTGAGGACACAGCTTGTGCTCCTGGAGAAGAATTTGCAAAACATGTACACATATCTATATATATAATCCTAAACGTGATGTCTGTTATATAATAGTTGATAACTGTATTGGCTTTATGTGCGGAAGTCTTATGTCAGGATCGTGCAGTAAATCAATGTTTATACGTGCTTGAAAGGATTCTAAACACGACAGTGTGTGCTCTGATACCACATGTTGGAGTTTAAAACACTGCATGCATAGAACCACATATACACGATGACATGCATACGTAAATATAATGAATGACTTACCTGGAGAAGTGCTCGACATCAACGCAAGGGATATCGGGAGTCTTCTACACTCAGCAGCTATATCCAGCTAGAATAGGGTTTGCTCAGGAAAAGGATGATGCTGTGAGTGCAGGGACGTCCCAATATATAGCCAACTATCCTAGGTATCAGGCCTATCAACTGATACCTGGATTGCTACACGGATAGGGTTCAATACAGTCCTATTCCATTATGAACTCCTGTCAAAGCATGATAAGGTTATCTGATTAATTTGCATGTTTGTTAGGACTCTCAATCCCAGCCAATTAAGTCCGAAATCTTCTCAACTTGATAACTTAAACTAAGGTACAAGTTTAACGAGAACTAGAAGTCATTCTCCTTGACACTCACATCTTACAAGCTCAAGGCCGGTGTACATGTAAATGGAGTAGAGGAAGAGTAAGATTTTACGGTGAATAAACTGTTTGTTGTGATATACATGTAATGACGTGGAAAAAATCAAAGCCTTGGTCACATAGTTGAGAGTCGATTTCTGGCCTTTTGGGAGAGATTTTGAAGCAGAAATTCTCCGCGCAGGACGTTCTTTTTTTTCATGGTTTTTGGGGTCGTTTCGGAATTTGATTGGAAGGCAAGCTAAGGGGATGAAATGAGATATGGAAGTGGGAGGGGTGGTGGCGAGGGGACCTTTGTTAAGGGCAAAGAGGAGGAGCTTGAAGTTGGCAAGCCAAGCGAGGAAGAAAGACGACGGGCCGCCGAGAAAAATGGTGGTCAGATTGAGAGGGAGGTAGAAGAAGAAGAATACGACGGGTAGGATGGCGAGGAGTCTGGTAGTGCCCGGAGAAGTGACCTTACCGACGGTGTGACAGTAAGATAGTGATGCCACAACCAAAATCCAAACCATGAAAAAGATTGGGATTTCTCCTTCCAATTTCTTCATTTCTGTGAACAATTCTTATGAGAGTACTAATTTTTTAGATGGAGAAAGATCGTCCTATCGTATTTATATAGCGTAATGGTTGTGACGGAACACGCTGGTCCCTGTATTGTAGTTTTTTATTTATTTATTCGAAGCCTATATTATTGTTTACAAAAGGATAATGCTAAGTAGGTTAAAATTGAAAACAAAATGATAACTCACTAATAAGAAATAAGCACGTTAATCAACACTTAAAGTAATAATTCAAATATCAACTTTCATGTTATTAGTATACAAAATTTAGTACACAAATTCAATCTCTCTAGCATTAGCCTTTTGTAAACAAGAATATAGACTGAAATTTGAAAATCAGAGATGTTGTGGTATTTGATAGTTAGATTTCTTTTTAAAACATTATGAAATTCAATTATTAAATGTCCCATCATATGATTACGAATATGATCTTCCTAACAAATTTTTGTTATAATTTTCTAAAAGTCAGTTATAAATACATGTCACTCGAGGATAGTGTAATTAAATAAACTTTTAATAAATCAAAGTCTAGTGAAATAGTTACTTAATGTTACAGTCTAGTGGTATTCTTCTCCACTTGTAAGTGAGAGGTCTTAAAGTTCGATTTTCGCTAAAAGCGAATTCGAACCACAATATCACTAACAAATTGTGAGGCTAAGTTCATCCCCCTCTTAATGTAGATAATATTATTAGTTAAAAAAAATGTAGTGGAATAAATGATGGCTCTTTTTATTATATTGCAATGCAATCCAACAAATATTACCTTTGATTTGAGACCAATTGTTTATTCACGTGAAGGACTTTAAAGTGACACATTAGTTGGATTCAACAACTAAAAGTTCAAACAAATTTTAATATAGAGCGGCCCGCCTTTCGTCTAGATGTAACTGTAGACATCGAAATTTCAGTGAAACAAATGTTCACCAACGTATTAAAGTTTTGACGTGTCAGGGCATACATGGCATACGCCACGTGTCGTACAAATTGTACACATGGCATGTGACTCAACAAAATAGAAAGAAATACCCTTGGATGATTAAACAAGTTTTTCTTCTCAATTTGGGCAATGACAAGGTAAGTACATTTCAATCCATTACGGATCAAAGCAAGTTTTTCTCATTTGGGCAATGACAAAGCAAGCACATTTCAAGTTTAAAATTGTATTAAGTGGGAAATTAGGCCATAAATAAGACCACTTCAATTTCAATATTGCATTAAGTGGGAAAATTAGGTAATAGTGCTTGGTTGGGAAAATTTTGTGGTGGTGATTCACTCTCAAAGCCTATAAATAGGCTTCTCCATCAAGAGGAATAGACACACCAAAACCTTGAAGCCTTAAAGTTCTAAAGCTCTCAAGAAAATCTCGAAGGATCAAGAAAGCACTCTTCGTTCTTCGTCAAATCCTTCTTCAAGATCAAGCCCCAACGGCCCTTGAAGAACTTCCACCAACTCAAGATCAAGCCCCGACGGCCCTTGAAGAAAGTGTTCATTGTTCATCATCCGTTCATCCTAAATCAAGCCCCGACGGCCCCTTGGATCAACAAACAAATCCACACATCTATTCTTCAAGATCAAGCCCAAAAGCCCTTGAAGAAAACCAACCGTTCTTCAAAATCAAGCCCAAAAGCCCTTGAAGATCCGCTCATCCATCAACCTTCAAGATCAAGCCCCGAAGGCCCTTGAGGAAACTTCCATCAACCTTCAAGATCAAAGCCACGAAGGCCCTTGAAGAAACTTACAACTGTTCATCCAAGATCAAGCCTCGACGGCCCTTGGATCAACAAATCTACATCTTACGGAGATAGAATCAAAAGATCAAATTACAAAGAGATCGTAACCCCAAAATCATTAAACACAAAAAATATTATTTTGTACACGTATTCTTGTTTCTTGTTTCAGGAATTTTTCGTGTTCACAGTAACTTTGTTTTTACTTAATAAATCTCGAGTTTGTAGATTCAGTTTTTGTGTATTTACTTGTAATTAACTGTTGAATTATTAAAATAGTAGAGATTAAACGAGAAGCGAGGTACATGCATAAAGATTAAATATAGAGATTTAGTGATTTTTTTAATAAGAAAATCAGTAAATAATTTTGTTACGATAATTCACTTCTTCGATAATCGAAAAGATTCACAGAAAAATATCAGAAATAGTCGGTGGCCGAACAAAGAAAATAAAGTAATAACACAAGTCGTGAACCAGGAGGCCACCTCGTGTCCTCTTTAAAGGCGAATTGACACGCCGGCAAATTTAAAATTTGCAGGGCAATAATATGCCAAGGAAACAAAACAATGGTAGATGGATGTTGCTTTAGTTTTTTTTTTTTTTTTATTTTTTTATTTTTTATATGTTGCAATCATTTTCTAGATGTGTGGTTTGATAGCGTTGCATGTGGCATATGCAGTAGCTTGAAATGGCAGAGCTAGAAAATTTTTATTAGGTAGACTAGTTTAAAGATTTAAATAAATATGTGTTAAAATTTAAATAAATTCAAACTTTTATATGTACAAAAAACGATGAAAAAAATGATGTAACAAAAAGATATTGTTTGTAAACTGTATTACGTAGACGTCTCCTAGGACCAAGGACTTCCCACTCTTCTAACAAATTAAAACAAAAAAGTTTCGACAAAAAAAAATAGTGTTGGAACTAATTAAGTAGTCGAAATCAGTTATAATTAGGTCACTGATCATCTCTAATTCATATTATAATTTACCAATTCATGATTTTTCCATTTATTTAAGATTCATCATTGTTTCTACGGTGGTTGTGTTCTTTCTATATTACTTTTTTTCAACTTTCTCGAGTGCTGAAAAGAATATACTAGACCATCCGAATTTATTAAAACGGATTCTTCGATACCTGGTGCTTTAATTCATTAATGCATTATTATAAAATAAAAAATTTACACATAATATTATATTATTAGATCGAAATGTCATAATTACAATGAGTTCGTTTTATGCAATCATTCTTCATTTCATGGCTATCAGCAAAATATATCATGCTTAATGTGAAGGCGATTGCCCCGTTACTTAAAGAGTTTATATATGAATTATGGATCTCCGTCACATTAATAATTTTCTTTGTCCTCATTTGATCTTTAGAGAAAGAGGGGGTTGATATAGTTTGATTTTCAACACTTTTCCCACGAAGCAAATAATGTCAAATATGAAAGCAAAATTCTTGCTGGATTATATACTAATAAAAGCTAAGAAAAACTAATAGAAAAGGTTTGAAAATTTTGGATTTTAACGAAAATGACAAAAAAGTGTTGTAAATAAATTGTACCATGATTGACTTTTTAGAGTACAAATATGATTTTTCATTAAAGTTAACAATATCGGACGAATTTCGTTAAAATTCCTTAAAACTAATTCGGGCGAATACATATGTCAAAATCATGAAATATAATGCTTACACGTATTTGTAAACGGATAATACTTAGATATTCACGGAAAAGCACCCAATTTACTGATCAAATGATATGGGCCAATAAAATCAGCACAGCTGTCTCTTTAATTCTTTATTAAATTTTTGATATGCTAAGAACCAAACAGCCCCCTTCTTCCTCCCATTACCCTTGTCATGGTGGATCTGGACAAGTCCTATCCTCCTCCTACCTCTATCAACCCCATCTCGTGGCCTCGTCGGCTCCGGCATGCAAGCTTCAAGCTCACTCGCCAAGCCAACATCGAGTTTTTAACTGAGAAACCCCAATTTGTAATCCTCCCAGATTTCGTCGAGGCGGTCTCGCTGCGGGGGTGGAGTCACCGACTGAAGGAGGGTTGGGTGCGCTGAATATGGGCGGGATGCGCTTAGTGGTGGTGGGAGAGGATGGTGGCTTGCGATAATGGGATAGGGGGCTGGTAGTATTTCGGTGAGGGAGAAGCCGTGTGTTTGGATAGCACGATAGCATATGTTTGGCAAACAGAATAAAGGCTGTTTGGTTATGTTTGGGCAGATTTGAGATAAACAAGTGTTGTTATCTAGTTGTTCCACGTCTCCAAGTCAGAATACTGGGTACTCTCCAGTGAGTACCCAAGTATTGTTCTGTGTGGTTATATTTTCTCGCTTACATGTTTTTCTGGACGGTGGCAAATACAATCCTGCCACATTACATACCATCATATCCCACAAGAAAACCGGCAAGCCCTATTGTCAGATATTTACACCGATACTGTTCTAATTCAACTATATTATTATTACTCAGTACTACGGTTTGATGTTATTTTCTTTTATTTGGAAGTGAAAGGTCTTAAATTCGAATCTCGTGGATGACGAATTCGATACCAAATTAGGTTATTCATTATGTGACTTTGCCGAAGTCCTTCTTCCCTTAGTGTAAAAATATCGATGTACTAAAAAAAATTATATTATTAAGTGTTAAGTTTTATCAGTACTATTAAGAATAAAACTATACACTTATATATTATTACACACATGTATTATTTCTTAATTTTTTCAATTCCCCAATGTAAAATTCACCTATGTGTCAATCTTATGTTGTTGTTGTTATTATTGTCCATCATTTTATTTTTTTTTAAAATTATTTACTTACTACATGTATGGATACAATATGTCTTATATTTAAATTATATTAAACAAAAAATTAACATATTATTTAAACGAAATAATCAAGACATCATCTTTTTCTCAATAAAAAAAAAAAAAAAAATTGGTCTTTACATAACATGAGAAGTTATTACCAGGACAAGAATGAAGCCGACTGATCGAATGGGAAATAATCTATTTAAAAATTATTAAAGTTGTAGCTTTCGTTAATACAATGTCAACTACTAAAACTATCATTAAAAAAATTTTATTTTTTAAGTTATTAATATTTTAAAACAAATATCTTCCTATTTGTATGGTAATACATATTATACCAACCCGTCTACCGATGACATTTAAAAATTTCTCCACCACAAGTCTGCTTTTATTACGAGGTTCTTGTTATTGTCGCTGTTGCGTTCACCGCTGTAGAAGCGAAAGCATGGCCGATATGCTTCACAAACGCACCAACAGCCGCGTACTCCTCCAATGCCCTCACGTCTGCCTTACACCGCAGCAGAGGAGGAAAGAAGAGCCAAAACACGGTGGCCGTCACAAACGCGACGGTCAACGGCCCGGACACTGACCTCGGCAGCTGCAGCTTCTTCCGTTTCCCGACCGCCTTCTTGACGCCGATCTCAGCCATCAAGCACGCCCCGTGGAGGAGGAAGAACCACGTGATCTCCCAAGTGGGCCGCGTCCTGCCCAGGTAGTAGAATATGAGCTCGTGCATGATTGCGGACACCACAAACGTCCCCATCACGCCGGCGAGAGAAGCCCACCTGCGCCCGACCACACGAGTTGCTAGCGCGAGGATAGGCTCATACACGGTTGGGCGCAGGATGCTGGTGACCATGATGTTCCATCGCCTACCCCAGAAGTCCTGGAGCGAGGACGAGAGGTAAGGCTCGTTGAATTGGGGCTCAAGCTCCAGCCCCAGAAGCGCTCGAGCCAACGTGGCGGCGATGACTAGGATTATTTCCAAGGCGAAGTATATGTGGAAGCAATACATGATCCATAAGAGCTTTGGATGAATGTGCTCCTTGTAGTCATATAGCTTAACCAACAAGGCAAAGAGTAGGACTTTAACTGCGTAGTTTAATGGGGATTTTGTTCCATTTTTGGTTATTTTCGGGGCTGGGTTTTCTTTGTTTTGGGTTTTTGAATACGGGTTTTGCTGGATTTTGATGGGTAAGCAAGCAACCGCCACGAAACGGAGAAGAGATATCGAAGGGTCGGAGCAGAGAGGGCCTTTGCCGAAAGCGAGAAGCAAGAGCTTGAAGTTTGCAAGCCAAGAAATGAAGAAAGCGGTGGTGCCGCCGAGATGGAGGGAGGAGAGGTGGAGAGGGAGGTATAGGAAGAGGGACACGATTGGAATTATGAGCAAAAGTCTTGGAACTCCCTTTGGCACAAACTTAGCAATTGCATAGCAGTAGCATAGAGATAGGTAAACTGAGAGCCATACCTTGATGAAGTTTCCAATCTCACCCTCCATCTTCTTCCCGAAGAAATGATGCTTCTTTGAATTCTTTTTCTTATACGATATCAGAGCAAATATAAACTCTCTTAACCACTTCAAGAAGCTACGAACCTATCAGCTCTCAGGACTGTTGATGTGTTGACATGAATGATTCTGCGGCTAGCTGCAAATGGAACAGAAAAGATAATATTTGATCACATGACCAATGGGATCCAATCAGACGGAGATTATATTTTTGACTTGTGTAGCTGAAGAGGGAGGTATGTAATGTGGAAAAAACTTAATTCTCTCACCGACGAAACGACATTTTCATAAAATAAAATAAAAAGGAAAAAACCAAATCCATCGTCGTCCAGCAACGGAGAAAGCGGGATGTCATTGTGCTGGTGTCTCGACGCAATCATTGACTGCTAGGTAGAAAAGTTAAATGGTGCCGTGCCTCATGAGTGACGGGCTTAAAACTACAATCACAGCAGTCCAAGGAAAGTTAGGTAATCAGGGGAAAGGGTTTGACGTACTATTCCACGGACTATTTCCATTCAATGGAGTTAGGCATTTTGTTTTGGTCAATGTCCTTGGCTTGAAAGAGAGAGAGAGAGAGAGAGAGAGAGGTAGCTGTAAAAAATTAACAACAAATGACTACGAATCGAAACTGCATGTACAAAAGTGAAAATTTGTGCAAACTACAGGCCTGAAAAATGAGTCGTGTTTATGTCACTTTTGTGTCATATAGATTATCTTGACAAGTCGTATTAAATCTATTATCTTAATTGGTCCTTGATAGGTGAGAGATAAGGACTCAATTCGTTAATAATTCGTGTCGTGTTAATAGGTCATGCTGGCCATTGTCATGCGTATGTCTAAATCTTATTGGTACTTAACAAATAACTCAATAACAACTCGACTCGTTAATGAATTCTTAAGCAGTTGATCCAAAGTATTTTTGCGTCATTTCGTATCATTTTAACGAGTCGTGTAATAAATTAATAACCCTTACAACGAGAACTATAAAAGTGTTAATTTATTATTTTCTTCAAGTGAATAAATAAAGGGGCGAAATTTTCCAAATTTGTCACCCGCGATCGCCTTCCAAGTTTGAATCTTTGGCAGATACTGCGACTATTTCCACTGGTGTTTCAGCAAGGGTCAATCCTGACCAACTCCAGAGTTCAATTTGTGTGTCAACACTGAGGGATCACCATCTGCTTCCAAAGGAATAACGTTGCAACGAACAATTGAATAATTGAAAAGTACCCGCTAGCAATTTTCAAAACCTGCCACCGACTTCTAGCAGCAAGTATTCCGAAATGTCCACAAAATTCTGGTAAACAGCCCACAACATAAAGAGTAAAAACTCGTTTGAAAGTATTTTTAAAATGACTAAAAACACTTTGATAAGCATTTTTAAATTGCAAGAGCACTTAAAATGCATTTTGGATGAAGCATCAATAACGTGCAAGCACAAAGCACTTTCAACTGCCTTTTCAAGATTCACTTGCATTTTACTAGGATTTATTTTAAAAATATTTCAACAAAAACGCTTTTACGTATTCTAAAAGCACTTCCAAACACATCCTAATGCAATTCAATTTCACCAGTGATACCAGAAACTAGAAAGCATCCACTCAGAAGAAAAGAAAGGGAAACAATTTTTTCTGATGAACAGATAATTATCAAACAGTTCGTTACATTCCTTTCGGCACTTTACACCTCGATTACAAGACACAATTTTAGACGCGAAGCTATCTACTCTAACATCGATTGCTTTACTGTCAAAATTTGGCCAAAACTACAAAACGTAGAATCCACAGAACCATACCATTACGAATTTCATGTTACTGCTGCTGCTGCTCGTACATCTCCACATACAAAACGTCAAATCCACAGAACTGTAACGCCACAGTCCTCAAATTGTCCCGTGTTACTGCTGCTGTTCATATATCTGCATATATGTCTCTGACAGCGCAACCATTTGAGGAAGGGTTTCGGAAACATGAAGGTCCTGCATCTCATACCTGAAAAGAACAGAAGTGAGCCCATGCATTTGAATTTTCTTCAAATTTACATTAGGCCAATAAACAAAGAATAAAGTTTACCATAGCTCTTCGGATTTTCTTTGTACAAACACCCTGTAGGAACCTTCACCAGGTTTTCCGTCATGGACAATGTTGGCAATGAGATCATACTTTGAGCGCAGCCTCTCATTCTCTTTGGTGGTTGACAACGGGATGTAATCTTTCAATTCGAGGTTCTTCACAGGAAAGTTCACTGCAAAATGATTATTCCAATACAAAATATGAGCATTACTGATTGATTCATCCAGTACAAAATATTTCCATAGACATATATTCTCACCTAGTGTGGGATTCTTCTCCACAAAGAAATTGTTCTTTGTAAAACGTTGCATGTGGAGAATAAGATACTGAGGTAATCTGGTGACTCGATACCTCATCCTTGATATGCGAGGTCGGACCACTTCAGTGACAGTCTCCCCATCAAATTTCTTCAAAATGTTGAAGAGTGGGACCTAAACCATACCAGACAGAAATGAGAAATAAATACATTTTGAAAGCAAAACTCAAAATAACATAGGTGTGCTATAATCGTTTAAACAGAGCATGATGTATGATGTAAGACTAATGAGACATACATGACGGGCATCTTCCTGGGCTCGATTCAATATTCAAGGAAAATGGAAAACCAAAATGCTTAGAAGAAAGACCAGTTGCTTTGTCCCTAATTTGCAATCAAATCTTAAGTAACTATATGGTATTGAACAGGAGCAGAAAGAAAGACTAAACCGCTTAATTCAAGGCAATCAACTATCCTCCATTCAGACCAACAAAATTGAGGAATAGCCCAACTACCCATCTTAATGACCAGCAAAGTTGTAAATACCTAAGATTATAATTACAGAATCCGACTCAGAGCAATCTTAGACAACTAGTGTACAAGTTGGGTAATAGCACCACTAAAGTCAATGTACGTAACTCCAGTAAATTCAGACATGTTTTATGTAGCCATGGGAATCCCCTGACAAGCTAGGAAAAAAGTTACTAAGGCACTGAAATTATTAGAAAGACATTAAAACCCTTAAAAAGGCAACTAAAGAATGACCTTCACACTCGCCAGAAGATGCAGTACATATATAGAGACTACAAAGGTCGTCATATGCACAAAATAGTGTTCCCAGTACCTGGGGTATTATATTTTTCTCCATCACATCTTTGAAAAGCGGTGGTGGGGGCAAATCCAATCCAAGCATCAAGAAAGGCATTTTGTAAGTTTCCTTGACAATGCCCTTATTTTCAGTCGCAGCACCTGAATTCTGGTCATCACCATTTTCTATCTTCTCAATACCTTTATTAGGAATCTCCTTCACAACCTCCAGTTCCCCCTATTCACAGAAATAAAACATATTACACTCTAAAGAAAAGTGCAGGTTAAATTGAAGCAACAACAATACAACAACAAAGGAAAATAAGAATAAGAAAGAAAACCTGAAAGCACTCATATATGATGCTGCTATTTTTCTTTGAAGTTCTAAGATTCGCATGCAGCGTATTAAGCAGCCATGACATGAATTCGACTGGGTCAGACTGTGCTCCAATTCGAAACCTTTTCTTACTGGCTTTCATAACTGCCTGTAGGAACTCGTGTGGGCTGACCTGTAGACATTACAGATATAAGACATATGAAAATGTTTAATAACAATACCTAGTCGCATAAATATGAAATCTACAAGAATCAAGATCAAACCTGTCCTTTGAAATTTCGTGCATGCCATATCTTTCTCGTTAGCTCCCCAAATCGATGAACAAGCGGAGACTTGCAATGTTGATAATTCTTAGGGATAAGGAAAAAGTTTCTTAGAGGAGTGACTCTCATTAAAGACTGAATCGTGACATTCACAAAATCAGTCTCCTTGATGTTATTGAGCCCCACCTGTTTTTTGCAAAATCAAGAAAACAAAGGTAGCAACATTTAGGAGCCAAAATAACACCTTGCTAGATATTTTTAAGACACATTGTAATGAAGTGCACCCATCAGACAGATTCATCCCTAATAGTTCCCACACGCATGAAAACACAGTACTTATGCGGTTCAAAACAATCTAGTCTAACCTTATGGATGAGAGAGAACTGGCTGGTGCTTTCTTGATACCATACAAGTATATCAAAACTCTGAACAGCTATATCATAGCTCTAATTGTTGGCTACGCATGTAATAGATTTATCATAACTAATTCCATATTTGGCAAGGATTAAAGATCCTTCTTCCCTGAGTTAGTTAATAGAAAGGAAACTCTACAGAATTGACCAAGCGAATTAGGAAGTTGAAACATAGCACCAAGCATCAGAATTGACAACAGCAGAAATAGAAACATATGTGGAATTTTGTGCAAGAACTAAAATCAATACCATTCCAGGAAGGTAATCAGAACCATCAAGTGTTCTAGACCATTGCTTGTTCTTGTCAATCTGCTCAACTTGTTCTTCAGTAAACCTACACATAAGAACAAATGGATTCAAATTTATTTGTTTAATTATGCATACTTACAAGGAATTCAAAGTTATTCGTTTACTCATGCATACTTAAAAGGATACCCAAGGAAGACTAGAAAAATAAGAAAATATAATCATCAAACCTTGGGTTTAGGACATGTCGAATATCGTCCAATGATGGGTCACTTATTTCATATCCATCGGGAAGGCAATAAACTTTCTCTGTTCGGAGATTGATATAAACATGGTGCCCAGCTTCAAGGCTATGAGTATATGCATGGGACTTCTTCCCTCTGCCTTGGTAATACTTCCCACAAACCAAGCATGCATACACATTCAAATTTGACAGTGACAGAGAGCAGAACTTCTCAAAATCGAAATCCAAAACCTGGACAAAGAATAAGCAAGCAATCAGTATCAATACACCGAATACTTTTGTATGGATAATATATAAACAAGCTGGAATACCACACTGTAACAACTCAGAATAGAAATATACCTGGCGATTGACAGTGTCAAGATATGGGCAATCCCTCCTGACCTCGATTTCACGTCCCCGCCTTTGGTAAAGTCCTTGTTCAAGGTCGTCATCATCATCATCATCATCCTCTAGTTCTCCTACTTGACCCCCATTCTGTACACCCTTTTGATTATCGCCGCCATCCCCGTTAAAGCCACTCACAGGTGGCCTTCTGTGGTTGTCCTCGTCGTCCACGTCTCCGTAATTAAAACCCGGAAGTAGAGTGCCTTCAGAGGCAGGTGACGGCGATGAATGCTCATTCAGTTTTTGCCTCTTCGGATGCAATTCAAACCCTTCCGTGTTCACACTAGCATTACCTTCATGTTCCCTCTTAGAGCTCATTCTCTTAACCCAATTGAAATCTCCCTGTTTCAACACTAACAGAAACAAATTAGGGAAAAATTCAAACTTTGATTTTTCTGAAACCCTAGAAGCATATAACGCAGCCATGAACAGAAAAATATAAGGCAGTTCTAAAGTACAAACCTGTAAAAAGCTAATACACGCCAAAAAATAGTCGACTGAAAGCTCAATAGCAACATTCCGAGTTTTAACACCAATAAAATAGCAAATGCTCTGTTTGGTTGCCGAGAAAACGAGGGAAAGTGAAAGAAAATCAGAGTGTTGAGTTATGTGCGTTAGGATATTTCTTTGCTTTCTCGTCCGATTTGAATTTGAAAATATATCGGAAATTACATGTGATTAGATAAAATACAGATGAAATTAGCTTTGTGAAGATTGCAAAACTATTACCTGGATCAGTGTGCTGTTTGCAGTCGGAGAAGCGAGAGGGAGAGAGCCTTTCGATTTTGTTTCGAAGCAAAAATGGAAGGTAAGATGCTCAGTTGAGAGAGAGAGAGAGAGGGAGTCTAATAATTTGGGCCTTCCGGAACCTTCGGCGTAATATGGGCTTAATACTTAATAGGTCCAAGGAGACGTTCTAGGCCCGTTTTTTTAACTGTGATGGTAAGTCTGCTACGGGTTCATTTTCCCTATATCGACATCGTTGATAAATACGAGTTATAATATAAGTTGATTGGTAACATCATCAACCTGTATAGGCAATATTAAAAGAATAACTTAGTCAGAACACCTGATGGTCCGAGGCTCACGTTTCAAAATTTAAGGTTCATTTGGATGTGCTTTTAAAATGATTGAAAATATTTTTAGAAAAAATCTTTTTGGGTTCCAATAACACTTGAAGTGTTTTCTGTAAGAAGCACCAATTATGTGCTTCCTCTGGGAAGTACTTTAAGTGCTTTTTCAAGATATTTTCATTTTTACTAAAGATTGGTTCTAATAACATTTTCACTAAAAATACTTTTAGTCATTTTAAAAGTCCATCTAACCGAGAAGTTGGTCGCTCAAAACACAAACTATCATGAGAATCAAATCAAGAATTGGAGGATGGCTAGTGCCATAATGAAAATCAAGCGCTCGTGGCCCATTTCACTAAAGTTTGACTTGAGGCTTCCCCAACCCTTTTCCCAACTTCCCACATATATTAATCATATCTTGCGTTACTTGTTTCATGCTACAGCATTAGGCATGCATTCAGCCCAAGGGTTTAAATATTGGTTGTTACGGAAGTATCGATGGTCTAATTTACGTATATATTGACGGATATCTCAAAAAGATATCTTACTAGCCATTAGCCTATATTTCAGTTTGGGATTGTTTATCAATAATCATTTATTTCATTGAAAATGTGGATTAAATTTGAGCAACAACGAGGAATTATTTATTTCACCGGATAAGATTAATTATTTCATCATAAGAATAATTAAACTTCTCAAACAACTATCACCATCAGCATCAAAGTATACCCACAACCTCAAGTCAGAAAGATTTATGCGTAACACTTAACTACCAGTTGCTACTAGTACGGATTTATATAGGTATTTTCAAATCGGTCACACAAGAAAGGGACCTTACCAATTGAGCCATCCCTCGTTGGCTAACGAGAATTAACCATTATCTGTTTACCCTTCCCTCTTCGTTTCAAGGGATCGATCCTCTCGTCATTGTATGAAGTCACCAGTCTCAGATTGGATTGAAAAATAAACAAAGGCAGCAGCGGAATATTTTTCACATGTTTACAATGAATTGCAGATCGTCTCAGCTTGAGAAAACAAAACAATGGACTACAAATCGATAAAACAGATCGAATTTTTACGACGATTGCCAGTCTTTTCGGATATCAAAGGTGTAATTAATCTCCAAGTAGCACTTGTTGTCATCGTCAGCAAACTGTACCACAAAACCAAAAGCGAATAATGTGAGACGGTGAGTGGAGTTCATGTCAAAGAGGGCTTTCAGTACTGGAAGCACAATCCTAACAGGCTAACATATATCGTTCTTCTACATGGTGGTTGTGTAAGTACCAAATCTACCAGTTCATTCTTTTCCCAAAAGGGTCCGGTTTTATGAATCTAATTTGAAAGATCTGAGGTTATGGAAACATCAAGCGCCGGTTAAACTTACCTTGCTTCGAGCTGAATAAGATCCCCTAGCAAATATGCCAGATGGGGTTGTGTCCTCGGGCAACACATGTGTGTAAGGCTCTGACTGTGGACTAAATGTTCCAAGCATCTCTTTCGTGCTATCAACTGCGAAGAAAATGATCCGCGAGAATGAAACATCGAAACTCCCTAAGGCTTATCAATGCTGTTACATAATATGAATATATGCGTGAGAGAGAGAGAGAGAGAGAGAGAGAGAGAGTACCTTTCACAGCAGTTTTCCAGACTGTGTTGGTGTATTTGAGACCTGAAACGATGTTATTGCTGACCTGAAAAGTGAATTTGAGGCTGTAACGGCTACCTTCTTTCAAAGTAAACCACAACCCTTTGGGATTTCCGTCGACGGGAATCGGAAGAATTATATCAGATCTGCCAGGGGATTTAATTGCCAGGCTCATGATCTTAACTTCTGGCTCTAGAGTTTCTGCACAAAAACAGACAGAAACAAAGTTGTTCCATCAGAGATCGTAAAAATCGCATACCGCAAGCTGAAATCAGCAGCATATTTATACACCAAAACAAACATATATTTTACTGACAGTTGAAGATATATCGACGGCTGAAGATATAAAGCAAAAGCGTGCAAACAAAATCATGTGACGAAGCTAAACACCGGTGTAACCATTTCGTTTTCAGTTTTACATTTGTTTTTCTAGAACTAAAGGTGATCAAACGGGCCTACAGTTTTGAACTTCAGCTGGAAATTGAAAGGGAAAAATCAAAATTTACACACTTTCAGGCTCCATTTTTTCATTTGACAAAAACGAATTCGAAATTTCGAAGGAAAAGAAAGATTACCACCGACAGAATTAACATCCACACTCCCAAGAAGCTGTTCCTTCCACCTCCTCAAGCTCTCATCGTCCTAAAACCTCAAAATTATCACCACAGACAAACAGCAACAACATTAGCCAGATACAAAAAGCCGAATGCCACATTCTTCAAAATAGAGACAACAAACCAAAAACACAAACCGCATCCTTCTCAATTTGTTCTTTGAGAGTGAACTGAGGCCCCAACTCAATCTTCTTTACTTCGTCATCGTCGTCTTCGTCCTCGGTCTGACAGAGAGAACCCTCACTGGGTGATCTAACCATCCCTGTGGATAGTTGATCCGCACTTGCCTCACCGGTTTTCGCCGTCTTGTCGGAAACCTTGGCGGCGTTATCATCATCCAACCCCATGTTTTTGGAACTCGAAACAAGTCCAACGGCCAGAGACATCAACAGGTCACCAACCCCCAACAAAAAGATCAAGGGCACAGAGAATGTAGACCCAATGACCAAAGTATTACAAGTAAAAAATGAAAAAACAGAACAAAATAAACAAAAAGAACAAGACAAAACACCCAGTTGGAGAATCTCTGTGGGAAAACAAGAAGAAAATTGGGAGACAGAAACCCAATAAAATATGAGGGAGTTTCAGTAAAACCCAGAAAAGTAAACAGAAAATTAAGAAAAACCCATCAAGGATAAACCTTGCATCAAGAAAAAAAAGTTGGCGGGGCGGGAGAGAAGGGAGTGTTTAGGAGGAGTTTTCAAGCCGAGAGGAAATGGTCGTGTGGTGATCCGAAACTTTTAGAGAGATAGAGAGGAAAGAGAGAAGGGTGGAGAGATCGTGAGGGTCACTTGCTGCGGCACTAGCTTCCACGAAGACCAGGACTCGAGGAGGGATTTTCAATTTTTGAAACACAGAAACAAACACATCGGATGAGACAGGCTTAAAGCCTGTGGATTGGGTGGACCAAAGATAGCAACTTTTGACCCCTTCTTATTTTCCGCTTTTTATCTTTACTTTTAGCTTTATAATTTACATGTGCAATCATCTTTGTTAGAGCGGATAACATAATTATATTAGTTAGAGCATATGTGATTTCTTTATACACGAGCATTCGCTATGTTTAGATTAGATCATGCTCACTCACCTAGTACCTTCCAAAATTGTAGCTCCTGGTAAAACATGAAAATAAAAGGTTAGTTTCCAAAACTTTATCTATAAATTTAATATCTCTAACATTACCTGAAAATAAAAGGGATAAAAGAGACCGGTCAAGAAGCTGTCCTGATAACTAGTCTAATTCCCCAATATGAATGATGTGTTCGAAACTACTACAAGATGGAATAATTTTATTTGTTAATTGATACGTCAGAGTTGTGACTAATAACGTGGCACTATAAAGCTCCACAATGCTATATAAAATTCATAGGCAGATCATTTTCCAGATAACACATGTGCATGAACAGCATGACATGTGTTTTTCTAATAATTTGGGTGATTAGCTTTTATATTGATTTAAATTTCTTGGTAGGGGATTATGAAATTGCAACTACTAAATAATTAAAGGATCCAAAGCGGAGGAATCAAGGCAATGATGGGATTATGATTGCCCCCTATTGTAGGAATTGGTCAATCATTTACCTTTATACAAGGCCAATTCTCAGAAAAACTGAGGATGGAAAATGCATCTCCGACGATATACAAAGTCAATCACATAGTATTATTTACGTTAACTTTTTCATATAACAGTATATAATTGAATGAAAATACCATTAGATAGTATTTTCGTGATTTTAAAGTTGAATCCACAAGTTGTTCATTCAAGGGGCCTGATCACAAGTTCAGCATTGCAGCAAATTAAACGCGTTCTGGAATTGAGGTACAAAAAATAGTGGTCACATTCTCAATGCATGTTAGGAGTGATCTCAAACTGAAACAAAATCATCACTCACTAGTCACTTCCCCATTTTCTTAGAACACTCTCTTTAGCGGAGACAGTGCTGTAGGCTTCCTTCATCGAGATATTATGGCCATCTGGTGCTGCCTTCCTTAAGATTCTCGAAGTTAAGAAAGCAAACCCACTTCTTGTCCCTCGCAAGGCGTATAGCAACGGATTGAAGATGACAGCAAGCATCAGTTCTCCCTTAGCAATTATGAGGTACTGAAAATCAAGAATAAGAATAAGAGATGTAGAGAGGTCTGTATATATTCCAGGCAACGGCATTGAGTTGAATTTAGAAATGGGGCAAGAAGTTACTTACCATCACGACGATACCTATCACAGCAAGACTTGCTTGTTGTGCTTCTTGCCAGAAATTGCCATCATTCGACCATCCAAACCATCTACCCCACCCAAACCATCCCCCTCCACCAGTGCTGCCGCCTCCACTCACCTCCTCTCTTCTCTTAATTTCTCTGTCCCATTTCTCGAATTCATCTTTCTTTCCACCAAGTGCACCATCTAAAGCTTTCCTAGCTTGGTCCTGGAACCGTAAAATGGTTAAGTTAAATTCATACATGAAAGATAAACCCGCATTTAAATTATGGCCCATTAAACCAGATGAAAAGAGGGACCAAGAGATCAATCAACTCCTCTTTTCAGCAAGTTACATCTGATAAAATTGTTATTTGTCCGAATGACAATGTGCAGTGTCATGGTTAGACCTTGTCAGCAGCCCCTATACCTAGAGCAACAGATGGTGTTCGAGACAACTAAATCATAAGAACATTGTCAGGGAAAAATAGGCTTTCTGCAAGCTGAGTGGAACAACCTTTTGTGTGGGAAAGGGATCCTCTCCATCTGAGCCTACTGACCACACAATCCGGGCCTTTGAAATTTGATTCGACGGCTAAAGTTATTATAACTTTTAATGGGACCCTCTGTTTTTAACCGTTGGATCAAATTTCAAGGGCTCGGATTGTGTGGTCAGTAGGCTCAGATGGTGTGCACCATTAACTCAACACTCGATGATTCTTTACAATTCTCCAACAACTTGAATGCTCAAACTACCAAATACTCGACTTTTATTCAAAACTCAAATCAATGCATAAAGCTAATTCACTTTGCTCGGGCACTAAAAGAACGCAGTGTTTTTCGGACATAATTGAATGTTCAAATGTAAATCTCCAAGCACAATTTAACTGAGCATACAGTTTCCCAAAGGCTCAAACCGCACAGGGCAAATGGCCAAGCAGAGAAGGATACCACGAGAAAACACATAATACTCCACTGAGAAACTAACAAGAAGGAATGCATCATTGCCAAACAAAATACAAACCCAACTGAATCTGTTTGCTCAATTTGCCTAAAATTGTTCAAAATCCACATTGTCAGCTGTCAAAATTCTGAAAATTGGTATTTTATCATCTCTTTTGACAAATTAGAAGAGGGAAATTAGAAAACAAAAGGGGAAATTGAATTGAAATTTGGGATGTTGGGACCTGTTTGCTATTGTCTGAGAAAAGGCAAGAGAACCTGCCGCGGCACTTGAGCTTGAACAGAAGAGAATTCCAGTCCTGAGTTGCTTCATTTGGGCGGGAAACGAAAGTCGGAAGTGGGCGAGTGGAGGAGGACGACGACTGAAAGAGGGTTTGGGATGGCGGGATTAGGTTAAGAACGAGCGCCATCTTCGTATTTCCCACCCTAAGTTTTCTCCGGTGTTAAACGTTAGAACATTACAGTTAAACGCTGCGTTTGATATATATTTTATTTTTTTTGCGTTGATTCATATATATATTTTTTAGAGCACTTCCTGGAAGGCCCTTAGGGCAACTGCCTATTGAATCCCCTTCAGTGAATAGTAATTATTTTTAATGAATAGTAATTATCTTTTACATCTTCATCTTTAAACTGAATAGTCATGGCAATAGACAATAAAATATTAGTATTTTTTATTTTATAAAATAATAAAAAATAATTTTATTTGTAATTTCGGATATGATTTTAAATCGGTCTCGTTGTACCACATTTCATTAAATAAGAAATTACAACCCAAAGTATTTGAGAAAATACAAAATTGTGGTGTAAGTTTGAACATAATAATAAGATATTTATAGCAAAATTAAATCTTTTTTTTTATTTATTTTTGTTTTCAGATTTGTTACACTTTTTAAAAATTTTATTAATTTATAACGTGGTTGACATCAATCTTGCATTAGTGCGCCTCAGGCGCTTGGGGCGTGGATTCCTGCCTCCCCTCTCCCATAGGTCTGCCTCTAGCCCAATTGCCAGCATGGGCTGGAGCAAGGAAGGCTGGCAATTTGGGTTTTTGAGCAGTCAGTCCCCAAGGCAATGCACAACGCTAGACTTGCTCTTAAAGATACCTACATTTAACATAACTTTTTGTTTGACAAATGATAGTTTAACCTACATATTAATAAAATTCTGGTTGTCAACCAACACACTGGGAAATTACCATTTTAATCATCTCATCAAAACTAAACTCAAATAAAAATTTAGTAATTATATGAACATAAATTTTGCTGCTTTTTACAATAATTTAATAGTCAGGTTAATATAACATACCCTATTTAAAAAATAAAAATAAAAATAAAATATTCTCACATTAGAAGAAGCTGCTCATCGTTATCTCAAATTTCATAACTGATTTTTTTTTTTTAAATTTTAAAAAGGGAGTTTCAACGAAAAGCCCGCGGTACTGTTCACTTTAATGAAAAACCACATCTTACATTAAAAAGTCAATCCTGATACTATTTACTTTACCATTTATTTTGTCCTTATCATTAAAACTCAAAGTCTTCAAACCCTTTTCATTAGTTTTTCTTTTGAAAAAATTTATCCCACTTTATAATAAAAAACAAAATGAAATGAAATTGTTCACACACAATATGTGAAGACATTTGCTAGTATTAATGAATAAAATAATTATAACTTACAGCTTAAGAAAGAAGGTAAATCGATAAAGATTAAACCCGTGACCAAATGGATATACACACTTATTTACCGTTATTGCCATAAAACATCATCGATGGATTAACGTAACAATTCAAACTTTCTTTTTAGTCAACATAAACATTTCAAACTTTCCTTTTAGTCAACATAACACTTTGGGTCGGTGCGTGAATAAAAGACTATTTTACGTTCAAGTTGGATCGGTATCAACGTTGGGCCAACAATTACGAACCTTTTTCTAAAGGGCCACAATATTAAATTCATTGCAAACACATAAGTCTAATTTGATTAGCCACTTCAAACATCAAAATTAGACTTCTAATTTTCTAAATTTTTGAAATATGTAAATGGTATTATTACGACACGTGTTTGTCTTGCATGGTATCACCTAAAAACGCAATCTATACACCAACAAATAAGTCTTGTTCCATTAAGTGAGATTAGTATGAATCTTAAAACGCAATTGTGCTTAGTTTTGCGTTAAGTCTTATGTTAGTTTCAAGTACTCGATAGCTTATAGTCTCATTCCAAGTCATTCTATGCCATCTACTCATTTTGTTCTAATCTTTCGTTTCATAGTCGAATTTTTTTTAACCAGAGCATATGTAGGTCATTAGTTCACTTATCCAACTATCTTAAACTATTTTCTCTCATCTTATCTTCAATTGCAACCACTCCTACTTTACCTCAAATATCTTCGTTCTAAATCCTACCCTTTCTCGTGTGCTCACACATCCAACGAAGCATTCTCATCCCCTCTACACTCATTCTTTGCACATGCTACTTTTTAACCGCCTAACATTATGTGTTATAAGATTAATGACATTCTTTGCACGTGTTATTTTTTAACCACCTAACATTATGAGTTATAAGGCATCAATGGCCTTATTAACGTCCTATAAAAAAATTCATTGAGTTTTAGTAGCATACGACGATTGTCCAAATTTCAAATACATATATTTATAATCACTATTGGTTGAAAGATTTCTCAAATAATTGAGGGATACTTTTGTAGATTTCACTCTACATCGTATTCTAACAATCCAACTATATATTATTTAAGTATTTTCTTAAATATCATCTCTACAAAAAAAAAAATACTCAAATTCAAAACTATTCGAGGGTGATCATTAGAAAAGCAACATATTTCACCAATATTTTTTAGAGCAACATGCATCAAAATCGACCCATGTGTATGAGACTTCACTTGCTTCTCCTTGTATACGAAATACGATGAAAACCCATATGCTTTGCGTTTTGGGTGGAGTTCCATTTTCCATGTGGCTTCACCAACTTCACATAATCTGTGGCTTTCATTTGCAACATTGCAGATAACAACTTTAATTTTTTTTTTTTGGTAAACAAAAACAACTTTAATTTAATACAACGAAAGATACTCTTATCTTACGATTACGATTGTATTTTAAATTAATCATATAATGTTATAAAACTAAAATTAATAACATACGATTTAATTTACGAGGGTGAGTTTTGACGCAACAAAAATATTACTTTTTTGAGATCGGAAAATCACAAATTTGAGTTATGAAAACAATTTATTTACAAAAGCTACGTACGACAGTTGTTTCTCTGATTTTCATAAAATGAAAAACCTTATTAATTTGAGACCGTGTTAACGTGCGATAAACTCAGAATACCACTGTTTTCTCGAGTTCCTTTATTCACCGTGTGGCAAACGTGGCAAACAAGACACTCAAGTACCATGAGACTTAATTGTTGTTGTACATTCGAAGCGATCCCACTGTCCCACATGAAGTAGGTGGTAGGTAAAAGAAAGAAGCATGGGTTGTCTGCTGATAGATAACTGCAAGTACATTCTCGACCTTCGGATCAAGCGACATCGTTCAACAGTGGTTGACCAAACCCCACCAATCCCTATCAAACGGTCCATAGTCAAAACCACAAATCATATTTTCCTCATCTAATTTGCACTCTCAATCCACGATGCAGAGAGAGAGAGATCCACCGTTTCTGGTGAGGGTATTACAGTAATTCAATCGTCAACTTTGGTTTATGTAGCTGTAGACAAAACGAGTTTCATTTTCTACCACGCTATCTCTTTATCTTTAATTTATAAAGCGAAAACAAAAAAGGGAAAAAGAAAAGAAAATCAGCTTTAACTTTCGCAGATGACGTGTTTACCCCCAATCTTTTACCCATAACGAAGGGTACTTTAGTCTTTAAAAAATTAGAACAGGAGAGAGAGAGAGAGAGGAGGAGAACAACTTTGGTGTTATATACTGTTGGGCTGCTGTGAGAGAAAGTTTAAATGCGTAACAATGATTAATTTTGAATATCGTTACAAGAACGTTTTGATAAAAATGAAATTCATTTGTATGCTACATCAACATATAACATAATTTTTGATAGAATTGTGACGGAATGACCATATTTATTTGTGACACCTATTTTCAGATGCTACATTGATTACTTTTCAACTTCAAAAACCATTTCGAAAGTGTGGATCAATTTCAAAGATAATTTGTAATAAAAACTCTTTTTTATTTATTTTAAAAGAAGTAATTCAAGCTGCATTATTGGTTTTGAATACTTCGACAACATTTTTCTAGTATGAGTTTTTGTATTTATTTTAAAAGAAGTGACTTCTGGCATTTATTTTCTGAATTTACACACTCTTAATTGTTTATGACCTTTTGAATTTATAAAAAAATTTAGAGAAAAAATAAATATAATGTACACAAAGGAAAAAATAGCCTAAAATCATTTTCCTTTTTCAGCAAATTCTATCTCAAGTGGCTAGAACGATGGGCATATTACCGACATTTTACCAACAAAACAAACACAAAGGGATATTTTCGTCATTGCAGAATTATAAAGAGAGAGAGAGGTTGAGAGTAGAGAGAGATAGAGAGAGGAAGAGAGAGACAGAGAGAGAGCAGCCTGAGAGAGTGAAGAGCGTTTGATTTTCCGTTTATTCAGTTACTATATGTAGGTGCCATCGCTAACGCCATGGTGTCGGACCAAGAGATAGCCGAAGCTGTGGAGACTGTGCTCCGTCAATCAGGCCCTAACGATGTCGCCTCCGTAAACGCCGTCGTTCAGCAGCTCGAGGCCAAGCTAGGGTTGGACCTCTCCCACAAGGCCGCCTTCATTCGCGACCAGATCAACTTCCTCCTCCGCCCCTTCGCCCAACCGCCGCAACCCCAACCCCCCAAAGACCATTTTGCCATACATTACAACCTCAACCCCCACCACCACAACCACCCTCACAACCTCCCCCACAACCGCCATCCTCAATTCCTCCCCCAACAATTCCCTCCCCATTTTGCTCTCCACCCCCACCACCGCGCCCCCGAACCCCACAACTTCCACCCCCCGCCGCCGCCGCCGCCGCATCAGCAACTACGCCCTCAGCCTCAGTCACAGCCTCAGCCTCCGCCTCCGCCTCCGCCTCCGTCTGTGAAGACCGAGGCTTTCCCCCAAAATGCCCCCACAGCCGCCCCGGAAACGCCCAAAGAGAGGTTCGGATTTCATGTTTCAAATTTTGAAATTAAAGAATATGTGGATTTTAGGCTCCCGCTTTTCTTTCCTGTACATTTCGAAGGTTGCATGTTTATGAAATTCAATTGGTTCCCATGTTTCCAGAGGTTCCAATCAGCAACATTTCGTAAGTGTCCGTTTAAAACTTTTGAAATTTCTGCTTTTTCCTGTTTGCTTCTACCAAATTTCGCTAATTTGCCTATCTTAATTGCTATTTCTCACTAATCGTTTTCTCTTTTGGGTAAATAGAGCCTACTGTGTAAATTTTTATAATAAATTAGGGAACAAACATATGGAAATTGGCCTTCAAACCCTTCTTAGTATTGTGATAGGAAAGTTTTAACCTTTTTCGCGGACGAATTGTCGTTCGGATAAAAGTCAGACTCAAAAATGCTGTTGTTTGTCTCGTTGCATAAAACATGAAATAGGAACCAGCAGGTGGTCAATTAGGAAGACTCTTACTCTAATTATATAGTAAGACTGTAAGAGTCTCACTCCTCAATTATTGAAAGAGCTGGCTTAATGGTCGTGCTAATTAAACGAGTTCGCTTGTCAGTTTGGTTGGCCGTTAATATTTTTACGTAAATTTGGAGGTTTTGTGGGTTGAAGTTTCGTCCTGTTAACAGGGTTTGGGAATAAACTATTTGGAAAAGCAGCATCATCCCTTCGTTCACCGTAGCTCAAATATTATCTTGTTGTTTTGTACTTGCAAGTAATCTATTATGGTTCAGTTTATTTCATGCTGCAACGGATGACCTGACTTGCTTGTGTTCCGTAATGTTACTGCAGTGCTCCATCTTCTGGAACCAAGAGAAGAGGAGGGCCAGGGGGTCTTAACAAAGTCTGTGGTGTCACACCTGAGCTTCAGGCTGTTGTTGGTGAACCGGCCTTGGCGAGGACTGAGGTTATTACTCCCAAATAAACCCGGATTCTCTTTTTATGCTAACTTGTTATGTTCAATGATGTGTCTCAGATTTTTCTCGGTAGATCTTAATGTAGGTTTGTGGGTATGTATTAAGATTTTATTTTTGCTTATTTCAGATTGTGAAGCAGCTCTGGGCATACATAAGGAAAAACAACCTCCAAGATCCAAGTAATAAGAGAAAGATTATTTGTGATGATGCCTTACGTGTGGTATTCGAGACAGACTGTACTGACATGTTCAAGATGAATAAGCTGCTATCCAAACATATTATACCCCTTGGACCTAACAGTACGTAAACACTGAGTATTGTTTCAGATATTGTTCCATAAAGCTAGATTAATTTATATCTTTCTCCTGTGTATATACAGAGGAGTCAAGTCAAGCTAAACGATTGAAGGTAGAGGCCAAGTCTACAACTGAGAGTACTGAACCTCAACCACAACCACAACCGCAACCGCAACTGGGGTCCCTTACTGTAGGAATATCTGAAGCACTAGCTAAGTTTTTGGGCTTTGGAGGAAGGGAGATGCTCCCATCTGAGGCAACAAGACTTGTTTGGGAGTATGTAAAGGTTAACCGTTTGGAGGTAAGTATCCAGGTGCAGAATTCTGTAGATGATTATTTTATTGGGTACGTTGAATTTATCTCCGTTATTCCATTATCAATCACAAGCTGGATTGATTTTAGCTAGTGAGGTGATGTAATTCTCCTTACCTTTCTACTTGCTTAACTGCTACCTTGCTTGGTTTGGACCTTTCACATCATGTGCATGTGGAAATAAGACTTATGATGGCGCCTTGCTTGTATTTCCATAGGATCCTCTAAATTCTACAGTGATATTATGTGACGCAAAGCTCCACGAGCTTCTTGGATGCGAAAGCATTTCTGCTGCGGGGTTGCACGAGATGTTAGATCGGTATCATTTATTCAAACAATTATGATTTCTGGTAGTGTTGACTGGTTAGTATAAGTTCCATTTGTTTAATTCGTCTCATTTCTTTCTTAACAAAATTGTATGCATATAAACTATTTAGCTTAGTTTGCTTGCCTCTCACTCGATGTGTTATTGACAATCACTGAAATGGTCTGTTTTATTCTTTTGCAGGTGCTCGGGACCTTTGCCATCTGGTCTTTTCTGATCCTAGAAAACATAGGAAAGAACAGTTCTTTATATCCGTTGTTTTTCTTTTTCGTCGTCTCATTTGTGCATTGACGTGGTTAGGTGCTACGCCGTCTTACTTGTCGTGGTTATTTGGATTTAGAATTGCTATGTGCTGTGGGTTAATGGTAACAAGTTTCTTAGATTACGCCATTGCCTAGGTTAGTTCGTTTTTAATCGTCTTCTCCTAACCTTGAAACTGTGACAGAATGATAAAATGCTCTGTACAGCGTGGAAGGACCTTTGTATTTCATAGATGGCGGTAAATGTTAGTTTTAACTGCAACTTGTGTATCTTCTTACATCGCAGTAAATTCTTATTTTAACTTCGATTTTTTTTAGCATTCTGGCTTTCGTGGTGATACATATATTTCAGAAAATTCAAATTGGATAATACTTGGAAACTACTGATCAGTCGGAAAGAAAATGTTGTGTTTCATCACGCGCAATGTCAGCCGTCAATGGCTGCCCAAGGCCGGCCACCCCGTGTTTTGGATCAATCCGTCCTCGCCACGGGGTGGACTGAAGTGTAACTGCAAAAGTTTGAGATTTTAGTTTCACTGCCAGTACAGTGCGTCCCATTCTTGAAGAAAGACTTGGACGTATAACCAATTTCTGCTATTGCAAATTCTGAAATTACTTAAAAGTGGTACGTGAAATCAAAAGACGCCGAAGTTTTGCAATTTCAAAACAATTCTATGAAAGGTACGACAGTGCGATTGACTTGAGATATAAGAGCAAGACACCCCGGTTGTAGGTTAGTTTCTCTCGTGGGTATGGCTTAATCCAAGATAAGTTTGAATAAGATTAAAAAGGCAGCCTTGATGAACAGAAAGAGTAAAACCCACAGAATTCTGTTTGCTTTACCCTTGAACATTGAATTGGAACCCATCTTGTCCATTAAATCCGCCATAATTCCCATTATTTTCTGCAAAAGTGATATAATAAGCACAGAGAAAATATGAACATAAAGAAAATTAGTGAAATTAAGAAGTCATTAGAACCTAACTTACCAGTCTGAGGGGTTCAATATGGAGGAGTGGTTCCATAAACATCTCCACATTTCTGTAAAGAAGATAACGGGAATTATGAACGAGTAGTTTAATGATGTCGCAGTCAATATTTTAAGTCAATCAAACACAACCATGAATGAATGGTTTGAGATACAGCCAAAGTGGCTTCCCAACAATACTTGAGCTTCGCTTGTGCACTTACGTTGGGAAAATGAATAATGCTACGGAGATCACATTTTTTTACCACATTCACATCACTTGCCACATCAGATAGTACATGGATGAGGTTAAAAATGATGGTCTCCTACGTATTTTTTTCTTGGGGAACTGTGTGAGAAGAGGGTATGCAATTTATATGAAGCAAACAAGCACCTTATGGTGACCTTCCCTTTGTAGATATGGCATATATGGAAGCTAAAGCCCTTTCCCAGAGGCGCATGCGTTTTTTTCCACTCTGCATATCAAATTATAAATCCCTTATTGCAAAAAAGAAAGAGAAACGGGGTTCCTTCCATAAATAGTTACACAATCTTAATTAATCTGCAGAAAAAATAATTGCAGGCGTATCAGTTCATATACCTAAGCTCCACTGAACACCGACGTTCATTCCATGGTGCAACGTCGGCGTTACAACAAATTCGATGTTACTTCCCAAGCTTCGGATTAGATATGAGAAAAAATCCAGCACTTCCTGCAACAGAAATCAAAGTAGCACTTGCCTATACGTTATATAGTTTTATGATGCTATATGCGGATCATATATAATACATACATACATATATATATATATATATATATGTAAAATGTATACCTTCTTTCCTTGGAGGGGTTGGATGACTGAGAATAAATTGCATACACATTGGCATTCATCTCCTATAATCTCAGACAACTCGCGAATGTTTTTGTTCTTGATAGCGGTGTAGAGTTTGAGGACTGTTTCCAGAGCTCGTGGATCCTCGGCTCCCTGATGATCCCCTGGTAATCCTCCTGAGTTTCTAGCAGAATTGACTGGCACTAACAAGAAGTCTCTCTTCTTTGATTTTGGAAAGATGCTCTCCTGAATAGTAGGTTGTCGATGATCACAACTTGGTGGATGAAAATTGCCAAAAACATTACGAGAAGACGCTGTTTTCTTCAAATTTTTGTGAAAAAAGGCCCCGGTAGGGCAAATAACCAAAGTCATTTGAACACTGAATCAATATTGTAAGAATCGAAAGTTCGAAACCATATGACACAGAGACAGACAGACATAATGCAGCAGATGAATATATATTTTTTACAAGATTCCTAACCTAAGTGGCTACATACGGCAAAGGAAGCTAATTATCTTGCCCACAACCACAAGCTAAGTTTGTTCCTTGGCAATGGTATTTGCCTAGATCTCTGCCACCTTTGTTTGCTTAAAACGTAAAGGGGTTTTCAAAATGTTATTCTTGAGAGTGATTTACTCCAGATTGTGACGACTGTTCATGATTCTTCCAATTTTTTGTCCGACGTTGGACTTTTAAGGATTCGCGTGAGATTTTATCTTCATTCGCTGGAGCTTATTCTACACATGTTCGTCGCCAAGCCCATTGCTCATTGCCTTGCATGGTTTGCCCTTACTTAGAGTTCGTCGTGTAACTAGTTTGAGGAACCTCCAGGCCTTATCTCAGATTTACTTTTTGAACAAGCTGTTTTGTAGTTGATGTAGGGTTTTGTAACTCCTTTTTTTTTTTTTATTAAACAAACGATATTATTTACACTAGGAGATAAACTTAACCTAACAATATGCTAGCAAAAATGTAGTTCAATTCGCCTTTAGCAAGAATTAAACCTATTACTTACAAGCATCTCAACTTATGCATCCTGACTACCTCTCCGGTTTCGATCGTTTTGCCTTTCAGCCATTGAAATACGATGGCAACGGATTCACAAAGAGAGAAGATGGAATCGTCTCCTTGATTCAGCTCCCACAGCTACGGGATGGTTATCATTATGACCCGGATTTTGTTTTCCGCAATTTGAATCTCATGAGCGAGAAGATGATCGTACACAGTATGATGATCCATGCTTCTTATTTAACCGTCTTTAAGGGAGAGGTCATAATGCTCCCAACAACCACCAACGCTCAACTCCCAAAATGCAAGGATCTCTTGTTAGATTGGTTAGCGATGGGATTTCATAGTATAACCAACGCTCTCAAGATTTTTCGTGTCTCCAGAAATGCAGAGAACGGCAACTTCGTGGCCCAAGTTTACGTATTGGGAACAAGCTCGTGGCGAGAGATACCCTCAGTGCCTCCTTGTAATTTAAGCTGCAAAGCCGCATGCATCATCAAGTGATTATACTGAGATGTGCGTGTTGAAAATTACGATAAGAAAGAATGGACGATGGAGTACACATGTATCTTGGGTTATACTAGTACCTTGATCTCCATTAAAAATTATGGGAATTTGGTTGAAGCATAAAAAAGTAGTATTGTCTGCAAGAGGGAAAAATTTAGTTTACCTGGTAAGGTAAGGTAGCAGAGTGTTATAGAATCCAAGTGTATCGTCTTTCCATAGTTATACTTGTTTTCTCTTATCATCAACTACCGTTGGAAATAGTTCAATGATTATATAATTAGGTAAATATTGCTGACCAATTCACTTTATTATTGCCTGAAAAATACAGTGATGTGATTAATCATCCAAGGAATCACTAACCATTTTATTCATGGATAACAAAACTAACCTCTAAATGCAAAAACATCACACACATTCTATTTTTTTGTCAAAGAAAGGATTCTTCAAAGCAACCTCCACCTTTTATCGGGGTCATATGCAAGTAAACCCTGCACGAAATGTTAAATATCATTAAAAACAAACAAAGGAATCAAGAAGCCTAGCATACACACATGGAGAAGATCGCGGTCATGAACACCTATCACCATAAACAACCATGTTAAGTCAACCTTGAGATGTTGCGGTGGACAAGCTGGCCATAAGGGTAGCTGGTTCACTGCTGCCTATTTGTCCGCGGTGATTGTTCCTAAAACCCTGCATATCTATTCATATAGCTTAATGTTGTTGAAATATAATTAATTAAAACCACAAATCAAACCATTTTACTTGATAAAGCAAGTTTCGATCAACATCATGTTTCTATCGCTCATTTAACAATCTCTTGTCTGTGCACATCTCAGCTACACAAAGAGAAATCAATTAGATAAAAATTATGAAATTTAGAATCAAATCAATTATATCAAAATTTTAAATCAAATTACAGAAATCAAGATAATTGCCAACAATTATTCAATACCAATTATATAGCCACGAGCTCACGAATCAGCGGTTTAGGCGTAGTTCAAGACATCGAGCATCAGCTCCGGTGCCAAGTAAGCCTTCTGCAAAGTGATGGGGCACATATTTCGTTCTCCTTCAGCATCAAACATCAATTCCCCAAACAACAACCACCATGAAAGTTACAAAGTTTGATTAGGTCGCCGGCAATGAGCAATATGTTCCTTGGCGTTAGGAAAAGGTGAATTACCATATTGTGGTGGCAGTGCCAAGCTTAGCTAAATCTACCGAGTATAGTCCTTACCCGACGGCTTTAAGAGGACACAACAAGGAACTACCACCGGCAATTCTGCTGGGCTTTGCGCATTGCCACCGGAATATGGTGATTCACAGTTCCCTATCCCAACAAACATACTACTCCTTGCGGATAGCCAAATCAAACTTCGTAATGCTCGTTATTTGGGGGAATTGACGATGTTTAAGAACGAAACCTGAGCGCATCACTTTGTAGAAGGCTTACTTAGAACCAAAGCTTATGCTCCATGCCACTACACCGACACCGTTAACTCGTGGGCTTGCAGTTGTATAATTGGTATTGAATACATTTTGGCTAATTGACTTGATTTCTATAATTTAATTTAAAATTTTGAGATTATTGATTTGATTTCTAAATTTCTAAATTTTTATCTAATTGATTTCTGTTTGTGTAGCCGAGATTTGCACAAACAGGAGATTGTTTAATAAGCTATAGAAACATGATGTTGATCGAAACTTGCTTGGTATTATCAAGTAAAATGATTTGATTTGTGGTTTTAATTAATTATATTCCAACAACATTAAGCTATATGGATGGATATACAGGGTTTTAGAAAGAATCACCACAGAGAAATAGGCAACGGTGAACCAGCTGCCTTTATGGTCAGCTTATCCAGCGCACCATCTCGAGGTTGACTTAACTTGGTTGTTTCTGGTGATAGGTGTTCATGATCGTGATCTTCTACATGTATGCTAGGCTCCTAGTTTCTTGATTAATCTGTTTGTTTTTATAATATTTCGTTTAACATGTCGTGGAGGGTTTATGACCCTGATAAAAATATGAAGGTCGAAAATGCTTTGACGGATCCGTTCTTTTAAGAAAATTAGGATGCTAAGTGATCTGTTTAGATTTAGAAGTTTGTTTATAATTTTGTTGTGGAAGAAGAAAATGGTTGGTAGCACAGATTAATTCGGGCAATAATAAAATGAACTGGCCAACAAAAAAACATGTATCTAATATTATCATTGTAAGATAATAAGAGAAACTCAAAGAAAACACATATATAAGTCTCAACCGACAGTTTACCATAAGGGCCTAGACTTTGTACCGCTTAAGCGTGACGGCGGCGGCGGAGACGGCGTTTTGGCAGAGTAGGCTCTCTGAACACGTCACACGAGGTCCTTCTCCCCGGGTTCTTCTCTGATCACTCGGCCCGGCCTTCATCTGATCACTCCGCCGGCTTCGCGGCTTCGTAAGCGCGTTGGCCGCCACTTCCTCGGCCGAATCGCAACCCTTCCGCTCTTCCCAGATCCAGCAGATTCAACTACAGCCACAAATGATCTGATATTTTATCCGTTTCTTGTGTTATTATAGTCTGTGAGAGTGCCACGTTTTCGCATATTTTAAGGTCACGCAAACATTATTTCCGCAAACACATTTTTTTTATTTTTGACAGCAGAAACGATTTAATCGAATAAGGTTAATAGGTAAAAGTTGATAAATATGTGTGAAAGATAAAAATATGTAAACATCTGTGCGGCGTTTTGTTTTTGAAAAAATTTTCAATGTGTCGAGAATTATTTTTTTAAATACTTGGGCTGTACCGTATTTGAAATGATTTAGGGTTTGAGTATGATTGGGCTGGGCCTTTTACTCTGTCTTCATTGGGTCAGCCAGTTCATGAAATCCAACCATTTAAATATTGAAATACCCTTGACCTTTTCAAGAAGGACACGGACGTCCCCTTGGGTTGGTCACTTTCGCATTCCTGGACACGGAGGCAAATTGTCTGCTTGTTTGGGTGCCCTTCTTATTCTTTCCTATTTTGTGCGGTCATGGTTAAGTCATATCAATATTTTATATCAATTTTTTTTATAGAGATAATAAGACAAAATGCAATAGGAATATAAAATGTTGACGTGACTTAACTGTGATCGCATAAATAAGAGGGGATGTGAAAGACACTCATACAGGAAGGTAGACAATCTGCCTCCTTCCTGGACGGAGTGAAAGACAAATGCCATGTGGTGAAAATCCAATCGATCCAAAGGCAGAGCAGAACATAGAGAGACATAACCAAAACGCAACCAAAGACCGTCGTTTAGCTCTGATTCCTCTGACTGCCCGCGAAGCTCCAACAATGACGGCAGATCTGGTGCTTGACACAGCCATCGGAGACTGGGGTTCTCATCCCTCTTTCGTTGGTCATGGTTCTCATCGGTGTCCTCCGGTACTACGTCTCCAAGCTCATCTAAACGGAACATGGAAGTTACACCACGTATTTTCATATGAATGGTGGGAAATTTTATTTTTTAAGTTATTAACTTTTTAATACATATATCACACCATTTGTATAGCAACACGTGGTATACCACCCCATGTACCAGTCATATCGAAAAATCTCTCTTCAATTTGGGTTATAGTATATATAAATATAATTTCATGTTTTAAAAAACTGAAAATGAAAAAAAGTTAGTAAACAAGTTTTTAATTTTTAAATCCACTAGTACTAATGCTGATGGCAATTTATCACAGTAGTGAAAAACGATCATATTTAGGAACTCTGGTATTTAACTAATTCAGTCTTCCTTATTTTCTCATCCGCCTTTGACTCTTTTGTCTTTTCGTCCATTTTTTGCATCATCCAGGACCGAATCAATGTGATTTTTCTGTAGCAGTGAAACTTTCCGATTCCAGTTAAGAAAACATGCCTACTAAGTGTAAGTTTCCGAACTGGTCTTGGTTTCCCGTTTTGCAATAGGAATATGACTTCGTTTTGTAGTGGAAAACTTGGAAATTGAGAGAGAGAATCCTTCCGGCACATGGAGAAGTTCAAAGCCTTATAAATATACAAGACCTAGCCTCAGGAACCTCAACTACTGAAGTCACGAAAACAATTGAGAGAGAGAGAGAGAAATAACTACTGCCTTTTTGATATCGAGAAAATACATGGAGATGTTGGCTGGGATCGAGCAGCACAGAAAGAATAGGAAGCTGCAGGACTGTTGCATCAACAACAACACTAGTTGTTCTTCGTTAACGAGCCTACCCACCGAAATTCTCATCGACATTCTCTTAAGGCTACCCGTAAGATCACTGTTTTGCATCCGATGCGTCTCAAAGACAGTGTTAAGCATAGGCGACTGTCCATCTTTTGTTACCCTTCACACGCAACGTTTACTTACCGTACAGGCTACCCAGAATAATTTTGATGATGTTAATCAAGTACCTAAACTTATGCATATGGATCATAGTATCACCACAGATGGATATTGTGCCTTCCAATCAGTGGAATACGACGATGATAAGAATGCCTTCACACACAAGGAAGATGATGCAACCGCGCCGGCCGAGTTTGGTCCCCCACCGGCGCGGCCAGATGGTTGGTACGAAAAATTTGAATTTGTATTCTGCAACTTGCTTTGTTTTAGGTTTTTTGGGGATCCGGAATCTGATTCCATAAGATTTGAAGAACCATGCATCTTAGTTAATCCTCTTAGGAGAGAAGCCCTAGTGCTCCCAACAACAACCAACGCTCAACTTCCAGCGTCATGTCCCAAAGATAGCGTCTTAGATTGGTTAGCTATGGGATTGGATAATGTTACCAATCATCTCAAGATCGTCCGTGTCTCTGGAAATAAAGACTACAGCAGCCAGCTGGTGGCCCAAGTTCATGTATTGGGAACAAACTCGTGGCGGGAGGTAGACTCAGTTCCTCCTTGTAATTTAAGTGCGACGAAGTTATACGCATACGGGGACATGCATTGGCTGGTATGGTCAGAGTACGAGTATCCCGTTAATGATGATAATGGTGTTGATGATGGCGAGTATTATGATGATGCTGATGATTATTATGATTATGATGATGATGATGATCGAATAAAATGGACTCCTTTCTACCAAGCGTGGGTTCCTTTGAAATGCTACCAATGGGCGCACGGCATATTTTTCAATGAACACGGAGGTGCCACTCGTAGTACATATTTTTTGGATCTAAGAAGCGGTTCCACGACGAAAGCAGAATTATTCCCATCCAAGACCCTGTGCACCAGCATCTTGAGTTATACCCCCTCCTTGATTTCTCTAAGAAATTACGGGAGTTTGGTTCAAGGACAACCGACTACTGCAAGTATCACGTCTGCAGAAGGCAAGAATTTAGTTTACCTCATGATGTAGCACTAGCAGTAGCACAATGTTACCTTTCTCAGCCTCGAGGAAGAAATCAAAGGTGTAATATTTTGTTAATTGTACTTTTCTTAGGTGTTGCATAGTAGCTAGTTAATCTTTTTCTGTAAGTTCCTCAATGAATTATCTAGTATCTACAACACGTAAAATGGTATACCAGCGTAATTTGTATTTCCGGTGCTCATAAATGTGATTTGAAGTATGGTACATTTATTTATTTATTTAATTTTATTCACAAACAATAAGATAATATCTTCGCCTTGTTTTTTTTAGTCACCGACAGGGTTCAAACCCATGTCATCATGCAATGGCTCAACACCTTTCAAGCACGGCGATAATACTTCTCATTGTTGAGTCTTACAAAAATATTTGGGCTGGTACGATTTTGGGTTTGAGAATGATCGGCTTGGGCCTTTTACTCTGTCATTATTGGGTCAGTGAGTTCATGAAGTCCAAGTCCTTTAAGTACTAAAACACCCTTGACCTTTTCGAGCAGGACACGGATATCCTCCCCTCCGCCTTTGGTCTTTTCACTTTCGCATTCCCGGACTCACCGAAAGACAAACTCGTGTTACGAGTGGCGCGGTGTTATACCATCCCATCGCGAAGCATGTACGCAGGCATCTTAAAAACAAATGTAGTATTAGTGTATGATTCCACTTTTATTGCGTCGAGAGTTTTTGTTTAAAAACTCTACGTATTCATTGCACTGGTGATTAAGCAGCAATAACTTTTTGATACAGGCCTAAATTATTAGGTTGACTAACAAATCTTACAACAAATCACAACTTAAAACAAATAGTTCCACTTCTAACTGCATCAAGGCATTTTGCATAAAAATCATGCACGTACTGATTACAAGGGTGATTGAGTGAGGACACTCTTGATACTATTAGTGGTGGACCGCAACCCGTCTAATTTTAACATACCCATGATTTGTTCGCTGCCTTGAGAATTCAGATCAATTGGTCCAACACCATATACGGAACTGATGGAGACTAATGAAAAATCGATCGAGTGGAGATAAGGTATTTTTCACGACCAGTAAGTAGTAACAAACAATTTCATATAGCCAACAATAAGAGCGCTCAAAGATCGACAACAATAAGCCATTCATATACTTTTTCATGGACAATGTGATGGTAAAGTTCGAAAACTAACATTTCATGTCGATCACAATAGAACTAGAACAATCTATAAAGCTGAATTTGGTTACGAGATACGAGCGCCGAGATGGAGATACATCCCCAACGATGCAAAACTAACATTTCTTCTACATACTAGAACGATTATGGTTTTCAAAAGTTGCTATATTTTTCATAGGCCTCTCTAACACCAACTGACCTTAATACTGCTGAAGTGGGAAAACACAGGACTGGAGCACGGAAGCAAAAAATGAAGCTTCAGTCAAGCAGCCAACTGCGTGAATACGGATTTCATTATGGCAAGTTTTCTTCTAGTCTCTCCTTCTCAGCTCCCAAACTCTGATCAATTCAAAAGGGGAAAAAAGGAAAACCCATTAGATCAGAATTCATGATGCAGATGGGTTTTCCTTTTTTCCCCTTTTGAATTGATCAGAGTTTGGGAGCTGAGAAGGAGAGACTAGAAGAAAACTTGCCAGAATGAAATCCGTATTCACGCAGTTGGCTGCTTGACTGAAGCTTCATTTTTTGCTTCCGTGCTCCAGTCCTGTGTTTTCCCACTTCAGCAGTATTAAGGTCAGTTGGTGTTAGAGAGGCCTATGAAAAATATAGCAACTTTTGAAAACCATAATCGTTCTAGTATGTAGAAGAAATGTTAATTTTGCATCGTTGGGGATGTATCTCCATCTCGGCGCTCGTAACTCGTAACCAAATTCAGCTTTATAGATTGTTCTAGTTCTATTGTGATCGACATGAAATGTTAGTTTTCGAACTTTACCATCACATTGTCCATGAAAAAGTATATGAATGGCTTATTGTTGTCAAATCATTTTACTTGATAATGATCTCAGATAGAAACATGATATTGATCGAAACTTGCTTTGCATTATCAAGTAAAATGGTTTGATTTGTGGTTAATTAATTATATTTCAACAACATTAAGCTATATGGATGGATATACAGGGTTTTAGGAACAATCACCCCAAACAAATAGCCAAGAGTGAACCAGCTACCTTTATGGCCGGCTTGTCTACCGCAGCATCTAGAGGTTGATTTAACATGGTTGTTTCTGTGTGTTCATGGTTGCGATCTTTCCCATGTATGTATGCTAGGCTCCTAGTTTCTGGATTAATCTGTTTGTTTTTATGATATTTCGTTTCACATGGAAGGTTTACTTGCGTATGATCCTGATAAAAAGATGAAGTCGAAAATGCTTTGAAGGATCCGTTCTTTTAAGAAAATTAGGATACTAAGTGATCTGTTTAGATTTAGAAGTTTGTTTATAATTTTGTTGTGGAAAGAAAATGGTTCGTAGCACAGACTAATTCGGGCAATAATAAAATGAACTGGCCAACAAAAAAAGCATTTATCTAATATAATCATCATTGTAAGATAATAAGAGAAACTCAAAGAAAACACATATAAGTCTCAACCGACAGTTTACCAGAAGGGCCTAGACTTTGTACCGCTTAAGCGTGACGGCGGCGCCGGAGCATGGCGTTTTAGCAGAGTATCTCTGAACATCTCACACGAGGTACTTCTCCCCGAGTTCTTCTCCGATCACTCGGCCCGGCCTTCCTCTGATCACTCCGCCAGCTTCGCGCCTTCGTAAGCGCGTTGGCCGCCACTTCCTCGGCCGAATCGCAAACCCTCCGCTTTTCCCAGATCCAGCATCTTCAACTACAGCCACAAATGATCTGATTTTTTATCCGTTTCTTGTATTATTTATAGTCTGTGAGAGTGCCACGTTTTCGCATGTTTTAAGGTCACACAAACATTATTTCGGCAAACACTTTTTTTTTATTTTTGACTGCAGAAACCATTTAATCGTAGAAGATTAATATATAAAAATTAATAAAGATGTGTGAAAGATAAAAATTGTGTAAACATCACTATACTATTTTAATCTGATTTGTGTGACGTTTTGTTTTTGAGAAAATTTTCAATGTGCAGAGATTGATTTTTTAAAATAATTGGGTTGTACTGTACTCGAAATGATTTAGGGTTTGAGTATGATTGGCTGGGCCTTTTACTCTGTCTTCATTGGGTTAGTCAGTTCATGAAATCCAACCATTTAAATACTAAAATACCCTTGACCTTTTCAAGAAGGACACGGACGTCCCCTTGGGTCAGTCATTTTCGCATTCCTGGACGGAGTGAAAGACAAACGCCGTGTAGTGAAAATCCAATCGATCCAGAGGCAGAGCAGAACAGAGAGAGATATAGCCAAAACGCAACCAAAGACCGTCGTTTAGTTCTGATTCCTCTGATTGCCCGCGAAGCTCGAACAATGGCTGCAGATCTGGTGCTTGACACAGCCATCAGAGATTGGGTTTCTCATCCCTCTCTCGGTGGTCATGGTTCTCATCGGCGTCCTTCGATATTTCGTCTCTAAGCTCATGCGATCCAACCAAGTCCCTGATGCCAAAAATCATCAAAGAAGGGTCTCCCTCTTAACTCTAATTACGCATGCTTATTATACTAGTGGCGCGTTTATTAATCCGTAATCAAATTGAGATGAATTGGATTAAGAAGGAATTGAAATGAGATGGAATTAGAATCAGATTCCTGTTAAACATATTTACTAAAACTGTCTGAAATCGGAGTATGAATGATGTTGAGTCCATATAAGTTGTTTACTAATTCACTTCAATCGGAACGAAAATTAGGTTGATTACTATATTGCCCTTACATAAATAAATTATTTTCATACTAATTAATTAAATTTATATAATAAAATTCATATATATAAGCATATATAAATAGGTTTTATTTATTTATTAAAATATGGCAAGAATAATGTTGAGTAAAGGAGGGATAGATTAGTAAATCTGCTGTGCAAAATACAGAAAAAAAAAAAAAAGCATAGAACGTTTAGCAAATGAAGGGTAATTTCGTCAGATCATTGTTAATGAACAGTGTTTTCGGGTTGGGAGAAAATTTTCATTGTAGTACACCACCTGTTTTTATATGAGTGGTGAAAAATTTTATTTTTTAAGTTGTTAACTTTTTAACACACAAATCCCATCATTTGTATAGTAACATGTGGTGTACCAATTCATGTATTGGTCACATCAAAAAATCTCTTTCTAGTTTGGGTTTTAATATATATAAATATAATTTCATGTTTTAAAAAACTGAAAATGAAAAAAAGTTAGTAAACAAGTTTTTAATTTTCAAATCCACTAGTACTAATGCTGACGTCAATTTATCACAGTGATGAAAGACGATCATATCTATGAACTCTAGTGTTTAATTAATTAAGTCTTTCTTATTTTCCCATCTGCCTTTGACTCTTTTGTCTTTTCGTCCATTTTTTGCATCATCTAGGACCAAATCAATGTGATCTTTCTGTAGCAGTGTAACTTTCCGATTTCAGTTAAGAAAACATGCCTAGTAAGTGTTAGTTTCCTAACTGGTCTTGGTTTCCCGTTTTGCAATAGGAACATGACTTCGTTTTGTAGTGGAAAACTTGGAAATTGAGAGAGAGAATCCTTCCGGCACATGGAGAAGTTCAAAGCCTTATAAATATACAAGACCTAGCCTCAAGAACCTCAACTGCTGAAGTCACGAAGGGCTGGTTTGGTATTGCTGTGCTTTGAAAAAAAACTGCTGTGAGAATAAGTGGCTGTGCTGTGAGAATAAGCGGCTGTGAAATAAAGCCAGCAAAGTGTTTGGTAAACTTTTTTGTAAAAGTGCTTTTGGAAACAAAAAGCAATATAATAGTGTTTGGTAAACTTTTTTGTAAAACAGCTGTGACTGTGTGAAATGACCAAAAAGGGTATATTACTAGATATGCTATTAATTTAATTTTCTTAACAAATAAAAGTGAATTACTAAATATATTTTATTTTTAGAAGAAAAATATTTATAAACTTTATCTTAAATATTAATTAGTATGACAAACTACTTTAATAGAAATATTTTAGAGTGAATAGCTAGGATTCATTAGTACAATATTGTTAATGTACTTGAAAGTAGTCTAATTAGATGCATTCATCAAACTTGTTGCTATTCTATTTCTTAATGCCTCTATCTCATGTGATCCTTCAACTTGATAATTTTGATATTCATCATCATCATCATCACTACTATCGAGCCATTGAAAATTTCATTTTGGGTGGATTAAATGAAATTTGAACCAGCTCATTTTTTTAGGCGTGGAATTGCTCTGAGACTCTACGAGCCATTGAAAACTAGGTCTTAAGTTTTTAGGGCCTTCAATGCGTTTTACATTCAAGTAGTTTTTTTTTATTTGAAATCAGACTATTGAAACTATTGGGAGCATTATTGCTCACCATCATAAACTCTTATCATCTGCCACGTGTTCTTTCACTTAAGCATGGTTAACTTTCACAATAACTCAAACGAAATTTTAGAGATGAAATTGCAATTAACAAATGATTGTCTTCCCATGAAAATAAAGGCTTAGGTACAGTGATACGTCCAGAAAATAAACAAAATTAACTGAAGAAAGTATAAATCTTGTTACAGGCACATCCATGACGGGCGAGGGTCAGCACGATTCCAAGCACAGCCTACGACATCCTACCACAAGAAACAAGACATTAGAGATCAATTTAGCGGGATATGCACAATTGAAGAAGGAAAACATCAATTATCTGGCGGAGGATAAAGTTATTTGTTGATCACTACTTGCCTGCCACCATTAGGTATCACAATATTGCTTACTGTTCAGTTTCATATACCCAGTCTCGTACCAGAGAAAAATGAATAGCCATAAGGAACAAAAATATGCACAATGCTGAATCTATTTTATGTTTTTTCTATGCAGCGACGTGTGCTAAACTATTCATCAGTAAAAAGGCACAACGAAAGACGAGTTGAAATCCTCTGGGATATGGCAGACACAGCAATCCACACAAACAGATACTAGCACACAGAGCTTGAAAGATCAAGCTTAAGGAATAGTTTTAACTTTTTTCTCTTCAGATTTCAATTTGACCATATTACCTCAATATTCTTTTACTAGACATGTCTAATGAAAATCTTAACAAAAGATAAGGATGGAGAAGTGGAAGGAATCACAAATGATAATGGGAAGGAAATATGTTACATACTGTTGCTCCGTCCTCTTGTCTTGGTAGAAGGGAAGGAAATTGGGGAGGAGGGAGCAAATTCTAAGCTTGAAAATCAAGGAGAAACAAGCAATATTCTGTAAATTTGTTTGCATCAACAGTATAAAGGAAGATAAACAAAAACGAAAGCATGTCAATGTCAGTCAATTGTGGATCAAGTACACGCACACAAAAAATGCAGTTACCCCACCAAACAAAAACAAAGAAACCATGTAAATTAATAACCAGTTAAAGAACACAAATCCAACTTCTTCAGATTTCATATGATCATAAACTTTTGAGAATGGATAACATATTCATTGTTCACTCATTTTGCATGCTATGTTATTCTAAACATTGCAGGATGTAGAAGAACAAGCACAAGAAGGCCAAGAACAATAGCGATACCAGCTCAAAATTTGATCGGACACGAAGGCCAACTTCGTCGTGCTAAGAATCACCCTTCAGTTCATCTGAATCTGAGTCACTTGCATTATAACCTGCCACAGGTCCACAAAACCAAACAGTGGCACATTTAGTTATGGTGAGGATGATTAGCACAATGACAATGATTACATGAATTTTAAAGACAGAAGTCAACCTGGCTGCTTATCACTAACTTTCCAAACCGAAGATCGCGTCCTCGACGCTCTTGTAATCCATACTCTTCCCTGTAAAATCCCGAAAACCGAAAAGCATTAGCACAAGCAAGAATCATAACACAATCACAACCAGAGCTCTAATTATGTACTAATCCTAACATTTAATCTACAATTTGCAGTGCCAAACACAAAGCTTGCAACTTTAGCTAATAAAATTGATCAAAAACAAGTTTAGCCACTTAATCTAAACTAGTTAGGATTAGAACACGAAAACAAGATCATAAACAAAAAGATCAGAACTTGAACCCTAAAACCCAAAACCCAAATAAAAAACCCCCAAAAAACCCACAAATGAAACCAAACCCAGAAAGGCAATTACCATGTGGTCATCTCTGGGGACGCCATAGCCGTTCCCCAATTAATTTTTCCCCACCCTCCATCCCCAATTGTTTTTCCCGACACCCATACCCTCATCCCTTTGCTCTTCCCACCCCTCTTTCCCTAATCTCCCCATCCCTAATTTGAAAAATCCAAACAAATAAATGAGAAGCTTACCTGGAGAAACCTGGAGAACGAGATCGGTAGTTTTTGGAACGACGGAACGAGAGAACGAGAGAACGAGAGAGAGCTTGAGGTTCGGGTTATGCGAGAGAGCTCTGAGGTGAAGAGCGAGAGCGTTTTGGTGAAGGGAAGGCGAGAGCGTTTTGGAGAAAGGCGAGAGCGTCGGTGAAGGGAAAAGCCGAGGGCAGTTTTGGGTTATGGTATATTTCATTAAACCTGGACACTGTTCACCCGTGTGTGGTGAAAATAAGCTGCTTTTGGAAGCTGCAAATTGCAGCTTCTTGTCATCTCTTGGTTTTGGGCTTTTTTTCACCCTCAACTTTGAAAAAAAGCTGATTTTCAAAGTTTACCAAACACCAAAAATTTTCATAGCTTTTTTTCATAGTAGCTTTTTTTTTAAGCACCTCAATCCCAAACAGGCCCGAAAACAATTGATAGAGAGAGAGGGAGAAATAACTACTGCTTTTTTTATATCGAGAAAATACATGGAGATACTGGCTGGGATCGAGCAGCAGAGAAAGAACAGGAAGATGAAGGACTGTTGCATCAACAACAACACTAGTTGTTCTTCGTTAACGAGCCTACCCACCGAAATTCTTATCGACATCTTCTTAAGGCTACCCGTAAGCTCACTGTTTTGCATCCGATGCGTCTCGAAGACCGTGTTAAACATAGTCGACTGTCCATCTTTTGTTGCCCTTCACACGCAACGTTTACTTACAGTACAAGCTACCCAGAATAATTTTGATGATGTTAATCATGATCAAGTACCTAAACTTATGCATATAGATCATAGTACCACCACAGCTGGATATTGTGCCTTCCAATCAGTGGAATACGACGACAGTAAGAATGCCTTCACACACAAGGAAGATGATGCAACCGCGCCGCCCAAGTTTGGTCCCCCACCTCTGCGGCAAGATGGTTGGTACGACAAATTTGAATTTGTATTCTGCAACTTGCTTTGTTATAGGTTTTTTGGGAATCCGGAATCTGATACCATAAGATTTGAAGAACCATGCATCTTAGTTAATCCTCTTAGGAGAGAAGTCCTAGTGCTCCCAACAACAACCAACGCTTAACTTCCAGCATCATGTCCAAAAGATAGCGTCTTAGATTGGTTAGCTATGGGATTGGATAATGTTACCAATCATCTCAAGATCGTACGTGTCTCTGGAAATAAAGACTACAGCAGCCAGCTGGTGGCCCAAGTTCATGTATTGGGAACAAACTCGTGGCGGGAGGTAGACTCAGTTCCTCCTTTAAGCGTGACAAAGTTATATGCATACGGGGACATGCATTGGCTGGTATGGTCAGAGTATGAGTATCCCATTAATGATGATAATGGTGATGATGATGGTGAGTATTATGATGATGATGCTGATGATTATTATGATTATGATGATGGTGATCCAATAAAATGGGCTATAAGCATAGTTTCCTTCGACTTCAGCAAAGAGGAGTTCCACCAAAGAATTCCTCCTCCCAAATACTTTGGAGACAGCTACAAGTATCTTGCCTGTGGGGATAGACCGCCAGCGGAGTTGGAAGGTGCTCGCAAAAACCACCTTTTCCACCTCCACTTGGTAAATTTGAGAGGATATATGGCCTTGGTAGATGCTTCGTCATGGGATCATATTGAGATATGGGTGTTAAAGAATTACCATGACAAGAATCAAGAGCGGAGTCTTGAGTACAAGGTAGAAACCACAATAATTTACGGGAGGGATACTCCTTTCTACCATGCGCGGTTTCCTTTGTATTGCTACCAATAGGCGCACGGCATATTTTTCAATCAACACGGAGGTGCCACTTGTAGTACATATTTTTTGGATCTAAGAAGCGGTTCCACGAAGAAAGCAAAATTATTCCCATCCAATAGCGTGTGCACCAGCATCTTGAGTTATACCCCGTCCTTGATTTCTCTAAGAAATTACGGGAGTTTGGTTCAAGGACAACCGACTACTGCAAGTATCACGTCTGCAGAAGGCAGGAATTTAGTTTACCTCATGATGTAGCACTAGCAGTAGCACAATGTTACCTTTCAAAGGTGTAATATTTCGTTAGTTGTACTTTTTTTAGGTGTTGCATAGTAGCTAGTTAATCTTTTTCTGTAAGTTCCTCAATGAATTATCTAGTATCTACAACACGTAAAATGGTATACTAGCGTAATTTGTATTTCCGGTGCTCATAAATGTGATTTGAAGTTTGGTACATTTGTTTATTTGTTTTTCTTCACAAACAATAAGATAATATCTTCGCATTTTCTTTTTAAGCCACCCGCGGATTCGAACCCACATCGTCATGCAAAGACTCAACACCTTTCCACCAGTAATATCTTCGCATTGTTGAGTCTTAGAAAAATATTTGGGCTGGTACGATTTTGGGTTTGAGAATGATTGGCATGGGCCTTTTACTCTGTCTTCATTGGGTCAGTGAGTTCATGAAGTTCAACTCCTTAAGTACTAAAACACCCTTGACCTTTTCGAGTAGGACACGGATATCCCCTCTGCGTTTGGTCTTTTCACATTCGCATTCCTGGACCGACTGAAAGACAAACACCGTGTAGTGAAAATCCAATCGATAACGAGGCGAGGCAGAGCAGAACAGAGAGAGATATACCCAAAGCGCAACCAAAGACTGTCGTTTAGCTCTCATTCTTTGACTGCCCGCGAAGCTCCAACAATGGCGGCAGATCTGGTGCTTGACACAGCCATCAGAGACTGGGTTCTCATCCCTCTCTCGGTGGTCATGGTTCTCATCGGCGTCCTCCGATACTTCGTCTCCAAGCTCATGCGATCCAACCAAGTCCCCGATGCCAAAATTGTCAAAGAAGGGTCTCCCTCTTAACCCTAATTACACATGCTTATTATACTACATGCGTTTGTATGTCTATATTTGTATGTGTTTGTGATCTATTACTGCGTCTGACTTTATGAAATAGCTTTTGGTTGTGAATTCAGGCAATTGATTATCAGGGCTCGGAACTTACGTGCTGCTGCTAATTTCATACCTCCAAAGTCGTTTCGTGCTCGCCGATTGTATTACAACAACGAGGTTTGCCAATAATTCTTGTTGTATTTGCTAATTAGTCGTTTAATTTTTTTTTCTAAGAGCACTAAATTGACATGCTTTTGTTATCGTAAGCTGAAAGGAATTTTATTTGTTGGTGTTGTTGATGAGTTAGAGTTTAGCATTGGGCTTATGTAATTTGGATTGGAAATTTGTTGTAACGGATAGCGAGAATTCTTCGTCTCATTTTGTTGTTGAAAACTTACAGCATGGTTTATGGTAAGGAGCCGATGAATACGAGAAATTTCAAGGCTTTTCACATAGAAACCCTTTGATAGCATTACACTTAGAAACACTTCAAACCCAATTCTTTAAACAAACCCAGCTGACTTTGTAATGGAAGAAGGGAAGCTTTAAGAAATCTCACAACTACGAACCAATTAGAGCATAACATGTGGTTGGATAAGATTCTCATTGTATTTTCTCCAATTGAGCTCTTGAAGCGTTTTTGTATAAAATTTCAATGCTCTCTATTTTACTAATTTTCAGTGTTCTCGAATTTACTAAACTTTCAATGCTTTCTCTATGGTTAGGAGCGTCAAAACTTTGATTCATGTATGGAGGTCTAGAAGATGCACTGAAACTAGGTTGTCGTCTGCTATTTCTTGTCTGTTGATACTGATGTCAAACATTTTTCACTATGGCAGGAAAATGGGTTGTTAATTGTTCCTAAGGGTCAGGCACAGAATCCACAAGCGCAAATGTTCTCTGATCCCAACATGGCCATGGATATGATGAAGAAAAATCTGTCCATGATAATACCCCAGGTATTTCAGATTGCTTGAGTTTTTAGTTTTTACTGTAATTTGGCTTCATTTTCTCAGATATTGTAACTGATTTTTCATGATTACCTTTGTGTTGGCCAGACTCTTACTTTTGCATGGGTCAACTTTTTCTTCTCTGGATTTGTAGCAGGTATCTTTCAATGCCTCTCAAACTGATTTTTCGGTTCCTGTGCTTGCATAAATTTTTGTCATCCTTCTTTTTCACGTCCTTGATGATTGACCTGTATAATAGGTTGTCATTCATTAGATATACAATAGTCATTTTTAGTAATATAAATCTTCATAATATGCTCAAGATGTCATGTTTATGAGTGTCTTTATTTTCTTTTCCACAGCCAAAATTCCCTTTCCTCTTACTCAAAGGTTCAGGTCTATGCTTCAGAATGGGATTGACTTGAGCACTGTTGATGTTAGCTACGTCAGTAGCCGCTCATGGTACATGTTTATGTTTTGAGCAATCCCGTTGTATAAAATTCATCTTTTTTTTTTTTCTATTGGGTGTTTTTTCTTAACTGATTGTCTCTAATTATTCAAATTTGTTCTCTCAGGTACTTTCTTAATCTGTTTGGATTAAGGGGTTTGTTTAGTCTCATTCTGGGAGAAGAAAATGGTTGGTATCTCCTTATATGATTATTACCTCACGATAATTTTTCTTCCTCAGAAATGCATATTTTTTGTCTTTTCACACATGCGCATCGCAAGTTTATATGATCTATGAGGTTGAAAACTATTAACTTTTGTTATGCAGCCATGGACGATACTCAGAAAATGATGCAAATGAGTGGCTTTGGATTTGATCCATCAAAGGTACGAACTTAAGTAATTTTTATGTTTTTTTTTGGACAAATCTATTTATGCACTGTTGGCCTGTTCAATTTGACGAATGAAAAACACAGATACGCAACTAAATTTCATGAAAGTATCTGTTTTAGACCCTGAGTGCATGCATCGCCATTGTTCTTTAAGTACATTTATTGTCAAGTCATGTGAACGTTAAGGTCAGGGCCTTTTTCCTTTTGGGGCAAATTTGTTGGGGCTTATATGCTTGTCCAATCAACTTACTCACTTGACAATGGATGCCTTATCCTTCATTAAACTAATCATTTAATTATTTGGGAAGCACCCATCACTTTGAACGGTAAAGTTTGTAATAGAATGGCTATTTTTTTTTTTTTTTCTGTAGCTTTTAATAGACTTGTGCTGTGGTAGTTTGATATATCTGTTAAGAAGCATTCAAATGAAGTTCCAACCATTCCTCTTCTGGATGTTCGTCTGAATCATGTTCGCATTTACTTATTTTGGATGAAAATAATTGGAAATATGATTAACTAAAAAGTACTTTTATTCTGCATCACGAGTTCTAATCTAAAGGGGTTTTGCTTTTGCCTTTTTGGATTTATCAGAGCTTGGGAGCTGAGAAGGACAGTCTTGATATAGTCCAGCATGACTGGGCCTTACCAAAATTTGAGCATCGCGCCGAAGCAGTATTGAGAGAACTTGCCAGATGAAAGCTGAAATCGTGAAGTTGGCTGCCCGACAGAAGCATCGTTTCTGTTCACATGCTCCCCTCCTGGGTTTCTTCCACCCAGGCAGCAAAGTCAGTCAGACTTTAGAGAGACCCAAGAAAAACATAAGAACTTACAAAAAACGTAGTCGTCGTAGTCTTTAGCAGCTTAAATTTAAGTTCTGATCATTAAACAAGGCACTGTTTTTTTAGCAGATCGAACCCACTGCTGGTTGTAACTCGTAATTCCTTTTCTTTTTGGTCTGAAACTAACTGTTGAAATGATTTATTTTCAAAGTTCCCTGAAAAAGATGGTGCAAGTAAGTGGCTGCCAAACAAAAGTGGCTTGCTGTACTTTAATTAACATGATTAGCGTTGAGTATGGTCTGCACTTTAAAGATTCAATTGAATCTGCAGCCTTTCCTTTCCTTCCCGAGTGCCCGAAACTTCGGAAGTTTTTGATTGACAAATAAATCCTTGTCGCTCAAAGAAGGCCCGCCATTTTCTGTGGTAGACCAGCTGAATCGACAAATATGCACGAAAAAGAAGAAAAGAATAATGTTAGAGAGATTAAATTTGTAAATAAAATTTTGAAAACTAAAAGACATAGAAGTTGACGATTGGTTTTACTTGAGCATTGATAAACATGTTTATTCCTATTGGTGACATATCATTTTGTTTACAAATTTTGGAGAGATTTTTCAATGTGACCAGAGCACGGGGTGGTACACCACGTGTCACTATACAAATGGTGGGATATATGTGTTAAAAAGTTAAATAACTTAAAAAATAAAGTTTCCACCAATTATATAAAAGCACGTGGTGTACCAACCCATGATTCGGTTACCATTATAAATTTCTCCAAATTTAATCTCCTTAGCATTACTCAAAAGAAAAGAGCAGAGTGCCTACCAAAACAAGTGTGGAAAAAATTAAAAGGAAGAAAGAGATGTCTGCCCAACTGTTGCAATCCCAAATTTTCCAATACATAGAACTGATAGAAGTGAAAATATATGTGGCAAAAGCTATATAGTTTCTGATTAACCTTGTGATTGTAACGTTTTTGGTGATTGAGCTAGATGGACAAATTAAAAACTTTGTAGTTACGTATAAAACTCACCACCTTTCAGTAGACAACAATTTTATATGTAATCAAGCAGTATCTCTACGTCGCTCATCACAAATTTGATAATTGTGTTATGTTTTTCTTTTTTTTTTTTTTTTTGTAAAAATTAGCTACAATGATCCGAAATGATTTGATAGGTATTTCCCTTCATTTTTACATTTTAAGCAAAACACATCGCATTCCAATTTTCACAATGATTCAGAACAGATCAAGTACATACTCAAGGTTTGCCCTTCCATGTTGAAACTTGCCTTTCACAAGATATAAATGTAAAATCTTGTGTTATGATCTACCAGCTAATAAAGAAAGAAATTTGGAGAAGCGTATGGGCAAAAGGGAATCATTCAATACTTTACCATTTCCAGCATGGCCAAACTCAGGCTTACGTGTACACACCTAGACTCAACTTGGAGTCATGGGATGGGGAAAAGGTATCCTCTCCGGATTCCTTTCATCAAATTTACTAAGTCAAGAAATTTGGATTCTTGAAATTTGATCCAACGGGGTAAAATTATTATAACTTTTAAAGGGGATCCTTGTTTTTAGTCGTTGGATCAAATTTTAATAGTCCGGATTTCTTGACTTGATGGATTTGGTGGAAGGGATCCGGAGAGGATTTCTTGACTCGTAAGCCCCACTTCTTTGGGAAGCTTTGACGTACTAAATGATTCGGTAATTCCGAACATGTGTAACATTGTCACAGGATAAAACTTTAGTAGCGCAATTTGATTAGCTTGTCCACTTTCGCAAAGGGCGAGAGTAGCGTTATTAAAAGTTACGCTTGCATTGGACCTGATGATACTTAAACACGGCAAAGCTCCTCCTTTTGCGGGAGAGTTTGAACATTTAACTGATCAGACTCTCATACGAAGTTTTCTTTATGATTTAGAGGAGAAGAATTTATTGGCATAGGCATGTCACAATGCAGCTCAAGTTAAACACATTACTACATAAGAAAGCTGAAAAAGCTTTTGCATAGCACTAAATTATTAGCTTAGAGATAGTCAGAGTTCTTATCTCTACTAATTAATAAAACATTCATTGTCAATCAAAATTTTACGAAAATACCAGTTTAACTTTCTAATTAAAAAATAACATGAATAAGAAATATGGATATAAATGTAATTTTACACAACCAAATTTTGCTGTTTTTTTCTTTTTCCAAACCATCACCTATGTGTAATCCTAGTATATCTCTACCTAAATTTTTTTTAAAAATAAAAACTTCTCACTTCCACGTTCTCTATCACTTTTTCCTCTCCTTCTATTTCAAAAACAAAAAAAAAAAAATTTCTCACATACTTAATGTGTGTCTGTATGTTAGTATATATAGATTAAAGCAATTTGTAAGCCATCTATGTTTATTGATTGGTCCACTTGTAATGCTAATTCTCGCGGGAGCCAATTGGTGGGACACTCCCCACCGTCCCCACATTTAGCTTTTCCTCCCCAATCACACTTTACAGTACACATATATAATTAGAAATTTAGAAAAGATGATGAATCCTTTCGGAGTCCAACCAAATGTTGGACAAATTTGACCACAGATGCATAATTGATACAAGGATACTACTTGCATTTGTATTTTCTGAGCTCATTCTCTTACTCGTAAATAATATATATTTTTCGTAATGATTAATACTTGGAGCATAATCTGATCTATATCAAACAATCTCTACCCTAAATACATATATTAGAAGTCAGTAACCAAGCAATGAAGTAAGAGGTTGGACACCATCATCCTAATTCAACCTATATCGGACAATCTTTATCTTGAGATCGATACATATTAGAAAGTAATAAATTAAAGACTGAATGTTGCTAAACTAATCCAACTCACAAGAAAAATATATTAAATATTAATATCAAGACAACAATATCAAAGATTGAATGTCACTGAACTAAATCACATGACTAAAGCATTTTAAGAGCAGAGTAGGAATGAATTTGGTGAGCGACGACACCCAAATCGAGGGCATCGTTTGTTCTTGTTACTTGTGTCCAAAATCCGAGTTAATCTGTAGAATTACGCATGTACGTATTACAATTATTGTCATTGTGGAGATCCACAATAGCATAGTAAATTTATTTTTCGATCAAATTCATTGTCGAATTCGTCCTTTGCTAATACTATATTACTGTGCATGGCACATGCATGATTCGAAGAGGGCAGATTATTACGTGTGCAGTCGAGGCCCTCGAGGGTATAATCAGAACTACGAGTGTAATAGCATCTTCAATGGAGCAGGCAAATAGAATGTTAAAAATTAAAATCCATTTTTATGAGCTAGCAGACGAATATGTATTTCAATGACGTAGTTAATTGGGTAGGCAAATTTTACCTACATTTACAAAATAGACAATATTACCTACTTTTAAGTTTTAACATTATAGGCGAACGAGATCTCACGTCTCTATTTATAATAAAGTATTTTATGTGAAGGAAGTGAAAAAAGATGATAATGATGAAAATAAATAATAGAATTAAATTTGTCTACTTCGTTTGCCTATTACACTGGAGGAATAGACTTTTTCTTTAAAACAATTGAGTAGACAACTTATCATGTAACCTTAGTCATTAGAATAAGAGTAATGTTATTCATAACATATTTTTATACCATATTTCTATACCACCGTAGGTGACATCTGATGTGGACAGTCACATTATTTGAAAAATTTGCAAAACCCAAGGAAATGAAGGAGAAAGACTCTTTGTATACTACAATCATAATTTAATTAACTAGTTTTTCTTAATTATTAGTTTATTAAATAATGAACTAAATTTAAAAATTTGATTAATTCAAATGATGTGGCTGTCCACATCAAATGCTAATGATATGAAAATATGGTACAAAAATGTGGTATAAATAGCATTACTATTAGAACAATGTTTAGTTTATTTTTCAATCAGAGATTCCGTAATCCAGCAGGGCGCCTCAGACGGGCAGCTAGTGGGGTCCCCTGTCACGAGCATCCGACCTGGAAAGCATCAAGAACATGGCCCGCCGGGGCCCACGCAGTCCCCCATCTTTAGAAAGGGCGGTTGCGAAAGCCAAGAGCAATGGGCTGAAAGGAAAGGAAAAGCAAGCCACGGCAGCGTTTGATTTGTTTACATGTGGATCCCACATGGGGCATGGGACGGTGATGATCGCAGGGTGGTGCTGTCGGGTCCCACCCCTCAGGCATTGGTTGTTTTCTTTTGTTTGGCTGACGTCCATTTGAAGGATTTGATCGTATCGATGGAGTTGTTTTTTTATGGTTTCGGTTCAATCGAAGGGTGATTAAGAAGATGAACTGAAACCTTAAAAATGGTAAAATTTTTGACTATAAACAGTAAAAGCTGTCCGCCAATGCTTTTGAATTCAACAATGCCATCATGTTTGTACAAATAATCCTTTGATTTTGATTTTAAAAATAAAAAAGGAATTGAATTATTTTCATATTCCATGGCCCCATGCATGCTTATTTTGAATTTCTTCAGATTCCAAGGCCCCATGCTTATTTTGAATTTTTTTTTTTTTTTTTTGAAAGAGGCCAATTAGTGATTTTGTTTTGTCAGTCTATTTTTTTTAATTGAGAAGATTCACAGAGGTATTTCAGTCATTCATGATTTATAGTAATGCAATTGAATTATGATGGTGATTAAAAATAAAAAGAGATACCTAAAAGTTATAAGGGTTTTCCATTACTATGCCAACCTAAAGATTCTTATTATAGTTGATGAGGAGCTTTTTTTTTTTTTTTGTTCAATGGGAACTTTTACAACAAATTCCAAAAGGACAACATACAAAAACTCCGCAAATTAAGGTGAGAAAATAATAACCGTCTCGTAAATAAAATAGGTACAAACGGGACACTACTTATGCATTCAATGCATGAGTAAAGGTTCTCATCTATACTCAAAACATAAAATTACATAGAATGCGTCTTAGCTCAAAAGCTAAGATCCACACAAAACCCAAAGTGACCGCACAAAAAAACCTAAAAACCCTTAAGGGAGATTCCCCCGCCCCTCCTCCGCCACATAATTGGTGGAGACGACTAGCAAACAGAAAATCCAAAAAAAAACCTCCCTAGAAAGCTAAACTCAAGCTCATCTTCATCTCAACGCAAGTGAAAAGGAGCTAAACCAGCAGATCAAGATAAACCTTGCCCATTCTAGTTGCCATAGTTCCATTCCTCAACCAAAAACAAACACACAATAAGCATCTAAATGCCTTGATCTAAGCATAAACAAAAAAAGTCAGGCGGTGTAAACACCAAGTCAAAGAGACCCTAGACCTTTATAAGGTTGACAATTGAAGTGCTTAAATAATGACTGATCTAACTCACGTTTGTCATGTTTAACTTGCATTTTGTGAACTAAATTGAGTTATCAAACATTTTGCCTAAATTTTGCATCCAAAAAAAGAAAAGAAAGACGTTTATCTAAACTAGGCTAAGCTTATTTAGTGAAAGGTTAGGGCCTACCAACACAAAAGATTAATGGAAAAAGAAACGAAGGCACAACACAAGAACATGAGTGCATGATGGTTAGACACCTACATGCCCTACTGCACAAAACACAGAAAAACCCACTCAAAAGAAAAGATATGATGATGCTGATATATATGAGAAATGGCCTCCACCATTTGCCATTCCAATTCATTGTCCACAAAGCTAATATTTATTTTCATTGCAATTTGCAAAAGTGTTATCTGAATATATAAAAATAACAAAAAACATTTACAACTAGACAAGTTAATGTCCTTTTAATTTGTATCAGTGACATGAGGTGTCAAATTGGAAAAAAGATTCTTCAAGTGCTCAAACTCTCGAGAAATTCAGGAATCTAATCACTTGTATTATGATACTTAGTGTACGGCTTTTGTTCCCGGTACACTGAAAGATCTCTCCAGACTCTCTTTCTCCAATTTCAGTTTTTTATTAGAGTGAGGTACTCTCACATCTATATATAGCTCTCACATTTGATCATCTCTTTCACTCACTAGCGATTAAGCACCCTTCATTCCTCCCATCTTTCCAAGTATTGTTTTGTTCAGTTTTCATTTGCTCTAGCAATGGCCAGTGTTGAGGTAATGCACACTACAGACTACACACACACACACACACACACACACACACGTTCATGCAATTAGTTTTCATATATTTTTTATTTGCTCTATACACACACACACACACACACACACACACCTTCATGCAATTAGTTTTCATATATTTTTTATTTGCTCTAAGAAATACCTTCGCTTATTTGTATACAAATACAAGCTTGAAGTTAATTGATCCGTTTGAGAAACGTAAGATATGCGATATCGTGTATATCAAAAGTTCTATGCGCATGACCTCCGTTCTTTAGACGAAGTATTATGTATATTAGATCATCTTAAAACTTGTTTATCTTCTTAATTTTACAATTAAAATATGACTGATTTTCAACAAAATTGGTACTCAAGGTTGCACCAGCAGCAGCGTTGCAAGAGAATGAGCCAAAGACAATCGAGGTGACCAAGACTGAGGAGGCAATCGTGGAAGAGCCCGTGGCTGCAGCACCACCTTCAACCGAGTCTGAGGCTACAACCACCGAAGAGCCAAAGGAAACAACACCACCCGTAGAAGCAGAAATCGAGAAACCAGCTGCTCCCGAAGCCGAGGCTCCAGTTCCGGTTGAAGTTAAGACCAAGGAGGAGGTGGCAGAAGAACCAAAGGCGGCCGAGGCAGCTGAGGTGGAGGAGCCAACAGTAGAAACGGAGACAACAGAAGCAGAAGAGCCTAAAGAGGTCGTAACAGCAGAGCCTGTTGCCGTGGAAGAGAAGACCAAAGAAGAGACCATTGAAACTGAGGCACCAGCAGCTGCTCCAGTTGAGGAAGAGAAAACAGTTGAAGCAGCAGCAGCAGAGGAAGCTACCACAGAAGTTCCAGTCGAGAAGACTGAAGAATAGAAGATGAACATATGACAAGATGAGAGAGAAGTTTAAGGAGTCCTTTTTCTAGGTTTGCATGTTCGAGTTGGTCATCTTTTCATCCACATTTCTATTTGTTTGTTAGTTTATGTTGTAATTGAGGTAAGGCTTTAAAATTAAATTAATGGGGTTTGGCATTTGGATTATGATCTCCACTTAATGTAAGCATCCTGCTTTATGGTTTGATATATCTGAGATTATACTGAAGAATGTAATGCATTGGTGATTAGTATGGTGTGAAAATATATGATTTGCTTTAGTTTTGAATAATATTTTTGTTTTTTGTAATATTCATCCTCTGTTGTAATAATTTGACGGATCTGTGGACTTGAGCTGATGTTGATATCAATGACTTCGCATCGCATTAAAATGCATGGAGTTGAAAACAAGAAGAAAGTTGAGAAGTCAATGGCAATCGCAGAGAGCTCATTTTTCTTTCTATTTTACTCTTCACATATGTTTGTTATGTTTGATCACGATAATCATGCCTTGTATTTAGTTTGTTACATAAGTAAATTTAGACGACCGAGTCTAGTGCTTATGCCAAGTGACAAAAGAACTTTTGCGAAGTTCTTGGGATTAATCAACATGAAAGACCATAATAGATACCATATTGTAGGCTTTGCGTTTCAATGAATGAATGAGTCCTGATCGTATGAACGATTATAAATTAGTTGCCTTTAGGAGTCGGGAAGCTTACTTGCTAGCTCACCTATAGCTTCTATGTTTTGACAATTTCTATTGTATTATGCTTACTCGAAGTGCAACTTAGTAGATATCATGCTAAATACTTTGAGAATGAAAAGAGTTACAGTCTATACCATGTCTAATTTGTTGCTGAGGGGAATCAATAACCTAGCGAGTAGAAACAATGCCTTTAAGTTGACAAACATGAGCATCTTAATCTGTTTTATAACATTGTGTATATCGTTACTCTAGAAAGGCAATTGGTGGTGGATTCTAAAACCCTAATCCGTCTCCTCATTTTCTTCAAATCTTATTCCAAATATGTTTGCATTTAATTATATTCCCATGCCGTCTTCAATCTAATCCGTTATATCCTGTGCATATTTGATATCTTTTGTGAATAAATTAGTTTAAGTTGTTAAGAATCATAATCTAGATATGAATCTAGATTAGCACAATCCTTTTGGGAATGATCTCGTACTTACTTTCTATATGTATATTATGCATCTGGGTCATGTACATTTCGAATTTAAAACGTGTATTTAGTATCTCGAACATTATCCTCCAAAAGCACATATGTCATAGCACGTGCGATGGCCGGACAAGATGGGAAAATCATTTGTATAGAATTTGCATATGTATCATTGCAGGATCCGTTTGTACTTAACATGTCAAGAAAAGTAACGTCCGTTAAGCAGACAAATTTTCTAAACTCTTGCTTCCAAATTTATTTATACTATAACCACCCTATATAAACACTTGACAAAATAGCAATGACACTGCAAACCTTCAACAAACAAAAACACTACCATCCACAGTACCTTCTTCTAACATTAGTCAAACGACAAGAGACGATGACATCGAAGACGACAGTATCCTATACTCTGTACAATCTGAGTTCCGAGTCTTTTTTTTTTTTTTTTTTATGTGCAGTCAAGTCCCCCCATTTTACCTCAAAATGTAGATGCAACTAATATATTACTACCATGTGCCGAAGCTACTGCCGACATGGTCTTGGGTGATGATGTCAAGGCGGCTTTTCATCTCTGCCTCCGATGGATAAGGCGGGAAACACAGCCGGTAAAAGCAAGTATGAGACGAAGGCAGGCGACTGTAAGCCTCTGAGGACTTGTAAATGTAAAGCCGAGAAGCCAAACCTCGGAACCCCTCTACTGGAAGATACTTCACCGAGGTCCAAAAGAAGAGAAGAACCTTTTTCTGCTCCGCAGACATTTCCCCAACAATCTGCATAATTTTCAAGGAAAAAAAAATTTAGCCACATTGTACTTCTATGCTCATAGCCTACCAATACAAAGCAACTTTTAGCTGCTTTCCTTGTCTTTCGATCATGTTTATACTAACATCATAATATAAAACGATCACAACTGCAAAAAGATGTTGAACCCTGATGTGGAGTGTGTAGGTTTGGGTTGTGCTTTCTCATAAACTGTGAACCTTCCCACAAAGCTTTATACAAATCTGGCCACACACTGCTTGACTCGAAAATTTAACGAAAACCTTACAACTTCATCTGAGCATACAACACTACACTCCCTGTTCTATCTGCAGTTTTACTTTGTTCAACCTCAAATTTGAAACAAATTAAATTTTGAGTGTCTGATACTATTAATATCTAAAAAAACCCCGTGCTAAATAACTAATTAGTGAGCCCAATTGCAACGCTGATTTATTTGTCACTCCATTATTTCAAAACCATCACAATGCATGCTTTCATTAATTTGAAAAGTAATGCAATAGCTTCCGTGTGCGATAAGCCAAACTAGTTCACCAAAGACTTTTCTATGAATAAAGCTGCTTGTCAATTGATATGCTATATTGAAAAATACTAGACAGCTGAGGAAAAGTAGACATGTAACAAAAATATAATTACATATTTGACCAAAAGAAACAAGTCGCAAGTCCAATTTCTACTTTCAATAATTATTGGTTGATTCAATACTCTACTCTATTTCATATTTCACAAATCAGGAGTAATTAAAAAAGCCAAACCCAGAACAGTATGGTATCCCGTGGAATCCTGAATCTGAAATCTGATGCTAATAATATAATAATTGTACTCAACTAAGCAGTATTAATACGAAAGGGATTAATTGGGTAAGTCCTAGTTGGATTTGGATAGCTTAATGAACAAGGATTAGGGGTTGCTAGGCTAGGCTATTACTAAACTTTTATCAATTATAATTCCAGAATTCAGATTTAAGAGTTTCTCTTGGGTTTATTGCCCTAGAACTTAGTTATCTTTGCTCCATCTTTGATTTTATTGCCATTATCTCTCTTTTTTATGTTATCACTGGAATCTGCTCCTAGTGCAATTTGGCCCTATTTTACCCACTGGACAGCAGCTTATCACTGCTGCCCTGCATCATGAGAGAAGCAAAATATAAGGCAAGCAAAGCACATTAAGAGCTAATAAAAGCAGAAACGAGCAAGTTTACCTTCCAGAACCAGAGTATTTGAGGATCGGTCTCTTTATAGCCATTGTAATCAGTATGCGCCTTCCAGTCTTCAACACTAATAGCACTTTCACTTCCGTGAAGCATCCAATCAAGATCTTCTAGCTCTAAACTTCGGAAAAAGATGCTCTGGAGCCTTGAGCCACAAAGTATATCAGCAAAACCTTGTGCAAAGTGGGACACCTGTTCAGATATAGATGTGACAAAACGATGCTGAATTAGAAGATTAACGTATTCCCCCTTGTTCTCGCTGTTCACAACAATGCTTTCCCCAGCAGGGCAAAGCTCCACAGTTTTCCGTAATCCTAACTCCTCCACTTCTCTAACAAATGTTAACCCTAAATTATCAATAGACTTGGCATCCATTTCTAGTATCTTCTTGCAACTATTATAGAAGACTGGATCTGCATCTCTTATGTCTTCCAAAGATAAATATATATCTCCAGCCAGTTGCTGGAAAAACACACGATCAAAGACTATGCCCACCTGCACTTTATGCATCAAAGCTAATGCAATCACTCGGCCAGCAAAGGTGAAATACTCAAGGTGCAGAGGATCAACTTTAGATGCTGCAAAAATAAAAGACCCGTGACTTACTAAAAATTTGTAGGAACTTTCAAGCATATATAAAAAAAGTTCACGCAAGAAAAATGCTACATGATATATGATAGGATACAAATGTTTCAGAAATGTGAGTAATGCTAACAGAAGTGACAACTTCATGCAATTGATTAGAGATTAACAATTTTAGCAGAATTATGGCCTCCTTTTGTCTGCCTACAGAACAACCAACAACAACACTAATAAACTGACAATCCTTTTCTGTTTGTCGTTTCGTAATTTCAACATTTCTACAAATCTAGGCACAATATACTAAAGAATTTGACCTTACCCTGGTGTCCAATGTTTCTACTAGTCAAAGTCTAAACCTGAACATTCTGTAAAGGACATCTAATGTTCGCCGGCATCAATTAGAGAGATCCAACAAAGTGAAGCATGCACATGTGATCACACACAGCAACAAAAGAATAGAGCATCATTATGTACTAAAATATTCCATTATACATTTGGTGCTTGACCATATCTATCGAGTAACCAACACTGTTCTGTCTGTCTGCAATTTAAAGTTCAAATCTCTGGTCAATACCCAATCATATTTCAACACCTATCTATGTATGAATGCTATATAGGATTTAGTCAACCAATTATCATCGCAGGCTGGAATTAATATATCAAGACACGCAAAATGAAAAACAAAATGTAAATGTTGTCTAAGAACACCATGCATTAAAGGCTGAAGGAAGCACACCTGGATTAGGATAGAACCTTCTACAGTCGTTTGGGCATGCAACAAAAAGTGCATTTTGCGGATTAAATATGGCCTGGCATACCAAAAAGAACCACTCCCGCAGTACACCTGGACCTGTAGCTTCCTCATTTTTGAATTCCATAAATAAACCGCCATGAAGTAACTCAGGTTCCGCACGCCCTATGTACTCAAACGATTCTGCCAATATTTGCGACCTATCAATGAGCATCTCATGCAGCTCCTCATAGTCTTCTTTAACATCAGGGAACATCATCATAGCCAAATGCCTCCGAGACTCAAAATCTAGCACATCTTTGTGCTTAATAAGCCACTGATGATCATCACTTCGCATTGCATACTTGACAACTAAAGCACATAATGCAGCCCTTCTAAGCCTCAAAATCGTCTTAAATTGTTCTTCCCAGCTCTGATAAAGCATAGAAATTCCACTCAGTTCCTTTAAAACAGCAAGATACTGAGACCATCCAGAATGAGCAACATCACCTTCCACCTTTCCTTTCCCAGCCAAAGACTCTTCCATTTTTCCAAGGCATTTTTTCATTTTTTTCAGCAAATCAGCATATATAAAGTGAAGAAGCTCAATCTCCTCTCCATATAGTGGATGCCTAAAAGTACCCCCTTTCAAGGATGCAGGATTAGAACTCTTGAAACACACTTGACTGGCAACTGCAGTGCGCAAAGGGAGCAAGAACGCTCTAAAATCACGTACATCATCCGACAACGGCCTGCCACTCGCAGGAAGGTCCATACTCACTACCAAGTCCCTAGACAAAATACGTGACAGCTCCCTAACAAATGGAGAAATCTCTTTTAACCCACCAATCAATCCCTCCACTGGCTCCGAGTCCTGCGAATTTCCATCACTTTCTAACAAGGAACCAAGTGAACCTCGGCACAGGAGGTACAGAGGGTCCTCCTCCCCTAATCTCCTAAGAAACTTACAAAACTCTAACACAATCGGCGCACAGTAATTATGCAAGTGTTTTGGCAACAATGTAGGGTACGAATTCAGGAAATACTTGATTGAATTTTCAGCAACTGTTCTGTTAGCTGGCAGGGGAGAAACATAGAGCATCAGCAGCGCCAAGGGGGCAGAGGACGGAAGGAACACCCGGATATGGCTAACCCCATATCCTGCTGTCATCTCCTTCTGAGCCATGGTTAAGTACTGGCTCATCCTGCTCTTGATGTATTTGGACGGCTCGTGAAGTTCTTCACCTCGGCACATCCGAAATGCGGCGGAGACTATGTCCTCCAGGAGTTGCCAGGCCTGAGGGTGGTCGGTGCTCCGCAAGCGGCCGACCAGTTGCAAACTGGCGTCGTTTTGGATGGCGCACTCGGCGAGCGACTGGTCCGGCTGCAGCTGTTTACCTCTATATATAAGCCTTTGCTCAAAAACCGGAATGCCAGTGATCGTCTGTATGCGATTGTGTAGCGATTTCACCTTGTCGTGAGCGTAGGCCTGGATTACCAGATTATTGCCACCGGACATGGTTCTGATGAAGAATTGGAGCATGGTACGGGACCGAGTCGACTCGGAGTGCGCGGACTCTCCGTGAGAGGCCGATCGGGCATTGGGAACACGGGGATTGAGGGCGTCGCTGTTGGCGGAGGAGTGAGGGAGGTTGGCGACGCCGTTGGACGACGAATCGATGGCGTTGGGTTCGTCCTTCCTCATCCTGACGTGGACTAGGTCAGAGAGAAGGGCGTCGTCCTCTTCGTCGGAGAAGGTGGGCCCGCCATAGTCGTCGAGTTTGCGCTTGGACGACAATCGGTGGTGGAACTGATCCACCGCGGCGAGGACGGCAGTAGCAGCGCAATCGACGGTGCTGCTGGTGGTGGGGCTCCCGGTGATGGACATTTACAGGGTGGGGCCCACCCCGCCAGCCGGTTCCTTCCCTTTACGGTTTTACCTCTCGAGAGAAAATTCACGCGCACGGTGGCCGTGGGTGCATGAAATCGCAGCCGGTCCTCCCGGGAAACCAAAATTCTATAAATTAAATTAAATTAAAACGGAGAATAAAATTACCGGCGATGGTCGAAGTTGGGGGAAGCCAACGATCGGGGGCAGGGGTCGTCTGTCTCTCTCGTTCTCTCACGTCTGGGCTTCACATTCACAGCCGTCATCTACAAAGACTGTAATCCTACGCTATTATATATTTTTAATTTATATAATTGGATTTATTTATAATTTTTCGATTAATTTAATGTTTTTGTTTCAATTGCTTTGGATTACAAAAATGCCCTCTTGTTATTATCGACTCTCTGGTCTCTACTAGGATTAGTACCAAGGGCGTTACTGATAATTAACGGCTCTGATGCCACTAGTTTTATATTGTTAGCTTACACTTTTCGGATCAGGATCCTCTCCTCTCCTGATCCTTGTATGGGAATTCTCATGATCAAAAAGTGTGGACCATTGAATTTTTATTTAATAGCTACAAACAAGGGGATCTCTTTAAAGTTATAATAATTATAGCCGTTGGATTTTCATCTAACGGCCCACACTCCTTGGTCATGAAGATCCCCATACAAGGATCAGGAGAGGATCATGATCCACACTTTCCAACCCAATAATTTAATGAAATAGTTAATTACTGGGTAATTTGTCATTTTGCCAGTCACCAGTTTTTGACTTATGATAGACTCATGGACAAGTGGAAAAAATGCAAGGTGGTGCCCAATAAAAAAAAGAAAAAAAGAGAAAGTGATACTTCTGTTTTCAATGTTTGAAAAAAGTATTAAGTTCGAACTAAGTTGTTTGTTAAATTTACTTTAGATTTGCCATGGCCATGGCCAAGTGAGCGTGCATAGCTTGCAGGCTTGAAGCTATAACCTCTTGAGTGCTTATTAGTCTATAATTGAGTGACGAAGACTTGGGCTAAAGAAAAATTCGATCGATGAGGAGTCTGAATCAGAATTCTCACTAAAATTGTTTGTTAAATCATCTGATCTCAGCTTAAATGTTAAGAGTTGAGGAAAATAGTACCGCAACTATGGTGAATAGGCGTATTAAAACGTATAGATGAAATTCTGGCCAAAAAAATATCTGATGAAACAAATTGCTTTTTCTTGCGATCACAATTGAGAGTAATACAAACGAATTTGGATGGTATGATGTCGGTGTAAAGTCGCCGCTTCCTTTTCTACTCAGCACTTATTAGCCGAGTCGGCGTACATTCAATGCACTTCTGCCCTCTAATTTCCACGCGTTCTTTCCCCAACCGCATTTTCTATACCAAGTCTTCCTAGTGAATAAACATAGGCTTTTTCTTACAAAGATTTTCTAGTATGCTTCGGGTAACCTATGCTCTGCGGTTTTTGACCGTTAGATTGTTGGTCAACGATACAACGATCAATATCCAACAGCTAAAAACTCCGTAATATAGGATACCTACCCTTGAACATAATATAATTTGCGTTTCTTACAATACCATCTCAAGGATGCCAATCAAAGTCACTTAACAAAACACTGCAAAACATAGACCACATGTTGCTCCAAGAATACCATTTCATGAGATCTCAAGGGTTGGAATGAATGACGTCCCGGTGACGGCAGCATTCCAATCAAAAACTCCCGCGTGATTCAAATCTGAAGGTCATAGCCCTAAAAACAGAACTCGGATTGGCACCTCAAAAGTGTGAGGTTGTGAACGAAACCTTCTTCACCTGCAGATAAGTTCCACAATGAAACATTGGTGGCGCACTTCGGTGAAGAACTGTGAGCCGTTGATCAGTTGAATCCATTTCAGCAACGAGCATTTTCAACACAAAAGCTTTTTAACCAGCCCCTCACAAGAAACAGATATGGTATACAAAGTATGAAGAAACAATATCATGAATATCATCTAATACTGTAGAACATCTTAATGAGTGTGCCTAACGGCCTGATTACATCATCCGCAGGATATGTCTAACAATCAAGTGGATCCAGCTCCAAATGACAGTCCCACCCCAATTGCAGAGGTCCCCCGCTTGATTGTGAGAGCACCCCTACGGATGACTTCCCAAGAATTTCACTTATAATCAGTGTTCTAAAAAACGCCCTAGACACCTTGGAACCGAGACGATTTTGTGCAAAACAGCTGGAAAAATCAAGGTGGCTCTAGGCGGGCTAGGCAGCTGGGTGGTATTTTTTTTTTTTTTTTTTTTTTTGAGAAATTTGTTTAAAGTCTAAGTTCTAATTATACCTTGAAATTTTGTTAATTTTATAGAATAAGTGTGTTGTGTATCAACTTAAATTCCGGGATGCTAAAGATAAGTATCTTACATTACTAATTTTCCTTATTTTCCTCCTATTTTCCATTTTATGTTGTTTTAAATTGTGAACTTGTTGTACATGTGTCATCCTACAATACTTCTCACTATGGTTATATGACTTATATGCTTAATGTGTTCTTAAATTTTGGACTTGTTGGATACTCTTTTTGCATTTTATCATTCTTTTATTATCGTATCCATGGATTTCATACAAGTATAATTTTTTGTAAGTATCAATATGCATTTATTTACAAGATATACAAGAAATTTACCTAAATCCACCTAGCCGCCGCCTAGCTACCTAGGCGCTAGGCGCTAGCCCGCCGCCCGACTAGCGCCTAGCATTTTTTAGAACCTTACTTATAATTCTATGGAGAATACCAAAGCCCACCTCAAATGATAATCCCACCCTAGATCTAGACTGTTGCCGTTTCCTCCACCAAACTATTTCGAAGATGGGACAAAATGTGAAACCGAGCCTGTGAATAATTTCAGAGTATATGAGAAGTGCTTTCCGTCATAATCTAGAGATTAGCATTGCTGTCAAACAATGCGGCATAGTGACCGTATCGGCCATCCACTAAAGAACACTCACGATCCTTCATTGAGGAACCCAGTAAGATATGACTTGTGAGCTGTGCTGTACGTGTTTTCAATGTGAAACACAAAAGTCAAATCCTAATGTGATACAAGTAATTGAAATGAAAATCTACAACTGTAGGTTTCAAAGGTTAAAAGTTCTTACATAGTCATTTCTTATATAATATATATACAGAACTAGAAGAAACAGAAAATACTACTTTGAAAAACGTAGTGACTATTACATTCAACAGTGCAGTGACCGTATCAGACAGTAGAGTGGCTATCGAATTCAGAATATCGTCCAGAAGTTCAAGTTCTTAAATGGAAAAAGATATCATAGAGAAAGCACGTCCTTATTTTTGGTTAGCAGCTGTGGATGAAGAAATGTGCACCTGATATGGTTAACAATCAGCCCAAACCTGACTCAAGTATGTTCGTATAATGGAAGTTAAAGCATTCTAAGGTAACTATGCTCTAATCATTCGGCACACGCTAATGTGCTCAGCTCAAGTACACAACCTGGCTACTTCATATTCAGCCCTGAGAGAAACAATTGTTTCGAAAGACCAAAGTAAAAGTGGGTGAATGAGACATCCATGCATTCTGCGTTGATCCTACTCGAGTAACTCGGGTTCCTACTTTATATCTAAACTAGAGTACCAAGTATAAGTCAGATAATTACCTCTCTGCTCTATGTCCTCGTCTTTTGTTCTGATTGCCTACAGCACCAATTTGAAGCCTTGGGCCAGAAAATCATCCCTGACAAATACAAGAACCAACTCAACAAATCAAATCACTGAATACTGACTCACATAATAGCATATATAACAATATTGCAGCAAATTACCAATTAATCGAAATTTTGATACCCAAAACAATCACAACATAGATACTTTTGCAGATACAACCAAATGGGCAATGATATGTGAAGAAGCATGTCATTTACCTCTTCTTATTCTTCTTGTCCCCTGCTGCTTCCTGCTGCTTACGATCGTCTTGTCTACGAGGATGAACCGAAACAAGGCTTTCCATACAAACTACAGCCTCAAACAAATCTGGCAAGCCGCGAACCTTGACATGCTTAACCCTCTGGCTTTTCAGGTCAAACCAAACAAGACATTCGTGGTCCTGTTCGAACAAAACTTCGCGGTCATTCTTTGAATACACCAAAGGCCTAACGCTCTTGATTCTTCGAGTTTGCGCAACGGTAAACAATTTACTCCAAGACTCTTTAACCCCATAATCCTTCAATGTCCACACATCAACATCCTTATCTTCATATTTAGCTACAATGCAAAGACACCCTCCCAAGCATCCCACATCAATCTGACACTTACTGTCCATGTTCTGCGGCATAGGCACCTCACGAAAAGTCTCATTCGCAACGTCAAATGCAATGACCAATTCGGTTGCTGATTGATCCAATTCGAGGTTCCGAGTCACCACCCAATGCACACAACCGCTCACAAGAATCCCCATTTTTCGTGTGTAACAGAGTACATAAGGCATGTCTTCGAGTCGCTTCCACTCGTTGCTTCTCAGGCTATAAACCCTCACCTCGGACTGAAACGACAGGTAATCCAATCCGATAAACTGAGAAATCCTCACCAATTTATAGTCATCCTGAATAGCGTCGTATCCAAGACCATATACCCTCGCGCCACATAAGCACATGTTCGAATCGCGCTTTCGATCCGATGGCAGAGACGGCAAGATTCTGTACTTCTTCGTCGACGGGTTCCAGAGAGCGATGTCTTCGGCCACGTTACAGAGGCACAGAAGGCCGTTGCAGGATCCCAAAACGCGAATTCGATTGCTGTAGCACATGAGTGGATGATTGAGCTCGACGGCGTCGTTTAAGGAGTCGAAACTGATGCAGTAGAGGTCAGATTCCTTTCTGAGAATCAAACTGAGATGCGATTTGGACTCTGCCGATTGCGTGAGGTGGAGATGGACGAAGTATGAGCTGTCGATGAGCGACCGCCATGGTTTTGCAATCGACCGGAAGCGGAGGAGGCGGGCGACGGGCAGACGAGAGAGTATGTCGACGATTACCTCCGGCGGGAGTTCGGCCATGGCCATGGATGCTTGGATTTGAAGCTGCGTCGTATCGAGGGTGGATTTTGGAGTCTTCATTTCTGGAATTTGCTTGCAGGGTCTAGGGTTTTTTCACTTTCACTTTCTTTCAGAGTGTTCTTTGCAGTTGGGGGAAGGAATTCAAGTGGCGGTTTGGAGAAATGTGAGATGAGTCATGTGAGCGCGGGGTTCCTTACAAGATTTCTCGTGAGCCACGTGATGTACTGAAAAAGATGATTTTTCAGCTTAAAGGTCAACGTGGAACTCGCGAATGAGCACCACGTTCGAAGCCTATTCTTTCTCTCCCACCGAATTCAATAAAATATTTTTAAAAGTTTCGATGGTGGTCGAAGAGAGATGTTTTAGTGATACACGGCACATACATCATTTGCTAATGTACAAGTCGGATGACTTTTTTTTTATTTTATAATAACATATAACGTACCAATTACGTTTCAAATATATTAAAAAATTTATCAATAAGGAGAAGTTTGAACTAAATTATTATGATTTTCTTATTTTCTTATTATAGAATTACCTTAAATCTACCACCTCTTTTATATATATATATATTTTTTGAGAGGGTGGGGGGGACTTAACTTAATGACGTCGAATATTTTTTTTTTTTTTTAACAAACGATATTATCCACACGAAAGGAATCACATAATGGATAAGCGATAAAAAAGAAATTTGTCAAACTTGCCTTTAGCAAAAATCAAACCTAAGATTTTTCATTTATTAGTGAAGAAATCATCTCTCTTTTATCTTCTCATTTAAGTTTGAGAGTTCACAAGAGTATCTTTTCTCTCACCCAAATGTCAAGTTTGAATCCTTTTTTTTCAATAGCTTGCATAAAAAAATGAAAAATTCATTTATTTAGGTCCATAATCAAATGTTTTGCAATAAAAATGAAAAATTATCATTTAGACATATAAGACTAACTGCAAAGAAAAAGGAAAAAAAAAAAAACTATTTAACGCATCTTAGTCTTAGGTTTGTGTGATCAAATACTTTATCTTGTCACGATACAGTAAATATATTATGTCATCATTAAACAAATACAACCGATTTTATTACGAGATACCTCATGATGTTCATATCGATTTAATTTGTGCATCTGCATCTAGCATTCGATAGACCTTATACAATACGACAAGGCATGCAAAATCAAGCAATAAATCTTAGAAGAATTCAATTTTAGATGGCATGACTCTTTCTATTTTTGTGCCGGCATTTGAGTTGTCTTTGATCTGGTTCTAGGTATAAAAAGAAACAAAAGCAAAACTTTGAGAAATACTATGAATTAGTGAATTTAATATAACCTTGTGTATGATGAATTTTCAATTTGATTACGAGTCTTACGAAGCTTTTAACATGTATGTGTTTTCTTTCTACTATATTCATTATCTTTTATATAAAATTTTATGATTGCGTACCAACATAAGAATCGTCGGATATTTACAATACATAATGTTATTCATACATTTATTTTTATCCTCACATTCTTGTTAATATTTGACGATTGATTTATTTTATTTTATTCGTCCTAAAGCTTAAAATTGAGAGAGAATGTGAAACCTAAAAATAGGGTGAGAATAGCATTACCCTTTCCAATTTCTGAGTTGAGGCTTTCCATCGACATCAAATGCGATAGGTGTAGAATATTCATGGACGAAGGCACCAACTTCAATGCCTGCAAAGAAATCATCCCTTGCGAGGTACTTGGATTATTAATTCTTCTTTAATCAATCTTATTAGTGTCTTGGTTTTAGTTTTAACATAGCACCTAATGTTGATTTCTCGCTCTAAGTTTTGTTTAACTTTAAGAGAAGGAAGGAGCTAGGGTTTTCTGTTTACGCATAATATTTACGGCTTAGGGTTACCCGTGCATTTAATATCAAACAAAAAATTTTCTCACAAGTTGCCACGAATACTCCCTTTTGAGTGCTATTTTACTTTCTTATTTGCTCGCACATGATCTCTGGCAATCCAAAACCTACAGAACCACTTCCACATGATCATATTATATATGATCAGCATATAAATGTTTCTCAAACTCTGTCTCTCTCAAAGTCTGAAAGAAACGAACAGCAGTCTTTGTCCGACTGATGATAGCATGATCATCTGAATCGAAAGATATACTTACGTGTGGAGATCATGGCTGCAAGAAATGAAAGTGAGACTGAAACTTGAAGAAGAGAAATGAAAGAATTAAGTTGTTATTGTCATACGTGTTTCACGTCATCCCGTTTGTGTTGTTCACGTATTAGGTTTGAAAATTTGACACATATGTGGAGGAGTGTTGAGAATGAATCTCATATTGATAAGAGAAGGGACTTTGCATAGAATTAAGTTGGACTACTCCTCATATTGTCAATTAGTTTTATGGTAGAACTCCAACTTTGTTTAATTATTTCAAAATAAAACCAAATGTACAATGCCTCACATGGAGTGGTGCCCTACTTGTACACACGTTAACATTTCCTGATCCCGTGTGAGATACTTGGAGAAGAATCATCAAGGCCTTGCCCAGTATGTGTTTTACGTCACTTTCATTAACAAAATACATATCACTAAGAGATGATTTTTGAAGGTCTTATTTTCAGTCTCACATGTTTTATTTCGAAATTGAGGATAGTTAGAGATTGATATGAATTATTTTTACATGTCGCGATTGGATTATACTAATAAAAAAATAAGCACGTTAATAATAATAATAATGTAATTATCAACGATTACTTCATATGATTTTAATTGATAATCTTTTTATCATTATCTTAAAAAATTATCTAATATCACTTGTAAGCTTAATCTTCAGTGATAAAATGTATTTGGGTCTGCCACGTGTACATACACATCATTTCGAGGTCAAGAAAACGATATAAAAATCAAACTAATTGTGAACAAGCTTCTCTATCCCTCCACCGAACCATTCCACAGTTTCTTCATTGTTTTTTGACATTGACATAGGAAAGAGGTTATCTCCGAATATCTTTCATCAAGATTATTGGATTAAGTAATTCAAAATTTTAAATTTCATCCAATAGTAAAAAATTATTATAACTTTTAAAGAATTAAAACAAGTAAGTCGCTGGATAAAATTTCAAAGATTCGAATCGCTTGATCCCATAATATTGATGGAAAGAGATCCGTTGATATATTTCATGCTACATGGTTTATAGTACGATCATTCAGATGATAGCCTGGCTGGACCTTGCATTATTATCACGTTCAATGGTTGTGGCAATTTGTAGTCCCTTTCTGCACACGTGGCTCTGTTTCGTGGCCTCTTTGCTCGCACTAAATTTGAATGAGAGGTCACCTATTAGAAAATGTCACACATTGCCATGTTCTTGGATATAAATTTTGCTAACTCTTAAGCGAATAAATGACAATTAGCGTTCATGCACGCGCATGACCACACTAAATTTGAATGAGAGGTCATCTGTTAGAAAATATCACAATTTGCCATGTTCTTGGATATAAATTTTACTAACTTTTAAGCGAATAAATGACAACTAGCCTTTATGCACGTGCTCACACACGTGCAGAAGATATTTTTTGAATCACGACATGTTACACGTGATTTACATGTTTTAAATGTATTTATTAATATAGATAAAAATGAATAGTAAATACATTTAATAAAAGCAGTCTTTTAACTATTCAAAACAGATATATATTAATAAAAACGGTCTTTCAATTTCCATCTACATATTATTGAATTTACAATAAGATTAGAAAAAATAATATTTAATAAACAACTGATTGTTAGCCCATTGTGAAACTAAGTCCATTCCCTCCCTTTAGTGTATATAACATCGTTTGTTAAAAAAAAAAAGATCATTTGACAACCAATTGAATCACATTATTATGCATGTGCGAGATATTTTTTTTTAACTGATACTACACACCTCTTAAGTGTTTAAAAATTGAGAAATAATATTTAATATACAACCGCATGCAAAAGGTATTTTTTAAATCACAGCGCACTACACGCGACTTAGACATTTTAAATGTATTTGTATGCATGAATTGCTTCAATATTTTTTTATTTTTTTATTTTCTTTTTTTATTACTAGTGCTACATGCCTATTAACATGTTCTAAATATAACATTCATGATTTTTCTTATTTTTTATTATATTATTCTTCCCCATCACTTAGACACCATAAACTTGTCATTTGTTTATTCTTTCCTCTCTCTCATTTTATTTTTTTATTCTTTTCTCTCTCCCCATATATATTTATTTTTATTTTATTACGACCAAATTACCAAATTACCTTTACATGATTTGATATATTCTTTTGGGTAGGTTTTGAAATTTTTTGGCTGAGGGGCAGTTTGGTCCAATTATTTCTGTCAAAGGGGGTGACGCCAAAATTTTGTCCCATGCTTGATCCAAGCCACTGTTCATCTCACCGTTGGTTTTATATATAACTAGCCTCCATGCAAGTGATCACGAACATGTAGAAGACATTTTTTGAATTACGATGTGCTACGCGCGATGTACATGTTTTAAATATATTTATTAATGTAGCTAGAAATGAATAATAAAATATTAATGAATAATATATACATTTAATAAAAGCAGTCTTTTAACTAATCAAAATAGATGAATCCATATTAATAAAAGCGGTCTTTCAATTTCTATCTACATTTTATTGAATTTACACTAAGATTGGAAAAATAATATTTAATAAATAATTGATTGCTAGTCCATTGTGAGGCTAAAGTCACTCACTCCCTTTAATGTAGATAACATCGTTTGTTAAAAAAAAAATGATCATTTGACAACTAATTGAATCACATTATTATGCGAGTACGAGAGACTTTTTTTATAACCGGCACAATGCACCTCTTAAGTGTTTAAAAACTGAGAAATAATATTTAATAAACAACCGCGTGCAAAAGATATTTTTTTAATCACAACGTGCTACGCGTGACTTATACATTTTAAATTTATTTATATGCGTGAATTGCTTCAATATTTTTATTTTTTTTATCAACAACGCTATGCATCTCTTAAGACGTTTTGAACACAACATTCATAATTTTTCTTATTTTTTATTATATTTTTCTTCACCCATCACGTGGGCACCATCAATTTTGTCATTTGTTTATTATTTTCTCTCTACCCTTTCATTTTTTTTATTCTTTTCTCTCTTCCCACTTGTATTTATATTATATTTTATGATAATCAAATTATCAAATTACCCTTGCATGATTTGATATATCATTTTGGGCTGATTTTGAATTTTTTTGGCTCAAGGGCATTTTGATTCAGTTACTTTTGTCGAAG